AGGTAGTAGGCCCTCAATAACTGTTGAATATTCATTCAACAGGTCATTATGACTAATTTAAGCCTTAACTGGAACAACCTGAATATCTAAAGTGATAAAATTCTTAAGTAGGTGAAGAAATTGATTAAGAACTTACCACGTGGCAGATACTAAAACTTTGAGACTGAATCTGTCTGTTATTATCTCCATTTACAGATGAGGAATTGAGACCAACAGAACTTAGGTAGCTAATTCCCAAGCTCACTTAGCTCATGGATGGAACCAGGATTGGACATAGGCTAATATGGGAATCTGTGTTCTAATCACTTGTACTATTTCCAGGAGAGAGAAAAGGTAAGTGCTCTGGCATTAGAGACCTGTTGTGAGGGATAAGATAAATAAAGTTCTTTGAAATCTAATACCATGTCTACCACCTAGTAAACTCTCCATACATATCAAGGGTCAAGGACCATTTCCTAATTTACCAAGAACAATAATTATTGAAGCAAGGAAATTTGAAAGAGTCCCATTCTACTCTTTCCTAGGTGAACTTTGATGTGCTATTGGAAGGACATTTTTAAGTATGAAGTCAATATTCAAGCTAATTGGTTTTATGCTCAGTCTAATGAGTCATAAATAGTAAATATTCATGAATTACATAATTAGTTATTAGTAGGGTTTCTTTTTAAAATAAATTGATTTCTCAGTATCTATAACAAGGCCAGTGTTGGAGTTTTCCCCACATCAATCACAGCTTAATAATTATAATTATGATCAAACATTGCTTTTAAAAAAAATCTTTATTGTTGAGATTATTACAGATGTCCCTCTTTTTTCCTCCCATTGCCCCTCTCCACCCAATTCCTGCCCTGCCCCAGGCCTTTGCCACTCTATTGTCTGTGTCCACAGGTAATGCATATTTGCATATAAGGTCTTTGTTTAATCTCTTCCGGTCCCCCATCCTTTCTGTTCTATTTCCATGTCTCTGTTTCTATTTTATTCACCAGTTTATTCTGTTCATTAGATTTCTTATTTGTTTATTTTGATTTTTAGATTCAATTGTTGATAGGTTTGTATTTGTTGCCATTTTGTTGTTCATAGTTTTGAACAGAGAGATTTTCAGATTCCTCCTCTTTGTATTGGATTTGGAGGTGCCCAGGTGAGGCCCAGCTCTGAAGCAAGGCAGGCTGGTGCTGGTGCTGGGTCTTGGATCTTTTATTGATAGGTTTTGGGCTCCCTTACCCAGCTGCAGCTTGTTTGAGAGATTTTAGCCTGAGCAAGTACAGGCCATTCATATGCAAAAGCTGCTGCACACAGCTTGGGTAGGGTTATAAATTGCATGAGGCAGGGTCTTAGGGAATCGCCGGGGTGGAGCAAACAGAAATAGCTGCCAGTCAGCCCTGTGACCAGGGAGGCCTCAGCATAGGAACAATGATCCCTGTGAGCACTCTGTCTGGAGAAAGCTGCCCCTAAATTTCTGCCCCAATGCCAGACATTGTGGCATTGGTATGTGTCTGTGCCCCCCAAAGCCTCACCCTGGTGCTGACACTCAGAGGAAGCAGGACCTTGTAAGATCAGTTCATGGTGCTGGCCTTTAAGAGGAACAGCTGGGTCTCTAGCAACCGCTGTGTCACTGAGCCCCAATCCGCACTGGTTTTTATAGCTCATGGTTCTTTCTGCCCATAGGGACTTCTTTTTCCACATCTGGGACCCTGGGCTGGGCATCTGGTGTGAGGCTGGGACCCTTTGCTTCTCTTGGGCAGCCTTTTTAGAGATGATCTCCCTTCTGATTAAAAAAGCAGCCCACGTGGGTGCCAGCCCAGTCCATTCTGTGCCTCCACATCTCCTACCAGTCTCAGCGTGCTTTCTTCTTTACTTCTCTAGTTGTAGGACTTGCATTCAGCCAGCTTTCCAGTGGTTCTGGATGATGGTTGTTCTGTATTTAGTTGCAATTTTGATGTGGTTGTGGGAGGCCGTGAGTACAGACATTTACCTACGCTGTCATCTTCTGTCTCCCTGATCACACATTTCTAAAGTCTATGACCTCATTGAAAGACGAAGTCCTGGGGCTTGGTTCTCAAGGTCAAAGTTTCTGCCTCCCTCAGCTGAGGTTCCCTGTCTGAACAAGCTCCGTTCATGCTTTCCCTGCCCTCTGACCACTATCTGTCCTTGGGCAGTGACTTTGTTTTTGTGTGTCTATTTCATGCCTGAACGAGGGTTTGAAACAGCAGCAATTCCGGCCCAAGCAGTGTTGGCAGGGGAGTGTGGGGCAATCTGCAAGGTCATTGGTGGTGCTCTGCAGTGTGGTCCTTGGGCCTCAGCACCCCAAGGGCTGGGGAAACTGCATGAACAGCAAAGGTTGGGGCACTCTTGAGGGAGGAGAACAGTGAAAACTCTGCTGTAGACTCTGGTTCCTTCATATCTGAGGGTTGGGAGGAGGGGGAAAGGTTCAGAAGCCTGACTTTGCTTTTGAAAAACTCCTAACTTTATTACGGATGCCCTTTCCACTTCAGGGCTAACTTTGCCTTCAAATGCTTAACATGATTATCCAGCATCTGGTCTCAAGGTCTAGAAATACCTTCCATGAAGACAGTGTCTTTTAATCTACAATTACATTCTAAAGGCTCCAAGATGCAAATACTTAGGAGATTTAACAAATAGAAAGCACTGCTTTTGTTAGGAACAGGAGTATAGAAGGTGCCTGGAAGTAGTGGAGGTAGGTCACTTTAAAACTACGGGCAAACCATAGGGGTGACAGCAAGTAGAAAGCAAGCATTCGCCTTGGAGACTAGTAGATCTGACTGCAAAAATTCAGCCATCAGCTAGGGCGCAGGAACTAGGTGTCAAAGAACAGATTATTTGTAAAGATAGAAACTTGGAGAGATGTCTAGCAGAAGTTTGCGGAACCCCACACTCTGGGCAGAAGCTCAATAAATGGAAGTGTGTCACAAGGTTAAAGTGAGAAATCCAGCAGAGTTGACTCAGTGTGGTCTTCACCTATGGAATGAGGTGCCTTACATTCTGAGCAGTGGTAGGACTGAGAGTCCAGATAGGGAGTGTGGGTGAGTTCGTTCACTTGTGAGAAGTTGGAGGCTATTGGTGCAAGGGGTCAGAGGAGGCAGACCAGGAAGGTACTATGAGATGTAATCATTTTTTTGTGTGTGAAATCACACTTTAAATACTGTAATAAACTAACATCCTTTTGTCCAGCCAGCATAGCTCAGTGGTTGAGTGTCGACCTAATAACCAGAAGGTCATGGTTTGATTCCAGGTCAGAGCACATGCCTTGGTTGTGCGCTTGATCCCCAGAGTGGGGCATACAGGGGGCAGCCTATCAATGATTTTCTCTCATCATTGATGTTTCTGTATCTCTCTCCCTCTCCCTTCCTCTCTGAAATCAATAACAATAATAACAACAACAACCACAACAAAAAGAGGTGGGGTCTAATTCCTCTCTCCTTGAATTTGGGCAGTTTTGTGACTCTGGAAATCAAGGAAATGCAGCAAAAATAACTGTGATTTCTAAAACGGAATCATAAATGACAACACAGCTTAACACTGGAATGCTGCCACCAAAGATCCAAGCTCCCAAGTACACAGTTCAATTGCTTGGAGAACATCAGGCTACGGAGAAGTCCAACGAAGCACACATGGAGAAATCACCTGGAGAAGATATGTGAATGAATTGATCCAGTATTACATTATTGGGCTTTTAGTTTGTTTCCCATATTTTGCAAACATGAGTAATTCTGCAACAAATATCTTTGAACACACTCCATTTCTCACTAGTGCAAATCTGTGTGTTGGTTAAATTCCAAAAATGAGAATAAGCACAAAATCTTGAATTTGAAGGAACTTGACTTAAAAAAAAATGAACTAAGGTCTTCCTGGAAATACTTGGTAAGTTACAAATACTATTTGTGCTAATCAGGGAAAAGGCATTGGCAATGCAGTGAAGAAGATAAGTTTTGTTGGGGGTGAGAAAATACTCCAAAGGTAGACCCTCCTCTAATTTAAAAGTATATTTTGTAGAAAGAGGACCATATTCCTCTGACCAAGAAATCAAATGGTTGTATATTTTTAAATTTACATTCTTTAAAATTCAGGAGGAAAAGCAGGTAGATGAAAAAAGGTTTTCAAGAAAACAAGTTTTAGGGGTCAGTTTTGGAGTCAATACCATTCATCTTTACAATGTACATCAGTTTTGTTTTTTAAAAATATATTTTATTGATTTTTTACAGAGAGGAAGGGAGAGAGGTAGAGAGTTAGAAACATCAATGAGAGAGAAACATCGATCAACTGCCTCCTGCACACCCCCTAATGGTGATGTGCCCACAACCAAGGTACATACCCTTGACAGGAATTGAACCTGGGACCTTTCAGTCCGCAGGCCGATACTCTATCCACTGAGCCAAACTGGTTTCGGCATGTACATCAGTTTTGTCAACATTTACTAAAAGATGTTCAACTCAAAACAAAACCTTATGCATGTATTGCTTAAGAGGAGAACCTCATGCCATTAAGGGAAGGTTAAGTATATTATTATCATTTATTTAAAAAGACAAGGAATTTTATCTGATACCTTAGATTGCCATGAGAAAAACACCAACACAAAAATATCTGACCTGAAAGAGTTAACCCTCAGGAGCCTAAGAAGTATTTTCCTAGAATGACTCACTGCTGTACTTTGCAGATTTCAAATTCTTTGTTTAAACTTCAGCTTAACTTTATCTTGATGCTGGGCTAATTGAAATTTTTACAATATTTCCTTTTGAAGACAGTTACACTTGTGCATATCTTAGGTCTCTGTGATGGCTAGTTCCAGCTCTCTGTCTCACTAGACCTGATAAGGCAGCCTTTTAGTTAATATGTAGTGAACTTCTGAAAGCACTCTACCAAACCTCCTTTCCTTTACCTCACCCTCCCCGTATTTGCCTGCTAATTCCATCTTTGTTTGCTTTTTCATTTTAAAATATGCTCTTGGTTTCAAAGGGTTCTGTTTTTCCCTCTCTGCCTCATCGTGTGATTTAGGCGCTTCCATTTTTCTTATAATTTTTTAAAATTATAATAATGCTACTCTTGGCTGAAGTCTAGGTGGTGAAAACCCCGTTTCCTGCATAGCTGAACCAACCAAGAAGGTGACGTGGTGGGTGATGCGGGTTTGGGACAGTGCACCCATCACACGCTCCCACTTCGTTGACTTCCCATGCGAAGCGCGCTCCTAACCTTTAGTCCGTGGGTGATTTCCTTCATGGGAGTCAAACAAAGCTAAGTGACGAAATGGCTGTTATGGGCATATGACAAGCTATCTAGGATCCAAAGGTCTAAACTAAAAGGCCCCAGTATATTATTGAAAAAAAAAACACACAAAACCACCCGCCTCTCTTTCAACTGGAGTGATGAAACCCGAAGAATTCACATAGCGAAATGGAGGAAATCAGCAGGCGCATCTGAGGTTCCGCCGCTGGTGGAGTGATGAAGAGCAGTTACTGGCTTCTCCTGACACTGGTCCATGCCGTGGCTCTTGGCTGCCTATGGATTTCTGTGGGTCAGTGCACAGTGCTCAACAGCTGCCTACAGTCATGTGTAACTAACCTGGTAAGTTTTACCCGTCTTGCTATTTGTCTTGGTGGGAACTACAACATAGCATTCAGCTTGTTATAACGGTTTGAATTATTTTCATTTTATAGGAAATCTTCTCATGAGGAATATTGTGGTTTGTTTTCAAAGTAAGTTAGGGCCATTTATAATTAAAGAAGGTAGGGCAGGCCTATTTTGTTATCTGATCATAGATTTTTTTGGGGGGAGGACTGGGATTAGAGTAAAGGAGGATTCAATACAATCAATTTTGCATGCTTTAAAAATTATAATTTAAAAACTCATTTATTACAAAGTCGTTGGTATTTGTCTTGAAGCACGAAGGAGGTTTGGACCCAGGGCAATGCCCTCTCCTATAAGCATCAATGCTGTTTACAGTGGGATGGATGACTGTATGGGGAGGTGGGTGACCCAGGCAGCAGATGCAGGGCCCTAGAGAACAACATTTTATTTTAAAAGCGAGAATTGTTTGTATTGTCCTTTGTTGCTTTCTGTGCATTTGTAATTTTTCAGTAATGAGGCTTTAAAAAAAATTAATGTTTTCTTCTCATTTCTGGGTATCATCCCTCCTATATTTACTATTTCATATCTTTTTAGGTATTATGCTTTAGTTGTACTTTAAAACACAATGGAATTCACTTTAAAAACCAAAAATATTCTGGCCAGGGAAAGATATACTCATCTGAAGACAAAAGAAATACCATGATAGCTTACATGTGACACTACTTAGAGTCATACTTATGTAATGAAAACACCAAATAAAATACAATGCTCACCCTAAAGAATTAGGGAAAGAAGTCAAGGGTAGATTAGAAAAGAAAATGATTTGTGTTAAAGAAATTGATTTGTGTTACTCTCTTTTTGGTTGAATTTAAAGTATTGTGAACATTATTATGAATAATCGAACTTAAAAAAAAAGTTTGGTGTTTTATATAAATCTTTGCTGAAGACTTCATTGCCATTAATGTAGAATTGTATGCTTTAGGTTTGTAAAGTTGTAATTCAACCTTAAAAGTGGAAAACTGGGACAATTAAATGTTTTCTTTATTAAGAAGTTTTAAAATTTTCTCTGCTTTAAACAAGAATACGTATTCATTGTAAAACATATATATGATAGAGAATAGAGAAAAGGGAAGAACCTTATAAATCCACCACTATTAACTTCTGATTGTATTTTCTTTCAGTATTTCCCCCCAAATGTGTGTATAGTTTTACACACAGTTGTGCCCTCAGCTTTTTCACGTAGTGGTACATATGAGTTTTCCTCTATGCCCTGAAGTTTTAATGGAAACAGGATCTTTAATGTACTTAGAATAGCCCATCATATGATTGTCTTGCCATAATCTGTTAATGTTGCTGCTATCAAAGCTGACGCTGGTTGTTTGCATTAGTTCCTGTTTTATGTATTTGATTATTTTTAGTTACGTCTAGGTTTAGCGTGTCTGTTTGTGTGGGTTTTTTGGTTTCGGGGTTTGGCAGTAGAAGTAGACAGCTTGTTCCTTTGTGGAGTTGCCTTCCGTCCACCACCACCTACAGAGCAGGCCCAGCTGCTGCGGTAGCGGCTGGGGAGACACGGTCTGCAGCCTGCCCGGTGGCCAGGCCGACGGGTCTCCTTCTGGGCCTCCCACGCAGGCTGCAGGGACACAGCGAGGCCACTGGGCAGTGAACACAGCCAGGGTCAGGGGGGAGGATGTGTAAAGTGCTCCAGTGTATTCTATCGTTCGAATCTTTTTTTTTCTTCCTCTGTCCGTTTAGTCTGGGCATTTGCTGGGAAGGTCATCTTTGATTTTACTGGGTAGTTCTTAATACTGAGGCATCTTTGCTTAAAAAAAAAAAAAAAGAAACAAAAGAGTATTATACAAAGGAATGTTCCAAATTGCTGTCCAAAAATGCACAAACCATAGTTCTAGGCTTGAGCATGGGTATTTTACATCAACTGACTTAACATTTTTGAATTATATATGCCACATGCTGCAGAGAACAAAATGTAATATTTTAAAAAATATTTTTATTGATTTCAGAGAGGAAAAAAAAGGGAGAGAGAGATAGAATTATCAATGATGAGAGAGAATCATTGATGGGTATTTCCTGCACGCCCCCTACTGGAGAATGGAGCCTGCAACTGGGTCATGTGCCCTTGACCTGAATCCATCCAGGGATCCTTCAGTCTGAAGGCCAACGCTCTACCCACTGAGCCAAACCAGCTAGGGCCATAATATTCTTCAGAACACTAGAGTTGTGAGATCCTTTATGAAAAAAAAGATTTATGATCAAGTAATTATGGAATTGCTTTTCCCATACTCTCTCTTTGTATATCCACAGGGCACAATAGCATATGAGTGGCTTTGTTTAATTATATTTTTTTCATCTTCTTTGGCAACAACCCCCCCCCCCGCCCCCTTTTTTTTTTAAAGTAACAAATCCCACTGACTGTGGAACTAGTGTTCTATCAATTTAGAATAAGGAGTGCTCTGTTAGAAGTATCAATTCAATTCAGTACGACTTGCAATAGAGTTCAGAAGGTTGTACTATTTAAAAATATAAACATGATTAGTTTTCTTGTATATAATATGTAACTTTACAACAAGATAATGGAATGAAACCAAAATCCAAAAATTCTAGAAATTAGCCCAGTTGGTATGGGTAAAGGAGTAGACAGGCCAGTAAAACAGAATTCAGTTCAGAAATAAGACAATGTACATAAGGGAGTATGGAATATGATAAAGGTAACAATTCAAGTCCAAGTGGGGCTATCAATTTAGAATTAAGAATAACTCTCTCCTTTAGTAGGTGAATGAATAAATTGTGGCACAGCCAGACAATAGAATATTATTCAGAGCAAAAAAGCAATGAACTATCAAGCTATAAGAACACATGAGGAATCTAAATACACATAACTAAGTGAAAGATGCCAACCAGAAAAGGCTACATACTATGTCATTTCAACCCTGTGACATTCCAGAAAACACAAAACTATGGAGACAATGACAAGATCCATGGCTCATAGACGGGGTTTGAGGGAGTCGAGGGAGACAATGGATAAGCAGAGCATAGGGGATTGTTAGAGTAGGGCAAATGCCTGGGGGAAATACTTAAAAAAACCAAACTTAAACTATATGATAGTAAACAGAATATAGTAAGAACAAAGTAGAAAAATGGAAAAAAGTATTACATGTGATAAAATTTTATCAACGCTTATATATAAAAGCATTTAAAATAATTTAAAACATGAATACCTACCTTTAAAAAAAAGAATTATAAATAGCTATAAAATATTTGAAGGTTAACTTCATAGAAACCATAGAAATACATAATAAAAATGAATTACCAACTCTTCTTCTATCAATTTGGTAAAGATAAAAACATTTTGTTGGCAAAGTTTAGATAAACTGGTACTTTCATATACTGTGGTTAGGATGCAAATTGACAGATTTCTAGAAAACATGGATTAATAAATATCAAAATCAAAAGGAAAAATATACTTTTAACCCTGAACATCAAGAAATTTATCTGAAGAGATTATTGCATAAGTAACCAAAGAAATGTTTTCAAAAGACTCTTTATAGCAATTTTGCACCTAATATTATAGATTTCTAAGTGCCTGGCACTGTACTATAATAATTAATGCATCATTTAGTCAAATCCCCCTGAACTTCATGAATTAAGTATTATTTTACTTTTGTCTCAGATGAGAATACTGAGTTTATATAGCACAAGTTAATTTTCAAAATATCACAATGGGAGCAGTGGGATTACAATGCAGATCATTCTGCTGTTTCATTTATTAGGACAGGAAGTAAATGAAATTAGTTCCGGCTGAGGTGGGTAGGAAGAAAACCTTGTGCCAAGAACTAGGCGTTGGGTTAGGAGGACTTGAGACCCAGCACCGGGAGTGTGTGTTTTAAGCAGTTGATTGGGGCAGGAGGAACTCAGGCAAACTGGGCAGCTCCTAACTCCAAAGTGAAGAATGCGAATTTGCTGCAGATTTCACAGGAGGCACCATGCTTTGGTTAAGAGCACAGGCTCTGGGGGCAATTCCTCTCATCGCCCTTCAAATTCTAACTCCTGGGCAATACACTACACCTCCTTGTTGCTCAGCTGTGCAGTGGCCTTCATAACAGTACCTACCTAATGGGTTTTTGAGGTGCTAAATGAGTTGAGTGTAAAACACCTTGCAGAGGGCCTGGAACATAGCAGTTGCTCACAAATTGCTCTTAATAAGACTGTTTGTGTGTGTGTGTGTGTGTGTGTGTTTTAAATCTGAACATAATTCATGTTTTATCCAGAGTTCTTTGTATTGATTAATTGATTAATGTCACAGGCTTGTTTTATATTGTGTGAGACTCTCCACTGCCCTTTACCCCTCCTTATAACCCCCTTTACCATTGCTGAAGAATTCTTAGACATTGAATCTTATAATTTGCACTGGGATTTTGTCTGATTTCATGACTAATTTAATGACTTTAAGCCTTTTGGCTCCTTAATTTCCCACTAGAAAACACTGAGAAGGGAGACAGCACTATTCCAGGAAGCTTTATTTAAAAGAAGGTGTGGTAGTTATTACCGCACACAATATTGAGAGCCGGTGTTCATTACCTGCTTCTTCCTTGCAGGACAGGCATCTGGACAGCGGTCCGCCGAACAATCTGAGTGAACCAGTGAGTAATGGCTTCCATTGTTAAGAACTGTACAGTGTTAGCAATGATTGCAGAAAAGGGGGCAATGGTCAGGTTTTATTACAATAGGGTGTGTCCTAAGTAAAATATTTTTTTTTTTGTCTCTGCTGGACGAAAGACAATAAAAAAATTTAGTTATAAGTGAATGATAGAATATTCGCAGATGAAGTCAGGGACAGTGTTGAAGTCAAGAGAACACAGGCCCAATCCAAGTCCATTATTTTGATTCTACATATTTGCATGGCTTCGAGCAAATTATTTGATATTTCTGAGACTTTGTTTTATTATGTGTTATCTGAGAGGGTTGGGTTGGGCAGTCTCCAATGTTTCTTCTGACCATGACATTTATGGTTTTATTACTTCTCTGCACCTGTACCCATTTATTCAACAAATGCTTAAATGATTCAAAGCACAAGTATGAACTAAGCACTGTGCTAGGTAACAGTGAAACAAATGAAAATGAGAACACATCAACCCCTGGGGCACAGCGAATGCAGTCTTAGAGGGAAACTGAGAGCATTCTAGACCCACCTCAAGAAACAAGGGAAATCTCAGATAAACAACCTAACTAGCCTTCTATTTAAAGGAACTGGAAAAAGAACAACAAAGCCCAAAGGAATGAGAAGAAAAGATCAGAGCAAAAATAAACTAAATAGAATCTAAATAAATAATATAAAAGATCAATGCAATCAAGAGCTGATTCTTGGAAAACATAAATAACATTGATAAGCCTTTCACCAGTCTCATCAAGAAAAGGAGAGAGAGGATCCAAATAAATAAAATCAGAAATGAAAGAGAAGTAACAGCTGACACCACAGAAATACAAAAGATTATGAGAGGAAATATTATGAACAAGTATATGCCAGCAAATTGGACAATCTGGAAGAAATGGATAAATTCCTGGAAACATACAGTCTCTCAAAACTGAGAGAGTGGATGAGCTCACCGGTGGAGAACTTGAAGAACGAGAAGAGAAAAAGTTGAAGATAGAACACAAAATCAAAATGTGTAGGGGTGGGGGAGGAGAAGAGATGGTAAAGAAGGAACTGAGAGGAAGAAGGGACCTGTGGAAGAAATGTCTATACAATCTCAGGCATAGGCAGGTCAAGTACAGTTAGGAGAAATGGACCAAATTGGTCCATAGGAGGCCCAGTCGGTTTTGGGAGAAGGTTTTCAGGACAGTTGTGAGGGGCGAAAGCTGGCCAGCGGGCAGTAGACTTCTCAAACTGTCCGCCCATTCAAGGTTTGATGTGCTGCCTTCTGCCCGAGCGCCAGCTTGAGTTTGGCTTGTCACGTGAGGCCACCCAATGGATCCACGATATGTTCAGTGTTGTGCTGACCTAGACTTGACCTGCTGCCAGCCACCCAGGGGACAGTGTGCTGCCTGAAGTTCGGGTGCTCTCTGGGTTCTTGACCTGCCCGTTCCAGACTGAACTCCACTCAGCACCCCTGCCAACTTTCAGTGAACCACACTGCCCTGCTGTCTGCAGACAGGACAGCTCTGCTTATCACCCCAAAGGTCCCAATTCTTTTGAGGCCACAGATTCCTCGGTAGATTTCTATTCCTAAAACATTATTGCATTTTCAGATGACAAAAGAGTCCCTCTTGTTCAGTCACCATTGTCTCTTCTTGTCTCTTGCAGTGCATCCAAGGATGTCATTTTTGGAACTCTGTAGATCAGGAAAAGTGTGCTTTAAAGTGTGTAAGTGTTCACTGAGTTTCTGTTTGGATACTTATGTTCCCCTTAAGAGAAATGTTGTCTAAGAGGACTCCCGTTTGAGTTTCCATTGGCTTTCATTTAGTTGGCTGACCTAAAGGGAAAGAATGGCAGCCGGAGTGAAACATGGTGATGGGGGGGAAATGACATTACTATTACTCCCAACTGGAGACCATGGGAGGTTAACACAAACCATGACACCCCACCTGGAGATGCCCAATAGTTACCTCCTACAAAGGCCTGTTAGTAGGATGTTAGGTATTTGTTAAATTCCTAGTCCTGCACTTCTCAAATGTCATTATACACTTAACCGGGAATCTTGTTGAAGTGCAGATTCTGATTCAGTGGGTCTAGGAGGACCTGAGATTCTGTACTGATAACAAGCTCCCCAGCTAAGGCAATGCTGGTGGCTCCAGACCCGTACTGGATAGCAGGGCCTTCGGCCATGTCCGAAGTGGATCTGAAAGGAACATAGTAGTAATCTAATCCAGAGGTCATGAGCACCTAGGTTCATCATTAAAATAGGATACGAATCGAATCTCCCTCCTAAAGATAGTGCCTGAAACACGATCATTACTCAATCTTATGGATAAAAACTGGGTAATTTAAAAGTGGGCTGGCTGCTGGGACCGGTTTGGCTCAATGGATAGAGCGTCGGCTTGGGGACTGAAGGGCCTTGGGTTCGATTCCGGTCAAGGGCATGTATTGATACCTTGGTTGCGGGCATATCCCCAGTAGGGGGTGTGCAAGAGGCAGCTGATCGATGACTCTCTCTCATTGATGTTTCTAACTCTCTATCTCTTTCCCTTCCTCGCTATACAAAAATCAATAAAATATATTTAAAAAATAAAATAAAATAAAAGTGGGCTGGCTGTATTGCAGTTGTTCAGGTCAGAGATTAAATCAGTAAGGTTGAGGTAATGTTGGGTAATATCACTTTCTATTAATTGCTCAAATCGTAGCATTGGGGTTTAAATAAGGACATTGGCCTCTTCTATAGTCCTCATAGCTGTTCCTGTATGGTATGTCCTCGTAGATCTTTGTCATAGCAGTTACTCACGCCCATTCTCATGTTTATGACCCTGTGCTTCATAGAACGGAAGTTACCAAAAGGTGGGGCAGGTGGGATCTGGACCTGGGAACTATTATACACCCTAAAAAACACAGGATCCTCTCCTTTTAACAATTGCAATTTTAAGCACTATTTGTCTACTCACATGCTTTGTCCCACAGCTAAGCCCATCAAGGTAGGACACTCTTTATCTTGTTCACACTGTGTCTCCTGCACTGAACAAAGCAGGGGCAGGTAGCAGGTGCTCAGACACACACGGGATGAGTGAACGAAGGGAAAGTACCATTTGTTGTCAGACAACAGTCCAGCTGCAGAGTGGACGCTAGCATGGCCAGTCTGGGCAGAGGGACCTGCTGGCCTTTCTTAGCTTATCTCCAGGGTCTGTCTTCCCTGGGCATCTGCCAAAATCCCTTCTTTCTCTAACCTGGTCCACCACAGACCCCCCTTACTTGATTGGGACTTCCTGGCAACCATCGTGTTTGTTTATAGCATTTCCCTAGTGATGCAAATATAAGTTTTACAGCTCTTCCTTCAGTGGCCTGTCTGGGCAGAAGGCCCTGCTCTGGGCTCCCTTGCTTTAACGGCTTTTTATTTGATTTTTTAAAAAACTTATTTTTTAAATTTATTTATTTATTTATTTATTTATTAATATATTTTATTGATTTTTTACAGAGAGGAAGGAAGAGAGATAGAGAGCCAGAAATGTCGATGAGAGAGAAACATTGACCAGCTGCCTCCTGCACACCCCCTAGTGGGGATGTGCCCGCAACCAAGGTACATGCCCTTGACCGGAATCGAACCAGGGACCCCTCAGTCCACAGACCAACGCTCTACCACTGAGCCAAACTGGTTTCAGCTATTTTATTTATTTTTTTATTTTGTTATCAGTTGTTTGCCATTGGCGGGATAAATATAGAGCTAAGTATTACTAAAATTGTTTACAGCTTTATAGATTTTAAGTAGTTTTTCTTTGTTTTCTCCCTCTCCTTTCCCCCCCACACAGAATGACACCTATGCCACAGTTTGTGAGGTAAGTTGGCCATCCTTATAAAAAGGATGTCATCCAACTCCATGTCTGTATCTCCCCTGGAAAAGCTGGTAAAATAACAACGGAGAAACCCGAATCATTCTCAGTGCACAGAGGCATTCTTCTTGGGTGTGCATAAAGACGACTGTGGAATTCCATGCTGACACAAATATTCGCTGTGTTTTATATGTCTGTGTGCATATGCAATGTCTAAAAAGTTACACAGATGTGTATGCACACATACACTTACGCTGCTCTGGTTGGAAGGGTCTAATTCCTGAAGCCTGGCCGGGCGAAGGTGGCAGGGAGAGAGGCAGGAGCAGAATTCAGGGTGTCCTTATTTCTGCTGATTTTATCGTCTTCCCCATAAAGCATGCTCTATCATTAAATACAATGCATTAAGAAAAGAACACTTTAGTTGCAATTTCTCCCCCTGATTCGACAAACTCCTTGGACAGCATTTTGAAGCATAGCAGGTGTGTGTGTGTGTGTGTGTGTGTGTGTGTGTGTGTGTGTGTTTTCTTGCTGTTCTAATGAGGGACCTTGTGCTGACTCTGCTGCCCAGGTCTCCCCGCCCCCCACCTCCTCCCCCCACTCCAGGCCAGGACCCTCCCCCGAAGCTCCTAGCAGGTTCTCTGCTCCTTCAGAAGGACCTTAGGACTTTGAGCTTGTCTTCCTCAATCTTCTTGAACTGAACCTGATCTTCAGAGTTTATTTTAGATCATTTGACAATAGGTACTTCTGACTACATTATTTCTCAGTTTAAAATCCATGTTGCTTTGTTTTTAAATGTCCTTAAAAGCCAGAGAACAAAACTAACTTATCTTGCTGGAGGAAGGAGTACAAATATCAACCATTAGTAAAATGGAAAAATTCCCCTTTAGTTGATAATACAAAAAAAAAAAAAATTTTTTTAATTGGAATAATTTCTCCATAGTCTGTGATGACTTCATACTTGAGTGATTTTTCCTTGGGAGTGAATGGTGGTGGGGTTAGCTAAGAAGAGATAAAACACAGGGCCGGGGGAGGTGCCACATATGTAAATAGACAATGAAGAGAGAGAGAGAGAGAGAGAGAGAGAGAGAGAGAGAGAGAGAGAGAGAGAGAGAGAGAGAGAGAGAGAGAGGAGAGAGAGAGGCTTGGATGTTACTTTAAAAAATTGATCTTACTCTGACTGGTTTGGCTCAGGGGACAGAGCGACCACTTGCAGACTGAAGGTCCCAGGTTCCATTCTAGTCAAGGGCACATGCCCAGGGTGGGCTGGATCCCCAGTAGAGGGCATGCAGAAGGCAGCTGATTGGTGATTCTCTCTCTCATCACTGATGTTTCTGTCTCTCTCTCCCTCTCCCTTCCTCTCTGAAATCAATAAAAATATATCTTTAAAAATTGATTTAAAAAATGGTAATTATGTGACAAGAGGGTGGTAATGCTATGGTGATCATCATATTGCAATATATAAATGCATCAAATATTGTGCACCTTAAATGTACACAATGTTATGTGTCAATTATGTCTCAATAAAACTGGAAAATATACAAGCTTCATAAAAAGTAAACAAAACAAAATATTTAAATGCCTAGATAGATCAGAATTTTGTTCATATTTTCCCCTGAAAAAAATTTAAAAGAACTAGGCCCATATATTCCCTTAAATACTAGCTATATTTTCAAACAAACATTATTCCAACTCCTTTCTTCCTCCTCAGTGTTCTTTCTTGGAAACAAAATCCTATGTTACATGATAATTTTGCTGCCACTTGGTATTTTATTCTCTACAGATATATTGAATGTATTTTATGGAAACCTGAAAGATGTGAAAAGTATATGAAACCCTTAAGTTAAATAATCTGGAGCTCAACCTGAGGTGTTTAAATTAATCCTTAACTAAGCAAACCTGGGCTTATCAGGCTCTGCTTCCTCTGAGCTCACAGACCAAACACTGGCCAACTAGTATGTGCAAATCATAGCCTTCTACCTGGAATTTTTAGGGCAAATGCATTGTGCCATGGTTTCCACTATTATCACGAGAAACAATAACATGTTTTCCTAGGCATTATAAGTTGAGTGAGATCAGGAAGATTGATCATGATTGTGTTGTAGGTTTACAATGGGTGTCTTTTCTCCCCCCCCCCTTTTTTTTTTCATAGCTAATGTTAATACATCTGTTCCAGGAAATTTGTGTCTCAGTCATCAAAATGTTAATGTTTACTCTGGTTTTGGTTATCGAGATAATATGTTAACCATCATTACATTTTTTTTTTTTTTTTTAGACTTTAAAATTTAACGTTGGTATTAAGACCTCCATTAAAATGTTCAGGTATTATAAAGAGTATAGTCCACTTTTAATTTTTCAAGAAGTGCATGGAAATAAATAGGTATAATCTTAGGCTAGAGTTTTAGGTTATTAGCTCACCAAATCTTTGACTGAGATGGCAAAAATAATTGCATTGAAAAGCTCATTGTTTTTTCAAACTGTGAGGCGTGACCCATGAAATCAATTTAGTGAATAGAGTCCCAATAATCAAATTAAGTGGATTAGAATAGAATAGAATAGAATAGAATAAAGATTGCATTTTGCGGAGGAAACTATTCTAAAATTAGATTGTAATGATGATTGCACAGTTCTGTGAATATCCTAAAAATCACTGAGCTGTGTGCTTTGGATGGGTAAATTTTAGGTTGCATGAAATAGATCTCAATAAAACTGTTAAAAGGGGAGGGGAGTAAATATTGTTTCAAGAATGTATTCCCCCTCCCCCCCCCCCCCCACACACACATTTGTGCACCACGTTCTTTCATTGCATGCATTTTGAAATCTGGGACATGATGAAAAGAGTTCGAAAGGTGCTGTTCCTATCCACTGGCAAATGAGAACTTTATTACAGTCGCCATCATTGGGATGCAGGGGCACTTATTTATCAGGCACTGAGATTTCAAACTGTTGCAGAAGCTTATCGGCCAAAGCGTAGCAAGGCTGCTCTGACCAGTGCGCTCCCTGTCTCCCACAGCGCGAGTCCTGTGAGGACGGCTGCAGCAGTGCGGAAGGTGCCTATGAGGAGGAGGTCCTAGGTGAGCAGACACATGCAGCTGGGACTGGAGATGCTCCACCCCCCTCTCGGAACCTATGCTCCACCTCCATAGCGCACTCCGATCTGTCTCTCTGTAATTCCATCATTTTATGTGGGAAAGCCATTTTGGTAGAGATTCAGTGAGACTCCTCTTTCAGAGCCAAAGAGGGGAGCAGAGCACAGGAGTGATGTTTAGAACCTGACTTTGCCCTCGTTCAGCAGCTGCAGTAGTCACTCCTCTCAATGAGAGACAGATGTGAGGGAGACTTGATGTCAGGAATGCCACTGTGTTAATGAACTGAGAGCATAGGAATTTTTAAATGTAATGTTCAGTGAATTATTCAGCTGGCAGTTATTCAAGAAAGCACCTCCCAGAAGCATGGCCCCCTACAAGACTCTAGGACAGTGGCCGGCAAACTCATTAGTCAACAGAGCTGAATATCAACAGTACAACCATTGAAATTTCCTTTGGGAGCTGAAAACCGACTTCTGCTCATGGGTCACGAAGTTTCAATCGCACTGGATGTGTGTGCCCGCACGTGGTATTTTGTGGAAGAGCTACACTCAAGGGGCCAAAGAGCTGCACATGGCTCTCGAGCCTTGGTTGGCCGACCACTGCTCAAGGACATTTCCATGTTGTATAGAAGCTGGTCCTTACGTCAGCCCTCGCTGGTAAGGTAGCTTATTTGGGCCAGGAGCTGAAAAACAACTGAGGCCTTGATGTTATCTCTAGGGAGGAAAAGTCAGGAGGTCCAGATCTCACAACCAGTGATATGCTAGGGGAGGAAAAGCCACCCTGGGGGCAAGACCCCACCCTACAATTGATTGACCTCCACTAGGCACCTGGGGCTTTCCACCTCCTGACCTTCTGAACCTGGCCCATCTTCATTGCTCTGCTCACGTCAGTCTAACTGCCTACAGCAGTACTGCTAGCTGGAGGTAATTCATGCTATAAACAAAGAATTGCACTGCGTTCCTATTGTTGATATCATGTCTTTGTGATGCTGGGCTGTTTTGGTTATTGCTGTAATAAGAAACAAGTACCTTGAGAAAGTCAACATGGGACAGTAAATGAGGTGGTGGTACCCAATCTAATTATAATATTAAAGACATTGTACAGTCCCCAGAAACCACACAGATCTCATTAGTTAGCATCATTTTAAGGATGAAACAAATATATTATTTTGTCTTTAAATGTATGCGCTATTTTTTTTCAAATCTATTAAGTTGATAGATCAAATCATTAAGTTGATCTATTAACTTATGTTATAATAATAAATATAACTGATAGATAATTCCTTTGGTCCAGAGAATCTTAAAAAAAAATTACTGAGAAACTAAAGATTTCAGAACTGAGAAAGTTTGGAAAACCGATTTACATCCTATTTTAACATTCTGAAATTATGCTACCTACTGAATTATACAATTTGGTTAGAATGCCAGTATAATTAGTGCTTTATTTTAAATTTCTCACTGGCTTTGGATCAGTGTCTGTACCACTGACAGATAAGATGTATCCAGTCTAAATAAAGGCATTTGTGCTTACAACCATATCTTTAGTTTGTTACAACAAATCTTATTGCCCAGGCACCTAACATGTTGTTTGTCTTGAACACATGTTACCTGTTGGTCTGCTGTCTTAGTCTATTTGAGATACCCTCCGTGGCCCTTTTCCACATGGCATGAATGATAGTAACTAATAATATATTGAAATATGAATAGCTATCATTTATTAGGTATTTATGAGTCAGGTTTTGTTCTCAGTAATTTATAGGTTTAAGCTCTTTTTCTTTTTTCCCCTAAGAGATATAAGTATTATGATTGGCCTCATTTCACAGATGAGAAAAATGAGGCACAAGTATAAATTCCTGCTTGGGGTTGCTTGGGGCTGTACAGCTGGAGAGGAATGTAATCGGAATTGTAACCCAGCTATCTCATTCCAGAGCCTTTTGGGCTGGGCACTATATTAAAAGTATCGATAGTATATAGCTCAGTTTAGCTTCTCTTTCCCATTTGGTTCATCCCCATCTTTATGTTTTAGAATAAACCTACTTTGCTTCTGTTTTACCATGGCTTTCAAACAAATATCTTTTTAAAGCTATGAAATATACACTTCATACTTGTATGTGTAAAACTCTGGTCTCTTCTACCCGGAAACGTAAAAGTGTTTAAGAGGATGTGGAGAACCTGGAATCCTGCACACTGTGGGTGGGAACGATGGTGCATGGTGAATGAAATCTCGTTTCCCCCCCAGAAAATGTAGACCTCCCCACTGCGCCCTTTGCTTCTTCCATTGGGAACCAGAGTGTGACATTGCGATGGAAGCCTGCCAACAACTCCGGAGTAAAATACATCGTTCAGTGGAAATATGCACAACATCCGGGGAGCTGGACTTACACTGAGGTATGAGAAACTGCCTGTGTACTGAAGCAGTCTTTTTCTCCAATAAAGTGCCAAATTACTACATGTAACCTGTAATAATAAAAGCATAATATGCTAACTAGACCAGATGACCTTCCGGACAAAGCCAGGCTTGTAAGGGAAGCTCGGGTCCAGGTGCCAGAGGGAAGCCAGTGGCGGCAGCTGGGGAAAGGAAGGCCTACTCTTGGGTGAATTTTGTGCATCGGGTCTCTAGTTATAGGTTTAAAGACAATCTGGGGAAGAGTAAATCATAAAATGACTGGTTTGGATGAGATAAATTTTAATGTCTGCTACTCTGTAACATGTTACTGCTAAACCCTTTATATTTATTTAATTTTAATATATTTTATTGATTGTTTACAGAGAGGAAGGGAGAAGGATAGAGAGTTAGAAACATCAATGAGAGAGAAACATTGAACAGCTGCCTCCTGCACACCTCCCACTGAGGATGTGCCTGCAACCAAGGCACATGCCCTTGACTGGAATCGAATTGTCCACAGACACTTTATCCACTGAGCCAAAGCAGTTAGGACTATTTTTTTATTTTTGAAGAAAATATACTAGACATACATATTATTCCTTCAGCACAGCATCCTATAACCAACTACTCATATTATTGGCCATTATCTGCCCATATCGGCCCATCCCACTTAAAATGATTCTAATGAGAACAAAGGGCAGGAAGGTATCAGAACTGGCTTTTTTAGGAAGGCATGAGCCAGTTCAGAGAAAAATACCCCTAAGACACCAAGTATACGGGGTGCCCCCCTAAACGTATACTTACTTTAACAGCTTAACTAGCCCAATGGATGTTTCTTTCTCTTCAGATTTAGCCATTGGCATTCACAATGGGTTCAAAGTATGTATACATTCTTTTGCGACACCCTGTATCATCGACTTGAACAATTAAAGTAAAGCTTTGTGGTAAATACCAAATAATCAAATCCATAACTTTGCAGTTTTGAAGCAGGAAAGAGTTTCTAGGTGACTTTTGCAGACTGACGTCTGGATGGCTCAGCTCCAAGCTCCAGACCTTCCTTTCATGTGGCCTGGGTGGTCCAAGTCCTCTACATCCAAACGACCACCCCCGTCTCCACCTTCCTCTGTGCCCGGTGTGCTGACGGTCGATCTCTCGTTGGTCCAGGCCGTGTCCAAACTGTCCTATGTGGTGGAGCCCCTGCACCCCTTCACGGAGTATGTTTTCCGAGTGGTTTGGATATTCACAGCCCGGCTGCAGCTGTCTTCTCCCCCGAGCCCCAGCTACAGGACTCACCCTTATGGAGGTATGGCGTGTCCTTATTTATTTATTTTTTAAAATATATTTTATCGATTTCTTTTTTACAGAGATGAAAGAAGAAGGATAGAGAGTTAGAAACATCGTTCAGAGAGAAACATCCATCAGCTGCCTCCTGCACACCCCCTACTGGGGATGTGCCCGCAACCAAGGTACATGCCCTTGACCGGAATCGAACCTGGGACCTTTCAGTCCACAGGCTAACGCTCTATCCACTGAGCCAAACCAGTTTCAGCTGGTGTGTCCTTATTGCTTATGAAATAGATTATCCTAGAGCTTTTGTTTAATGTGGTGTTTTGTTTTTTTTTAAACAGTGAAATAAATCTATGCTATCATTAATGGATCCATCCCACAAGTGAGTTCCTATGTGCCAGGGAGAGTCCTCGGTGCTCACCAGACCTCTGTGATCAAAGCAAAAAGCCCTGCTCTTGTGGGGCTCACCTTCCGGTGGAGTAGAAATGAAGCGGTGAACAGAATAAGTAAGGAAAGTATATCGTAGGTGGGAAGGTGCCGGGCACTCTGACAGAGGAATGTTTTTCTGAACAGGATCTGTCCTTTATGGGATTGGAAATGGGGGAAGGAGAGTCTGGTTGCAGTATATATAGATGGTCAGAGCAAGGCTCAATAAGCAGATAGGAATTATGGGAGGTTTTAAAGCAGAAGAGCAATTGTTTCACCTGCCCCGCAGAAAGATAATTTTGACAACTTCACATGGAATGGATTGAGAGAATGAGAGAGATTGGCAAATAGAGAGACCTGCCGGAAGGTTACAATAGTACAGTTATACTACATTTTATCAGAGATAGCTAAAAGAAATGCTACATACATTGGAGCATTTTCTGATTTCTTCTTTTTGAAGATGTGACTTTCCCATCAGGAAAAGGATCGAGCCTCGAGCCTTTGAGGGAGGCAAGTTCCTGGGGCAAACATTCAAGGAGAGCTGCCTGGTGCCCTGGGCTTCAGCGGTAGCTGAGGGACCCTGGGAGGACTGACTCCAGGCCAGGTGTTAGCTGTCTTACGTCTCAGTTCTGGAGATGCAGCTGTGTGAGAGATCCTCTGATTGAACGAGGCCTTGGACCTAAGGAAGGACAGCTGGTCAAGTTGATTTGGGCATTTTCCCCCTTCCCTGACGAGTGTCCTCCTCTTGCTTGTTAGATCTCAGGGTAAGTGTGGCCACCTCTGTGGGTTATTCTCTGACCATTCCCTCAGGTCAGACCCTGATCTAGGACAATGTTTGCAATGTTGCAGATTGGAATAGAAAACATGCATCCGTCTTTGTTCAGAAAAATGCCTGATGTGCTTCCACTGTGCTGGATCATTCTCCAGAGCTGGAGAGACACCATGGTTGTTGAATAAAAATAATGAAAAATAAAAATTTTGCTTTCCATTTCTGGGCCTTTCTCCTGGATATGCTCTCCAGGTGTCCCAGACCCTGTACTGGGTGGTCTTTGCATGGATAACATCTCATGCTTCAATTCGCTCTCACTTTTATAGCCACATCAAAGCATATAAAGTTATCTGTTTTGTGTTCCATTGACACATGGTCCTATTCCCTGTTAGCTATGGAAAATACATGACTTTAGACGGTATGACCGCCTTGTAATTAGGGCCCTTATGTAGATAATTTCTTAACCAACAAAAATGGTTTGGCTGAAACTGGTTTGACTCAGTGGATAGAGCATCGGCCTGCAGACTGAGGAGTCCTGGGTTCGATTCTGATCGGGGGCATGTACCTTGGTTGTGGGCACATCCCCAGTGGGAGGTGTGCAAGAGGCAGCTGATCAATGTTTCTCTCTCATCGATGTTTCTGGCTCTCTATCCCCCTTCCTTCCTCTCTGTAAAAAATCAATAATATATATATATATATATATATATATATATATATATATATATATATATACATAAAAGAATGGTTTGGGGCAAGGATTACCTTGCCTACTCTGACCAGTCTTTCAGGGAAGGCTTTTGTGGGAGATTTGGACAATAATCACACCATTTGGTGGGATCAAACTTGCTTGAAGTGGAGCAGATTATATCTGGCCTTAACCCAAATGAGTAGGCTTTTTGACATAATTCCCACTTCCTTCTTCATCATGGTGACTGAGTGCACGGAGCAGCGGAGTGATGCAATGATGTTTGTGTTTGCCGGAGATCAGTCTGAGGGTTGGGGAGGAATTGTATCAGAAAAAGGCTGAGAGGTCAATTAGAGGCCTTTTTATTTAATTAATTTATTTCTTTAAACTCTGTTTTTATTGTTGACACTATTACAGACGTCACCCTCCCCGGGCCTCCCTCTGCCAGTCCAGTGTGAGGGCTGAACTACCTAACTTCTCCCAACTCTGATAAATCAAGGGTGATATCGAGCATCTGCCAGAAGAGTTCAGAGGGAGAGAGGCTACTAAAGAGCAAAGGGACATTAAGGGGCTACTTGTCCTGGAAAGAGGAAGTAAAACACGTGGTTTCAGGGGTGGGGGGGAATGAGAAGTAGGTGGAGATGTAAATGGAAGACAGGCTGATAAATCATTTGCTTTCCTTTCTGTTCTTTGCCACTTAGGTAGCTTCTGAAGTCTATGATACTGAATTAATTAATGCATGCTTCTTTAATTCTTTGAAAGGGAAGGAGTGTAGCTAAAGTGTAGTCAACCTGGATTCCAAGGGACCCTAGGAGCCGGGGGAAGTCTGGGTCAATGGTGTGGCTCTTTGGCCCCTTGAGTGTGGCTTTTCCACAAAATACCACTGCCTGGGCATTAGAAGAAGTTTAAGTTTAAAAAATGTTGCTCTCCGAAGAAATTTCAATCGTTGTACTGTTGATATTTGGCTCTGTTGACTAATGAGTTTGCTGACCTCAGGTCTGGATCATCAGGTGAAGTAGACTGTTTAGCTCAGGCTTATCGGAACCCATATCTTCAGCTGGAACTGGCCAGGCATAGCACTCCAGGGAGTGAAAAGGCCCCAGGACTTAATTCTTTCAACTCATGCTAATCATTGACTCAGTTTTGTTCCCGGATTCTTTTCTCCTTCCCTACTTGGTTCTGCCCCACATTCAGCTCTTTTAAGTCCCTGGAGATTTTTTTGACAACTTTTTTTTTCTAGAATACTTATCCTATCTGTACACTTCCACATTTAATTCTAGTTCATAAGCTAGAAGTGGGGAAAATAACATTTGAAAGAGTCCCTTAGGAAAACAGCTAAGGGCTAAGACTTAGGGATCAAGAGTGGCAGCTCATAGATATCTTCCCACCTTCTGTCTATCACTTATTTTGAATTGATTATTTCACTTATGTTACCTTTTCAAGAAAACAGGACATTGTTTTCTATCCTCTCTAAAATCATAAGCCCTGCACGTTTCTGCTTACTGTGTCCCCATTCTCTCTTCTAGCTCCTGAAACTGCTCCTCTCATTAGAAATATTGAGAGCTCCAGTCCTGACACCGTGGAAGTCAGCTGGGCTCCACCCCAATTCCCAGGCGGACCTATTTTGGGTTATAACTTAAGGCTGATCAGCAAAAATCAGAAATTACATTCAGGAACACAGAGAACCAGTTTCCAGTTTTATTCTACTCTACCCAATACCACTTACAGGTAAGAATTAAGTGGTGCAAGGGAAAGGTAACCAGCATGGCTGTAGGCATAATAACTATTTAGGCAACGTAGTTTAAATGTATTTTGAGAAGTCCCATTGAATCTGTACTGTTGGGATGAAGTTGTATTTTTCCTCAAGTTTGCATGCTCACTAGATCACACATCTTAAACAGAAACATCCTCAAGCATTTCTATTCTATTCAGAGGATCCTTATCAACATGGGCTAATAAAAGACATCATAAATACCACGATTTCTTCATTTAATTCAACCTAAAACAGTAAGGAGGTGAAATTCGGTTAATGGCATTTTGTATTAACCGTTAGGGGTTATTATTTTATTATTGTTAGCTTTTCTAGCATTTACTAAGTTCCTCTAAATTAGGGTAAGAACGGGGTCATGCAGATAGCAGAGTTCAGTTTTTGACCTCTGTGCCCCTGAACTGTTCTATGGGAAATGCAAACAAGATGTGATTGATGGCTATTTAGTGCCCAGCCCTGGCACCAAATAACCAGATACATGCATTGTCACGTTGTCCTTTAAATGGAAACATTACTGCTCCTTCTATTTTTATCTCCCGTTCACACCATGCCATGTAAAACACATCTCTCCAAATTGTTTTTGGAACAGGTTTTCTGTTGCAGCTGTAAATGAAGTTGGGGAGGGGCCAGAAGCAGAATCTCGTATTTCCACTCCATCCCCAGCAGGTATGGCCTAGCGCTGCTCTTCATTACACAGAACTGGAGGGGGTGGCAGTGGTGGTTCCGCTCTCAGAGGTCCTGGGTCATCTGGTGTTCCTCCAGACACCCCTCTTCTGCCCAGATGGACACTGTCTTCTTGGGACTTGGAAATCTTTCAATTTGGTGTATTGAAGTAAGTTGTTAGATGGAAAGGTTTCACATTAGAATTTAGGAATGTAAAGAGTAAAATCAGAAAATTTAGGGATTAAAAAAATGGCCTCAAGCAAATCTTTGGTTTCAGGTAAAATCACTAGTGATTGTAACACATTTACACACGTAGGGGTAATGCATAATCTTTCTGCCTCAACCCTCATTTTATATTGTGCATCATTGTCATTTAATACATAGCAGATATCTTTTCTGCCAGCCTCCATAAGGTTTTCAAATATATGTAGACTTAATCATCTCCATTTTACCACTCTGAATAGCCAATCTACCAAATTAGCTTTTGTTGTTATTTTATAAGTACCTTTTTGGGAAGCCTTTGCCATTTTATTTTTATTTATTTATTTAAAAATATATATATTATTGATTTCAGAGAGGAAGGAAGAGGGAGAGTGAGATAGAAATATCAATGATGATAGAGAATCATTGATCAGCTGCCTCCTGCCCACAACCAGAGCATGTGCCCTTGACTGGGATCAAACCCAGGACCCTTCAGTACACAGACTAATGCTCTATCTACTGGGCCAAACCAGCTAGGGTGGCCTTTGGCATTTTAACAATTGCCTAGAGAGACTGAATACTTATTGCATGATGATTAGGTGAGCAAAATAATAAATGAAAATGCTTTCTAAGAAGCACTGGAAATGTTTGGAGGAATCTAGTAGAATAGTTTTGAATAACATACAAAGATCCAGAATTCTAGGAGTCTGTGGTCTATTTTCCCTAGAGTCCATTGGCTGGTTGACTGCCCCTTACCTAACTGCACACACTTATGCCGGTGGGTATTGAATGTCACCTCTTACCAGCTTTTGTTTTCTTTGGCTGTTAGGAGACTCTAGGAAAAGAGAGGTATTTTGGCTAGGCAAAAAAAAACATGTCCAAAGGGCAAGTTAAATATAGAGCAGGCTTAAGCTTGTCATTACTGTGATTATTGCATAACATTTATTAATTGCCCTAAGAGTGCTCACCGGCACACACTTCATCAGCCTCCAAAAGAACAGGACATCAAGCAGAGTTCTGCTGTCCTCAAATTTCCTTCCTCCAAGGACTTTCTTCCTGCCTCAGGGAGAGATATTGAAGACAATAGGAAGACAACCAATGCCTGTGTGTGTGTGTGTGTGTGTGTGTGTATGCTCTCTGTGTAGCACCCACTCTGTAATACCCACTCTGGCCTGCACCGGACCACCTCCACCCAGCAGTCAAATTCTTATGGCTGACATAATGAGCTGAATCAGTCTTCTGGCAAGGCTGTTGGGAATGGCGATACTCCATGTCATGTTATTTTGAGGGCACTTAGGGGCACATACACATACAACCCGCTTGGTTGACACTGTACTTGCTATCCTGATCATAGAGTAGTGTGGTTTATACCACAGTTGAAATGCCTCTTTCAAGTGCTCGACCTCTTGCTTTGGAGGGTGGCATTGATCTTCTTGTGTCGATGTGTATATGCTTGGGGTTATCTCTGAAAATCGTGTTATCATTTTAGTTCAAGAAGAGGAACAGTGGCTCTTCTTATCCAGAAAATCTTCTCTAAGAAAGAGATCTTTAAAACATCTGGTAGATGAAGCACAGTGCCTTCAGTCAGATGCTGCACACCATAACATTACAGGTCAGTATAGTAAAGAGAAATAGTTCCTTCGTGTGAAAAGGAAGATCCAGGTTGATTTCTCTTTTAATCTCTTCATGAAAAATTAAGGAACTAAATTATCTTTTATGTAAGTTTTTTTTTTTGTTCGGTGCTATGAAATAACGCACGTGCATTTGCGTGGTCTTCTAGGAATATCAGTTCATGTCCAGCGGCAAGTTGTTTATTTCTCTGAAGGGACTCTCATATGGGCCAAGGAGGCTTCCAACATGTCTGATAAGTCTGACCTGAGAATTGTTTACAGAGGTTCAGGAGTGATTACTTCCCTCTCCATCGACTGGCTTTATCAGAGAATGTATTTCATCATGGATGAACTGGTTAGTCTGAGAGTTTAAAGTGAATAAGCAGATACTGATATTCATATGTATATCAGACATATTTACAAGTAAACATGATTTTTCATTAAATAAGTATTCATCAATTATTTATTACTAGAGAGCTGGTGTACAAATTCATGCACAGGTGGAGTCCAGCCTGTCTGCCCTGATGGGGGCCCATCAGGCTGGCTGGGAAGAAGGACTTGGGGGAGGGGCCATGAGTGATTGGCCATCGAGGGGACAATTTGCATATTGTCCTGTTATTATATAGGATGTTTTAGACACTAGGTTAACAAAATCATAGATCTGCTCTATAGGAGGGTCTAGACTTTACCTAGTACTAGTCCTAATCTACTAGTCATCTTTATTGGTGATTTTCCAGAGCCATGAGTTTATGCTAATGATAATTCAACTTTCATAAGATAGAAGTGGTACTTGTATTATAACTAGGTAGGACTGCCCATCATGGTCAAAATCAGCTGCAAGCATTTTGAGTTATGTAATAACCAGAGTTGACTTTAGGTCTCTCAAAACCAGTATTACTGAAATTTTTGAGAAGACACAGTCTTGAGGTGTTTCAAGTTTCCTTCTTGAAAGTGATAGGCTTATCACAGTCACTATGGCTGTGAAATTCATAAGCTTGGGTCAGCCTAAGTATTAAAAATAGTTGAGTGTCTACGAAAGCCAGGAAAATAGGCACTTGTATTTCATTGATGTCAATAGGTTATAAACTCATTAGGACATAGGATTTAAAATGGAGTTTCAGGGCATTTTCATGTTTTCAAAAAGTGCTCAGTGACCAGCACAACTCTAAGCACAGAATAGATGCCCAAGAAATACTTGTTGGCCAAATTGAATCTAGACAGACTCTAATCCTACTGCTGGAATTTTGATTCTCTAGGTATATGTTTGTGACTTAGAGAACTGCTCAAACATTGAAGAAATTACTCCTCCCTCAATTATTGCACCTCAAAAAATTGTGGCTGATTCATATAATGGGTAAGTGGATTAATCTTACAATTACAAATTCTTCAATAGGTAAGAAACTTTGGGAAACTTGCTTAATAATGAGACATTATCATCTTAGAAGAGCCAATCTATGTATCTTAGCTCAAATTTAAATAAATCCAGATAATGTTTTCATTCTATAGAGCCAGGGGGGAATTTCTTCCAAACAGGATACACATCTTCTCTAGTTAAGAGTTTTCCCTTTCTCATTCACAGTAAAATATGGGTATTTGTGAAAGACGTCTCATCTGGGACTCAGGGACCTGGGTTCTAGTACTGTCACTATTTTATGGCACAACCCGGATCTCATTGTCCTCCTCAGTGCTCCCTGAGAGAAGCCCTTCCATTTCCTCTCTTTATTGCACTCGTTCTTTTGCTGGGCAACTCAGCATCAGTTCATTTCTCTGGTCTGGTTCTTATGCCTATGAAGAAGCTGATTGATCAGAATGCTGCCAGTATCCACCTTAGGAGACAAGAATTGATGGTTAATGATAAGCAAAACTTTTCCATTACAAATAACTATTTTTCCCTTCACTACAAATGGAATGGACACATTTTAGCTCAGGTGTGCTGCTATATTGCAATAAGACCTCAAACAAGTAACCTCATGCCTGTGACCTTTATTTTATCAAAAGTGCTGGATGAACACATAAAAAGTTATCTTGTGATTTACTCCTTAATTATGGCCAGCTAATTATAGGTTAGTAACTAACAAGCAAGGCCAGTGTTTGTAGGATTACTAGTAAATGTTTTTCTTTCTTCTAGGGATAAAATTATTTTCACTTTTTAAAAAGTCTATTGATCTCAAATTAAACTTCATGAAAGAATCACTGAATTACAGAAACATTTTTAAAAAAACACTGTGATGTAAGGCAGGTCCTTTGAACCTGTAATCTTATTTTCCTCATTTGTAAAAGACGAAAATCCTGTTAAGTGTACCTTTGTTGCTGGCAATTACATAAAAGGACTCATTCTGAGAATAATGAACTTCCCTCACTAAACCAAACCCTCAAAATGCATCTCAGTGAGGTTTTTGGTGGCTCTTTTTTCCATAAATGAAAGGTTGATTTCTGTTTAGATTTTGAAATGTGACTAGAAATAATAATGATAATGAACAGTTATAAGGCACTTAATATGTGGTTTTAAGTGCATTATTTCAACGTTCCATTTAAACCTTGTTCAACACTATGATGTAGGTGCTTTGAATATCCTAAGTTTATAAATAGGAAAGCAAAGAAGAGGTTGATTTAGTGATTGCCCAAGATCACACAGCTATTTTGGGATGACACCAGTACGTGACTTCCTACTCGAGGCCTTCTTCTAATCATCTCATACAGTGGTAGACTTTCTGTGAAAACCAGTTGTAACTTTGAGCAACACTTAGGGAATGTTCCTAAAGCACTCCAGATGTGGGGAAAAGTTGATTCTCCTGCTATAAAAAAATAAAATAAAATAAAAAAGCTTTCTTTTATGCTATCATTTTGCACCATTGAACTATAACCTCACTGAGTGTGTTGCTGCTATAAACCTTTCCCCTCTCCCCTCGTCCCTGCCTCATCCCCCTTTCCCCTCTATATTCTACCTCCCACACCCCAGCTCGCCTCACCTTCCTTTTCTTTTTCTTTCCCCTCCCAAGTGGTGATGAGCATTAGAGATAATGCACTCCTTCCTGCTTCGGTATAAGAATTGTAATCTTATACACCCCATAACGTTTTTTTCTATCTATTCTGACATCCCTTAACAATTTGAACTTGGGAGACAAAAGCAGGAAGTTAGGAGCCAAGGTGTTTCTGCTTTTTTGCCTGCCACAATCTTCCCTTCGGATGAAGATTGTAGGTTCATGTCCCAGGATGAAGTTTATATCTCAGGATAAGGTTCTAGCACAGGAGTCGTGAGCATATTGATAAGGATTTGGGATAGTCATCTGGAGAACAAGAGTGGGACTGCATAGGACGAGGACAATGATTGGACAGTTGTAGCTCTGAATCCTGCCAATCCACGGGTTTGTGATGAGAAAGATTTACTAAGCAAAAGTACATCTGTCTCCATGAACACAAATCTGCAATTGGCTGCATTCAAATTAATAGTTTTATGTTTTAGTTAATATCCTGACAGATTTGATTGTAAATGAAGAATTTTAGTAAAATAAGGTGTTTCCTTTTTCATGATTACAAATTCTCCTGCACAACTCTTTTCATGTTTGGTTTCAAATTATATGAATTTTCAAAATTCTTCCATTGGCTTCTTTCTTCTGATTACTGGGTGGTCCTGCTACCTTTTGCAATATTTCTTCATGAGTTGTAAAATGGCAGCTCTATTGCTGCAATTGTAAATATTTTTAAAAGCTTAGTCTACTAAAAATGCAAAGTAGCTTTGCTAAATATTTATCATAAACCAATAACTGAGGTTTTAAAAAAGTGGTTGAAACGTTTTTGCTTTCTTCCATTTTTTTCATTTACAATGAATGGGAAAATTTATTGGTAGAAGTAGACTTAAAATTTTGTGATTTGGGGAGAAAAGTTTTTGTACAAAATAACATGTAACTTTTATATAATGTGCTTTCCTTTAAGAATAGGTTCCATTAGAAAAATCCTTAAATCCTTTTTGCTTTTAAATTCTATGATTCTAAAAAGTCATGTATTGCCGAAACCGGTTTGGCTCAGTGGATAGAGCATTGGCCTGTGGACTGAAAGGTCCCAGGTTCGATTCAGTCAAAGGCATGTACCTTGGTTGTGGGCACATCCCCAGTAGGGGGTGTGCAAGAGGCAGCTAATTGATGATTCTCTCTCATCGATGTTTCTAACTCTCTATTCCTCTCTCTTCCTCTCTGTAAAAAAAATCAATAAAATATATTTTTAAAGAAGTCATGTATAAGTGAGGATGCTAAGCACTATAAGTGAGACTGAAATCTTTCAATGTTCTAACTTCTAACTTAAATGAATAGAGCATATCCGTAGTAAGTATTCTTATTCTTTTGCTACTTGGGAAACCCTGCACTTATGAACTCCGGAGATACATGATTCTGATTGCACAGTTGGATAAAGCATTGGGTTGGGGAGCTTACTCATCTACTTTTGCACTGAGTCAAACCAGGCTCCTTTTGTTCCCACACCAGGTATGTCTTTTATCTCCTGAGGGATGGCATCTATAGAGTAGCTCTCCAGGTGTCACCTGGCCAGGACTCAGAAGCCATGCGCATTGTGGAGAGTTGCACATTAAAAGACTTTGCCGTAAAGCCACAGTCCAAGCGGATCATTTACTTCAACGACACCACCCACGTCTTCATGTCAACTTTTCTGGATGGCTCTGCTTCCCATCTGGCCCTCCCGCATGTCCCCTTTGCTGATGTGAAGAGCTTTGACTGGGAGAACAATCACTTCCTTGTCACCGATGGCAAGGCTGTTTTCCGGCAGGATGCCTTGTCTTTCAATGAGTTCATCGTGGGGTGTGACCTGAGACACATAGAAGAGTTTGGGTTTGGTAACTTGGTCATGTTTAGCAGGTACACCCAGCCGTACCCCCTGCCGGCCCATCCGCAGCAGGTCTCTGTGCTGTTCGGATCCCACCAGGCCCTGGTTCAGTGGAAGCCTCCAGCCCTCACCATAGGCGCCAGTGAGTGCCCTCTCCCCAGCGTGGTCATGGCCTCAAGTGGAAGGAAAGGAAAGCTTGAACTGCTTGACATTGCCACTCAGTTTTGAGAGCTCATGTGGTGTGATGATTCACTCATCAGAGTGCTACTTAGCTCAAAAAGGAGTTTTGACACGTTTAGTCTGCATTTATTAGTTTTGCGTTGGAAAGCTCTCTCTGTTTTTCATTTATATCCCAACAGAATGCCTCAAATGTTTGAATGTCTACTAGGAGTCAGGCACTGACAAGCTAGTCTGCCTGACTATTAGCCAGGGGGTTAGGGCACTTGGGTTGAGGTTTTGTAATCATCATAGCCTTTAATTAATGTTAGCTACTCCCTAAAACTCTCTAAACCTGAAGTTCTATCTCTGCAGAGGCAGTTTGTGTGGTGGGTGAGTAGGTGAGCTCTGGAGCCAGTCTGCATGGACTCAAAGGCTGGTCTTGCCATTTATTAGCTGAATGACTCTGGACAACTTACTTAACCAGTTTCCACTACTGGAAGATGGGGATATTAATTCTTTCTATGGTGTTGTCATGTAGATTAAAGTAAGATGCATAAATAGAAAACACTTAAAACAATACCTAGCACAGAGGCCAGCAAACTTTTTCTAGAAGTGAAGGACCAGCTATAAAGATGTTCAGCTTTGTGGCTCATACGGTCTCTGAGACTGCTAGGCAGCACTGTCTTGGTAGTGTAGAAACAGCCATAGATAATCTACCAGTGAGTATCTGTACAACTTCATTTACAAAAACAGGAGTGGGCTAGATCTGACCCCGGGACTGTAGTTACCAACCCCTAGCCACCTAGGGTATTTAGCAAACATTGTCTATTTTCTCCTTTAAGACAAAGTTAGCTGTGCCTCTTTGCTGTATGTCACAAAGACAGCTGAAAATGAACAAGCAAATTTTGGGAGGTATTGTTTGGGCTTCTGGGAAAAAAGTGCTATGCAAGCACTAGAGTTATATTAGAGATTCACCACAAGCATTTGCTTATTATTTTTTTAAATATATTTTATTGATTTTTTACAGAGAGGAGGAGAGAGGGATAGAGAGCTAGAAAAGTCAATGAGAGAGAAACATCGACCAGCTGCCTCTTGCACACCCCCTACCGTGGATGTGCCCGCAACCAAGGTACATGCCCTTGACCGGAATCGAACCTGGGACCTTTCAGTCTGCAGACCGATGCTCTACCACTGAGCCAAACCGGTTTCGGCGGCATTTGCTTATTAAGAGCCTGGTTCCACCTGGCGGTGTGAGAGAGCATCCCTCTGACAATTCTGTGCAGCCAAGTGTCCTCTGATTTGTTGGGAATAATGACTCCATCAATAAGCAAGATGAGTGGCATGGGTGGAAGGGACACTGTTCTAGTGATACCATCAAACTAACCCTGATGATTAGTGGGGCAGCAGGTATTACTGCCCAATGACCCTTCCAGTCAAGGTGAGGCTGGAGGTGAATTTGCTCCTGACCCTTTGCTCGCCCTTGCTGATGTCATTCCGGCCAGTAATATTGGTTAACTCTTCTGATTAGGCCCTTCCTCCTGGCAGAACTGGACTTACGAGGTGAAAATATCAACCCAAGACTTTCCCGGAAATACTCGTGTTTTCTCTCACATCAGTGGGACCATGCTGAGAGTCCCCGGGCTGCAGAGTGCCACACAATATGAGGTTTCCGTGAGAGCAAGTTCTCCCAAGGGGCCAGGCCCGTGGTCAGAGCCCTCGGTGGGCACTACCCTGGTGCCAGGTGAGAAAATGTTCTTGATTTAGGGAGGGATTCTGTAAAAAAAAAAACAAACCCACAAAAACAACCCCCCCCAAAAAGACTTACTCCTGTGTTCCTTAAAATTACTCACTTCCAATATAGTAAAAAGTTAAAAGAAGGTGTGATGACCTCTTGAGTATGTTTATCTAAGATTAGGAAAACATATAAAGCACTGGGTAACATTTTTACGTGTCTGGCTTGATACGTTAAACTTCCCAAAAATAGTTTGTGGGAAAAACATATTTTTCTTCTCCTTCATGACTTTCTTCTTTCTTATGGTTTATTAAGCAATAGCACTCCTTGAGCTCTGAAGGTCATGCGGAGAGAAGTTGAGGGCTGCAAATTATGCTAAATATCATCCTCTTGGCAGAAAAAAAAAAAAGATAAGATAATTGTACCATTTCTAGTGATACTGTTAACACAATTGCTTCTGGGAGCTCTGAATGGGAACATGGCAACCAATAGCCAAAGCAAAAAAAAACAAAACAAAACAACAAACAAAAACAAAAACAAAACAAAACCCAAAAAGCAAATTCTGCCACGACCATGACATTGCTATAGAGGCAATATCATAATATATTTCTCTTCACATTAAATTTTAAATAATTACGTAAAAATCTGAGAGTATGTTTAGTATGATATATAATTCTATATATAGATATTAAGCAGACACAATTGCTCATACCCTTCCACAGTATTTTTTTTAAATATTGATACTCTTTTACTTTATAAAATGTGTGCCTTAAAAAGTGTGCTTTCTGTGATATTTCCTTCAATTTTTTTTTTTTTTTTTTTTTTTTTTTTTTTTTTTTTTTTTTTTTTTTTTACCCAATAGCTACAGAACCACCATTTATCATGGCTGTCAAAGAAGATGGCCTTTGGAGTAAACCATTGAATAGCTTTGGCCCAGGAGAATTCTTATCCTCTGATATAAAGAATGTGTCAGGTAAATGCCAAGTCCCTTTACACTTGGAATGACAGGTTTCTACTCATCACACTTCCCAAGCTATTTGATAAGTCAAAGAATCAAGCGTTTTGGTATTAGGTCAATAATGACAGGGTGAAAAATTGACTGACCTATACCTCCAGGGACAGTGTTAAGAAAATGTTGCTTCTCAAGTAGGAATGCTCTTTATTATTTCACAGAATGTGAGGTTACCTATTGGTTCATGCCCATTTCATGGAGGCTTTGATATATTTTTCATGTATTTTAATCTATCAGTGTTGTCTCACTGTAACAACATGTTCCACTAAGACAGCTATGCTTCGATAATTGATTATGAGTTGGTTATAAGACTGGAGCATGAAAAGGCTTCATGAAGATATAAACAAAGAATCAGAAAGAATTTCATGATAGAGGATTATTCAGTAATGAGCGGGCCATTTTGTGGGAAGACATTAGATTGAAGAAAAGTCTTCAGTCCAGGATGATGTAATAGAGACCTTGTTGGAAGATGGCATCCTCTATAACTACCCAATTATTTGATCTATTTGCTTGGCCATCAAAAGCACAACAACATTTCTTTGACCAACAAAGAAGTTGGGCTTGGGAGGTATTGTCTAATGGAAAGAATGCTTTGGAGTTGTCTTGAATCTTGGCTCCCCCTCTTTTCATTTGTGAGATCTCAGGCAGAGTAGATAATGTCACTGAGTCTGAGATTTGCCATGTCAGAAATGAGGATACTTCCTAATTTCTAGTTTTGTTTTAAGGATTAAGTGAGACAAGTAGAAGTGTCTGGGACAATGTTCTAGAAAGAGGAGATGCTTAATGAATATTAGTTCTTCTCTCTAGTTCCAAGGGTAAATATTTTGAGGTAACATTATTGAAATATTCTTGACCAACCCCTGAAGTTCTGGTGACTTTCTATGTTAGCATATGCTATTAGATTCTGGCACAAGTGTGATTTCTTGACTTGCTATGTTTATGTCAGTAAACATGGAAAAAATAACTTTTACCAATTCACTTTGTTTTGAGACATGGATTGGTATAACAACAGACTCTACTACAGTGACTTGAAAGGTGATGTTTACGTGTGGCTGCTGAATGGGACGAATATCTCCAAGAATTATCACATGCCCAACATTGCAGGAGCAGGGGCGTTAGCTTATGAGTGGCTGGGTCACTTTCTCTACTGGGCTGGAAAGACATATGTGGTAAGTTAAAGCCTGGCATTCTGGAAGCTCTAGAGCAATGCCCACCCACTTCAGTGGCTTGAATATTATTTTCATGATTTTTTTTTTCATATTAGTGTACCATCTATGCTATTATTTATTGAATATTTATCTTTAAGTCTGCTGAATTTTTTCTTAAAATGCATTTATGTGCGAAGGAGATTTTATATCTTTGGTGTACTATTTCCAACAATATCTTAAAAATAAATATATTAAAATGTCCATTAGTGGGCCAGTGTCCTGGAGGAAGACAGCACACTCCAGCTAAGTGAAGGGACCATTTTCAAAGGTGTTGACAGGGTTAAGGAAACTAAGCTAAGGATGGCAAAGCATGGCCTAGGCTAGCAAGTGTGGAAAGATATAACTACTTCCAGGCATAAATGGGGCAAAGGAAAGAAGGAGAAGACCCTGTGAGGACTGTAGGTTAAGGAGAGTTGCTGACAATCACTGTCATAATGCATGGTCCGGGGGAATGAGTTTCCCAACTCCTCCTTCCTTCTGCCCTCCCATCCCCTGCTACTGCTTCTGTTGGCTGAACCTCACTGGAAATCAGAGAACAAGGGAGCCCAGAAATGCTGTTCATAGATGTCAGTCCTCAGGGGGAAGAGGAGGGTGGAGAGGGTTGAAAGTGGACCTGGAGGCAACACGAAGACATCTTGCTTATATGCAGTGGTAGACTTTGAAAGGAAATATGGTTAGTGATGAGAACACTAGTCTAACAGATCAAGCAATATGGTACTGAAATTGTTTTCTAATCAAGAGTGTGCTATTGTACGCACTTTTATTCACTCAACAATCATTTATCTATTGCCAATAGGTTTAGATCCTGGAGAATAGCATAGTTGGGAATATAAAGTAAATAGTAAATATGTCCCTGCTCTCTTTAAAAAAAAAAACACAAACAAAAAACATATAAACTTTATTGAGATATAATTTACAAGCCATAAAATTCACTCTTTTGTTATGTAAAATTGAGTAGTTTTTAATATGTTCAGTGTTATGCAACCATCACCACATGCCCCTGGTCTTTTAATGAGATAAAAATATATAAATAAAATAATAGAAGATATACACAAATTAATGTATTTAGAGGCCAGCATTATGATATAGTCTGAATCGTAAGTGACAGTGACATGTGAGCAGAGTTGACGCAGATAATTAGAGACAGCTTCCTAACATGGGTTAGTTGGAAAATAGTTTAGAAGGAGAAAGTGGAAGAATGGATATGAAAATTGGCTTCAACTATTTGCTTTGTCTCTTAAAAGGTGTTTAACTCCAGGAAAAATTACTTAACTTCTTTGAGCCCAGTTTACTCTTAAAAAAGTAGGGAATAGAAATCCTTAATAGGCTTACTGTGAGGGTTACCAGGGCTTATATTTTAAATATTAAAAAAATATATAGTGCTAGGCACATCATACATACTCACTAATAATGGCAGTATTTAATGTTAAAAAAATCTATTGATAGAAAGGAATCCGATATAATACATTCTTAACCAGCAGTGTTTTGACCGGATATATGATTAGAAAGAGCAAGTATTTTAACTCAAAATAAATGCACATCCCTTCTCTTTAGGAACATGAAAAGTGATAAGCTTCAGGAGGGCAGGCACCATGAGTATTATGTTTACAAGGTTTAGTACATAGTGCCAATCAATACTTATGGTTGAAAAAATGACTGGTGAATGCAGCAGTTTAATAATAATTGCAATAAACTATTCAGAAATCACGATGTCATTTAAAAATCCTATGATTGTGTTTTATAGATACAAAGGCAGTCCGTGCTGACAGGACACACAGATATTGTGACGCATGTGAAGTTGTTGGTGAATGACATGGTGGTGGATTCTGTTGGTGGATATCTCTATTGGACCACACTCTACTCAGTGGAAAGCACCAGACTAAATGGAGAGAGTTCCCTTGTACTACAGGCACAGCCCTGGTTTTCTGGGAAAAAGGTGACCAATTAAAAATAAGATCTGATTACTTAATAATTCTGAGTAGTGCTATTGTATAGTTATGATAATACTGTTTCTGCTTATTGTGTATAGTTAAGGTAGAATCTGAAAGGAAACACTGCTACAGGAGGATTTTGGTATAAGCAAAATTTCTCTTTCATTTAATTGTCATAATTGATTTAAATTTTTAAAATTTAAGGTGGAAATTTTTAGTAGTTTGCATTATCTCAAATGGTCCACACTTAAAAGCATTTTAATTTCTGATTGTTTTTATAGTCTTAGAAATTCTGTGAGATATATCAGAGCTTGTTGGATGGTGACTAGGTGATTTATTATTTATTATTTTTTAAACTAGATGCCTGGTGCACAAAATCCATGCACTTGAGGAAGGAGGGGGTTCCCTCAGCCAGGTCTGTGCCCTTTCACAGTCTGGGAGCCTTCAGGGGATGTCTGGCCTCCTTCTGCAGAAGGTAACCAGGCAGATAATCAGGGGACAGCCCTGGCTGGTGAGTGGCCAGCCCCGCCCCCCACTGCAGCAGCCACTCAGCCCCCTCCCCCATCGCCATCCCCTCCGTGTGCCCACTGGCACGTGCTTTTGCTAGCCTGAGCCACTTGCTCACTGCCCCCCCCCACCCCCCCGCCCATCCCGCCCCACCGCTAACTGGAAGTTCTGCTGTTCAGACAATTTGCATATTATACTTTTATTATATAGGATATATTTTTATTGGCTTCAGAGAGAAAGGGAGAGAAAGATAGAAACATCAATAATGAGAGAGAATCATTGATAGGCTGCTTCCTACACACCTCACACTGGGGATGGAACCTGCAACCTGGGCATGTGCCCTGATCGGAAATTGAACCCTGACCTCTGGTACATAGGTTGATGCTCCACCACTGAGCTATGGCAGCTGGAGTCAATTTTGGATGTTGACTGCTCTAAAACCTGTCTGAGATCCAAACAAAATATTTGAGTTCTGTGTGTTTCCTTTTCTGGATAATGAGAATATATATTAACTGTTAGCCTACCTTTCAGGCTTGTTGCAAAGATTAAATGAGATCATTCATGGGAAGTAATGGCAATAGTTCCAAACACATGGTAAATGCTTAATAGCTAACCTCTTATTATTGTGATTCAGTCTAAATAACAATCTGATATAAGAATGTTTTTAAAACAAATACTGTATTATTTTTACTTCCTCAACTTCTAGAATCATGGTTCTTAATCCTCTAACTATTCTCTATGTATTCATCTAAATTTCTAAATTTCTGAATTTCTTCTGATCATAATAGTAATATATGTCTACTATAGGAAATTTATAAATTGCAAAAAAGCCTGAAGAAGAAAGACATCACTCATACTGTTTGTGCCTATGATATTTCTTAAGTTTTGAACATTTAAAAAGTTTGTTTTTTTTTCTTTTGTCATTAGAGGTAAAATATACATAATACAGATATATCAGATCATTTATAAACAAAAAAACAAATAGTTAAGTCATATGATCCTTAATTCCATTGGATATATGGATAATTTGTCAGACATTTAAAGGGACCTGATTTGCATATACAGATTGGAACACAGATATTTAAAAGAAATAGAAATGAATACACATATCCAGAAATGAATCACTCCTGTAAAAAAAAAAATGAAATTTTGGAGCCACTTGAGTCTGAATACGAAGAAAATATTCTTTTATGTCTCAATAAAAAATGTTAGGGGAGAGCACTTTTATTTTTTGTAAAAATGTATTAAAGATTACATCTCAAGAGTAACCTCCTATCCCTATATTATATTGTCAGTAATTTCTCCACTGCTCTGATCTAGCCCTGGAGCTATTTCCACCGAGGAAAGCTTTGGAGTGGCCCTGCAACTTTCCTATAGAGTAAATTGTTAGCTTTCTGAGCATGTTTGGTAAAAACACCTTTCTTTAAATTTCAGCTTTAAGTCCTGTCAAAGGCTGTTAGTGTGAATCCGTGCTCTGCTTTCATGGTGTGATGTCTTATCTATATGCCTCCACTCATGCTATTGGTTGTTAGCAGCACAGATACAGATAACAAACTGATGGTTTACAGAGCGGATGGAGGTGGGAAGGTGGGTGGAAAAGGGTGAAGGGAAATAAGAGGCACAAACTTCCAGTTATAGAATAAAAAGTCACAAGAATGTAATAATATACAGATGGGGAAAATAATACCATAATAGCTTTGTATGGTAACAGATGGTTATTAGACTTTTTGTGATCACATCATAAAGTATATAAATGTCAGGTTATCATGTTGTATATCTGAAATGCATATCATATTGTATGTCAACCATACTTTAATTAAAAACTAAAAAAGAGAGAAAATAGAGTTAATTTGTTATTTAGAAAACTCTACTGCATCTCATTATAAATAATCAAGTAAGATTAACCTGATTTCATTTTAACTGAAAAGTAATCAATAATCTCTTTTAACCTGGCCAGTGTGGCTCAGTGGTTGAGTATCGACATATGAACCAGGAGATCATGGTTCAATTCCCAGTCGGGGCACATGCCTGGGCTGTAGGCTTGATCCCCAGTGTGGAGTGTATAGGAGGCAGCCAATTGGTGGTTCTGTCATCATTAATATTTCTTTCTTTTTTTTTTTATCATTGATATTTCTATCCCTCTCCTTTCCTCTCTGAAGTCAATAAAAAATATATTTTTAAAATCTCTTTTAGCATGAAGATGGGACATAATTCAACTGCCAAAAGGTTGGGAGTTGCTAGAATAAATTTTTACCTTTTGGGAAAAGAATAGGTTGAGTTTTTTTTTGTTGTTGCTTTTTTTTAAACAGAAAGCTGTGATTTCTAAGAACATTGAAGGTTCTTATACTCTTATGCCTCAAGATTATGTCTTTGTAGTAGGCCTTGGGTAATGTATTGAATAGCAAGTATTTTTAGTTCTAGGATACATTATTGTATTCCTTTTACATTTTTCACTGGCTCATCATTTTTGTTTATACGCTGCTGTGTCTTGCTAAAAATATAGTAATCAACTTTAATCCTATCTGATAGCTCTCTGTCTCCAGGCCTGCTATAGAGAGAATGCGCTGCTCTGAGGTCAGATTCCTGGCAATCTCAGCTCACTTGAAAAATGCATATAAAGTCAAAGAAAGCAAAAAGATCTCTTTGATTGTAACATCTATCTCATACAGTCTATTTCATAGGAGAAGCATCTTTCCTCAGGCCTTACTTAGACATTTGGACATAAATTAAGACAGGATAGTAACAAGAAGTCAAAGAAAGAGTAGTGAAAGGTTTTCAGATGTCAGCTGGAAATAGGACTTTATATATATGTGACTTTACCAATTATAAAACATAAAAAGCCTGTATTACGTTTTTAAAATGTGTCAGGATGTTTTGGTTATAATGAACAGAAGATACAATTTAAAATGGTTTAAACCATTGGTTCTCAAAGTTGGAGACACATTGGAATTACCTGGGGAATTAGATAATATCCAGGGGATTGGTTTCATCTCCAGAGACCACACTGTAATAGGATGCAACCTGGAAATTGAGATGTTTAAAGAACCCCACACGTGATTCCAATGTGCAGCAATGCTCGAGAACAACCGATTTCAACAGCAATGAAATTCATTGTCTGATGTGGCTGAAGAGACCAAAGTTATGGCTTGCTTTGGGCAAGGCTTGACATGACACAAGGCTCGAGTTCCTGATTCAGTAGGTCCTGGAATGTGGTTGAGAATTTGTCTTTACAAGTTCCCAGGGGCTGCTGCTGCTGCTGCTGGAGATAAGTATATAGAAGTGAGCAACAGTCCCTGCCTTTTGAAGATTTTTAGGAAACCAGTGCTCTTATAACCAGTGCAATTATATAGGAATAGCCATACTCATATAATTTTTATATTCAGTGAAAGGTAAAAAATAAAAATTAAAAAAACAACAACACTGAGTTTATTGTTCCAAAGAGGATCTTAAGGAGAAATCTGTAGCTTAAGTGTGACTTGTTCAACAAAGGTATCCTTCAGCTGTATATTTTATCTGTTTTTTTTTTTTGTTTGTTTGTTTTTGTTTTTTGTCTTATATTCTATGTAGGTAATTGCTCTAACTTTAGACCTGAGTGATGGGCTCCTGTATTGGTTGGTTCAAGACAGTCAATGTATTCACTTGTACAGAGCTGTTCTTCGGGGGCAGGGGTAAGTAATAACCCTGGAAGGCAATTGATTGAGAAGAAGACAATGACTTGCCCCTCAGTTATAAATGATAATGCACGAGAATTCATTTTTCAATAAACAGTTACTAATTATCTGCTCAGTTGCAGGCATTGTGCTTGTGGGAAAAGATAGGTTTGTAAACATGTAATTATAGTAGAATGTGGTGTGATAGGGTATATATAGAGAGAGCAGAAGACACTGTCAGGTGGGTAAAAGTCCACAAAGCAAACCAGAGACTGTCTTCACAGCTGAGTAGGTGTAAATAAATAGCCTTTTACTAGACCAGAGACTATGGGAATAGCACTAGTGAACATACGTCTTTATAAGGTTCATAAGTCCCAGCTATGGTCCTTTGAGGTAGTTTTTGTTTTTTCCCCCCAAGGAGATATTGTGAAATTCTCAAAATAAGACTTTCATTTATTTTTATTTTAAATGTCATACTTTATAATTTTCTAAAGAGGAAAATGTCAACACTTTAACAAGATTTGGAGAAATCATTCTTTAAAAAGGTCAAATCTCTGCTCTAAAAGGTAATAGAAAATCATTGAGAGTTTTTACTGAGTATTAGATAATTGGAGTCATTTTAGATACAACCAATAAAAGTGTTAAAGTAAAAAAGTCCTTGTAAAATTCCCTGCCATTAAGAAAAAAAAAATCTCTAAAAGCAATTTAAACCATAGTCTGTTTGCTTGAATTCCCTGGTCTGAAAAGAAGCATTTTGACTAAGCTTTAGAAATTAGTAAGTATCATTGGGGCAACAGAGACTTGTGACTAGTACACAGAGAAGGACCAAAGAGGCCAGAATGATGCAAGCAAGTCAATAACCAAGAATAGGAGGGAGACACGCTCAGTGGGGAGAAACCAGCCACTGGGTGTGACTTTGATGTAGGGTATTACCAAGAACCACAAGTTTTATTAAAACCTGTGTAATACTCTTGCCATTGCAGTATCACATTAATAAGAAAAGCCCTAGAAAATTCACTTTAGGAATATTTTAAGGAAAAGGTAAAAATCAACTAAATATTAAACTAAGAATAATGACAATTATTGTTGCAAGGTATTTCCTTTTTTTATATACACAAACATGTTTCCTGCAGTATTTGAAGGTACAAGTCCTTCCCCCATTTAGGATACACACACTAATTGGTGTTGTGTCTCAACAGTGTTGGGGATCCCACCATCACAGAATTTGCAGCCTGGAGTACTTCCGACATTTCCCAGAATGCACTGATATACTACAGTGGTCGGCTTTTCTGGATCAATGGCTTTAAGATTATCACAGCTCAAGAAATAGGTCAGCGAACCAGTGTCGCTGTTTTGGAACCAGCCAAATTTAACCAGTTCACAATTATTCAGACGTCCCTCAAACCTCTGCCAGGTATGATATTTTATTCTAGTTCACCCTCATTCCTCCATACTTCCTAAATAAATGTCTAGGTTGGGATTTTTTCTTAGGAATTACGTTTTAAGAAGGAAAGGGTTTTAGTAGTTTCTTTTGGTTTGCTTGCAATCAGTTTATTTAAAATACATATATTGATTTCAGAGAGGAAGGGAGAGTGAGAGTGAGATAGAAACATCACTGATGAGAAAGAATCATTGATTGCTGCCTCCTGAATGCCTCACACTGAGGATCAAGCCTGCAACCTGGACATATGCCCTGACAGGGAATTGAACCGTGACCTCCTGGTTCATAGGTTGACATTCAACCACTGAGCCATGCTGGCCAGGAACAGTCAGTTTATTCTTAACTCAAATGTACAGCTTGAAATGGTCAGAAAATATGTTAATTTTCAGAATATTTTAAAATAAAGGACAATTTTGTTTTGATAATTACTATTTATTACTGTATTTTTTAATGATGACTATAAAACTATTCCTTCTCCTATTCTTTTTTTTTCATTTCTTCCCAGGGAACTTCTCTTTTACCCCTAAGGTGATCCCAGATTCCGTTCAAGAGTCTTCATTTAGGATTGAAGGAAATGCTTCAAGTTTTCAAATCCTGTGGCATGCTGTCCCAGCAGTGGATTGGGGTGTAATTTTCTACAGTGTGGAGTTTAGTGCTCCTTCTAAGGTATGGCCTTGGTTCTAGTAGCTTCCTTCTCAGACAGACTGTACCATCTGCCTCCAGCCCTGCCCACGCTGATTTGTAATTTTTTCACTGAGCCATGCCCATCTCCCTGCGTGCTCCCTTAGCCTCTGTCAGGATTATTCCTGAGACCCTTTGTCTACAGCCCGTCTCTGACTGCTTTGTGGTTAGTGCGAACAGCTGGCATATTAGACTCTTTAATTGGAATTTACCACATCAGCATTTCCAAATTTGCAAAGCTTGACTTTATATGTAAAGTTTGGAGATTTTAGTTAAGTTAAATAAAATATTTTATGATTTTCTCCCTAATAAAATAATGTTTTGTGTTTATATTTTAGTTCCTGGCTATTGAAAAACAGCCTTTACCCGTATTTACTGTGGAAGGTCTGGAGCCTTATGCCTTATTTAATCTTTCTGTCACTCCTTATACCTACTGGGGCAAGGGCCCCAAAACATCTCTGTCACTTCGAGCACCTGAAACAGGTACAAGGGTTAAAATCTTTAAGAAAGAAAAGGGCAGAATCTCACTTTGCATGATCTAGAAAGGACAGATAATTTTTTAAGAATAACTTTCAGTTTTGTAGATGTGTTTAGATTCAATACACTTTCAATGACTTTTTAGAGATTAGAACAACACTATTAAAATACCTGCATAATTTATCCCAAAAGTATATTTCAGAGATTTTTTTGAGAACCGTTTATTTTCACTGTAATGACATACAAGATGCACAAACGTGTTTCAGATAATTTGTGAAATGCTTTCTAAGGAAATTGGGCATTTATGAACAGAGACAGTTTTGTGGGAGGTAGGCTTATTGGGAGATATTCGCTTAAAAGGTAATTCAGAATCTTCCAGAGATGAATAACTGATGTTTAAATTTATTGTTTTTCTTTGGAATATATTTTAAAATGGATGCTATCTATATCTTTGCATGTGTCTATCACTTTCAAGTGTAAAAAGCATACTTACATGTATCACTCTTTTATTAAACATTTATTGTCTACCTATCATGTGTCAGAAACATCATTTCATTTGATCCTTACACAGCTCTGAGGTAGGTAGACAGGTGTTACTATCTTGACTATGAAAAGGAGAAAACAAGCTCAGTAGTTGCCCAAAAAAATTGAGAGTAAGAGACAGGGCTGGAATTTAGTCTCTAGACTTATCACTATAGTTTCATCAAACTTCCGTTCAGTCATTTTTGCAAATGTTGGCAAATGATAGGGTCATATTGATTTAATTTACATAACTTCCTAGCACAGGACTTGGCAGGCAGTAAGAGCTCAATAAGCATGGACATCAATTTACCATTACATATATATATATATATATATATATATATATATATATATGTAATATAATTATACATATATGTAATGTAACAATATAATAAAGAATATTATTTACATTAAGATTCTTTCAACAATGTTTTTTATGAGTCACATAAGCTCAGGCAGGTTCAGAGCAGTTAGCATTTGGGTCCAAGTATGCTATCTTTGATATTGTCTTGGAATGTCATCCTTGATTGGATTCTTCTGAGGAAATAAACTTGACTTTATCTAAATTGTGTCGTGAGGGCTGGGGCCATCAACTCTCTGCTGGGTGTTGGGAATAGTAAGGAAGATTGATAAGATCTGGCCTTTGCCATCAGGAAATTTACAATATAGTTGGGAAATTATTCAAAATGACAAATATTTATTAAACACTTACTGTGTCCCTGTTTTATACTAGATTTGGAAGGATTTAGCTAGGATTGGGAAAAGGTACTTTTTCTGATGGAGCTCATAAAACAATAGAGATAAACATATTCTGCTACTGATAATAGAAATAAGACTGATAACTGAGTAGTGATGGCATGGTGTAAGTAGGCAAGATTGCGCAACCTTCACCTACATCAAACTGTCTCAACATTCTTAAGAGCAGGCAATATACATGTACTACATAGATGCTATGGCTAGGGAAGGCCTTTAGGGAGGGGAAACTCTAGCTGGGCCCTGAGGAATGAAGCAAGAAGACTGAGTATCCCATGTTAGTGCAATATAAGAAGGCCTGGAGATTGGATAACGATGTGAGCATTGAACATTAAGAAGCAATGTGATTGGAGAGAGGAGTGGGAGAGTCTGAAGAAAGAAGAATCATATCTTAAAAGGAATAACTGGAAAACCAGGAAGAGACATTTCCTTTAAAAGATAGAGAAATTAAAGGACTGAGCAAAAGTGAATTGCTTGGTTTGGCTCTAAGATAAATGGTGACCTTCAAATCATACTCTTGGGGTACATCTTGTCTCCTGGGAGGGTTCAAGGGGAGAGGACCAAGGATCCTCGATAGCTGTATTTTTTATCTTGAACTAGCTCAAGGATAGATCATGTTACTGCCTTCCTTCCTGGTGACTGCCGTTCCCACATCCAGCTGAATCATTCTGTTGAAATGAGAGTAACTATTGTATTTTGTAAAGAGAATAAGCCAGCTTCCATTGATACAGGGCACAGACAAGAAGATGTAACTAAGTGGTAATAAGAGGGGTTTGGATTAGACATAAAGGAGATTTGCTAAAATATTAAGATAGGTTCCTGAAGAAATCTATAGAATACGCTCTCCTGGAGATATTTAGAACAAGATAGATAACCTTCAACTATCTGGAATGAGAAAGAGTTATTACTAAATTGCTCCATACTCTCATCATGAGTAGTAAAAGTCAATCTTCTATTCTTTTCTGCCCTATTGGTATCTTTGCTTTTCAGTTCCATCAGCACCAGAGAATCCCAGAATATTTATATTATCAAGTGGAAGATACCACAATAAGAATGAAGTTGTGGTAGAATTTAGGTGGAATAAGCCTAAGCATGAAAATGGTGTGTTAACAAGATTTGAAATTTTCTATCAAATATTCAACCAAAGTGCCATCAACAAAACATTGGAAGACTGGATTGCTGCCAATGTCACTCCCTCAGTGACGTCTTTTCAACTTGAGGGCATGAGTCCTGGGTACATTGTTGCTTTCCAGGTATGGGCACATGCTAGGGTTGCAGGCTTGATCCCCAATAGGGGCCTGCAGGGGGCAGCCGATTGATGATTATCTCCCATCATTGATGTCTCTATCGCTCCCTTTCCCTTCCTCTTTCTGAAATCAATAAAAACATATTTTAAATTTTTTTTAAAGAGTGTGAAATAAAAAAATTCAATAATTTATTAGTTTCAAAACTTAATTATTGTCACTGAGGACACTGTCAAATTCAATTTTTTGTATCTTTTTCTTTCTTTAGGTTCGAGTCTTCACATCCATAGGACCTGGACCATTTTCTGACTTGGTAAAGTCCCAAACATCAGGTACTATCTACAACCTTTGTAAATAACAATTAGTGTTATTTAACCCTTTTTTAACCCTTGGTATTCTCAGGGATATAAGTATAATCTCTGAGCTGAAGTTAAAGTCGAATTAAAAATTTTTTTTTTATCGTAATCAAACATGCTTAAATATATCTAGGCTTAGAGCAACTGGTCTGTCTCCATTGAGACTGATGTAGTAGATAAACAAAAGGAAACCCATTTCAAAATGACATCATATTGAGTTCGGGGATTTTGGTAAACAAGTTATTTTTCTCGTACATATTATCTACTTGTATTTTGTTTTCAGAAGTCAACCCATTTCCATGCCTCATAACTCTTTCGGGCAACAAGATGGTTTTGTTAGATATGGATCGAGATCAAGTTGTGTGGATGTTTTCCGCGGAAAGAGACATCAGTGCCGTGGGCTACACAGCTGATAACGCAATGGTGTATTATGCTCAGGGAGGCTCCCTCTTTCTTCTGAACTTGCACAATCAGTCCAGCTCTGAGGTACACCACTATGTAATTCTTTAGAAAGGAAGGAAGTATGTTAACTATCTAGGTTGTTTGTTATTAAGAGGCCTTTCAGTGCAGTTGGGAAAGGAAGCAAGTAGAAGATCTGTGTATCACACTGCCCTGTCATTAAAATGACTCGCCTGTGATTGAGGCATTAAGATTAGGATGGTTGAAAATGACAGATGCTCTATAATTAGTTAGTCACAAATAAACTCAGATTAGGTTTTGAGCAAATGCCATTCAGGATTAATTTAGCATAAACAGTTATTGTGTTTAGGCTGTGTTAGTTCCTGGAATAAAGGTGAAAAAAAAAAAAAAGGCGTAGTCCTTAACCAAACCCCGTCTAGTACTGGTCTAACACTGGGAAGACAGTAGGCACAGTGATTAAGAGGGTGAGCTTTGGAATCTGACAACCTAGAATTTAACTCTGACTCCACCACTTACTGTATCTGTGGCCATTAGCAAGTTATTTAATCGCTATGGTTATATAGTACCTCATCATAGGATTTCTGTGAAGATCAAATGAGATAATGCACGTAAGGCACATAGCACAGTGCCTGGCATTGGTAGGGATTCACTGAATGTTTGCTAGTGGAGAAGGCAGACTGAACAGTGTAAGTGCTGTGCTGAGGGCAGGATATGGTGGAATCTCATAGGATGGATGCTCCATCCAGGTTAGTTGTGGTAGGATGGAAAGACATCTTGGACTCCAAGAAGATGAGCCAAGTAAAGGTGGGGAAAAGCTGAGAAAGCAACAAGCACTAAGTCAGGGAAACAAGAGAGCCACATAGAAGGAGCTTGGAATGGAAATGGAGGTGAGGGCAGAGTGAAAGGCAGGTGGTAAAGCTGTGGAGGTAGGCAGGAGCCTGCATAGAAGGGGCCTCCTTTGCAAGCAGCAAGCCATTAAAGAAATTTAGTGGGTCATTAACATGATCAAGCTGTGTTTTAGAAAGACCTCTCTGTGAGCTGTGTGACTAATGACTCAGAGAAGGTTAAATCTGAGACAATTAGGAGGCTATCACAGAAAACCAGATAGGAAAGGCAGGAACTGAGAAGCAGTGAAGTGAGAAAAGAGAGGACAAATTGTGGAGATACTTAAAATGAGACCAATTCACAATTTGAAGTGATGATAGGAAGAAGTCAAGGATGAGCCATAGTTGATGGGATTGCTCCTCGGGTGAATGTTGCGAATCTATAAAAAAAAAAAAATGTAGGCGAAAAGGAGATTTGAGACATAGAGTGATGGATTCTGTTTCCTGGGATCAGTCATATATGTTTAGTAGGCAGTTTAATATTTGAATCAATAACTCAAGGAGGGATCAGACTGAAGATGTGGGTCTGTGGCATTGCTTTATGATTTACAGTTGAAACCATGGTAGTTGAAATCACTCAGGGAAAATACACTATGTGAGAAGGAGACGGATGTTACAATGGCACACAACCCAGAGTTATTGAGGTTTGGGATTACAAAAGAGAAGTGCAGTAAATGACTAATATGAGTGGGTTACGGAAAAGTCCTCAAACTTGAAAAAAAATGACCACTGTCTTTTTGGCTGTGTTTTCTACCTGATTTAAGATTTTCCAAGATGCACGTGTTTTTGATATCACAATTATTACAATTGATTGGATTTCAAGGCACCTCTACTTTGTGCTGAAAGAATTACAAAATGGAATGCAAATATTTGATGTTGATCTTGAACACAAGGTGAAATATCCCAGGAAGCTGAAAATCTGCGACAGAAATTCAACAATAATCTCTTTCTTCGTGTATCCCCTGTTAAGGTATCTGAAGTATAACTGTTTCTATTGTGCTGAAATACAGAGACATATTTAATACAATATCTTTGGTTTAATATTAGGCGTTAATGATGGGAACATAGATGCTTAGGAGTCTTAACTCATTACATTAACTTTTAGTAAGTATCTCTACATGTATATAAGCTATGAGCCCACAACCACAAATATGCAAACTGAATCCATACTAACAATTTAACTAGCTTAAAGGTAGGTTAATTGCCAGCAGGAAACCAAAGTAGATTTTTATATCAGTGAATTTAATAATAACCTCAGTTAGTGAGGACAAGAAGGGGTTGGAGACAATGGCAGAAGATGAGCAGGAGATAGGTGAACAGCATGTCACACACAGAAAACACTATTCTGGGCTCATCCATCTTTAATTGATGTCTTCAGAGAAAGAGTTTTAAGGCCTCTACTCAGCAACTGAGTGGCAGTTTCTTAGACTGGAAAGATGTATTTTGTTTGTGCCATAGCGTGGATATAATCTACCTTGAAATTAGATTGTTAACTAGTATTCAGAAGCAGAAACAAAATTGAGAGGAGGGGAATGGAGATAGGTGTTGATGAAAAGTTGCAAATGTATTTTATATTTACAATCATTAATAAGACAATACAGCACCTAAAGTCATTATAGGCCAAGGCTTTAGCTGCAAACACATTTATTGGGAAATCATTGGAAAATGCTACAAATTAGATTGCTTGTGACCTCCTCCATCTCAGAAGAAGGTTATTGGGCACATGGACATGTTCTCTCTAAAAGATACATTTGTCCCCCTCATTATTAGAAATGATTGTTCTTCATAAGAAACAAATACTTGAAATGATATATTTTACTCATTAAGTTGGAGGGTATTTTTCCTCCAATAGTCGCCTGTATTGGACAGAAGTTTCCGATTTGGGCTCTCAGATGTTCTACTACAGTGTTATCAACCAGACCTTGCACCGCATTCTGCAACCCACAGCCACAAGCCATCCAAACGGAAGGAGCCAATGTTCTTGCAATGTGACTGAATCTGAGTTGAGTGGAGTAATGACTATTGATACTGTTCACATAAAGAAACCACAGATATACTTTGTCAAAGGGCCAGAGATCTGGGCCATGGATCTGGAAGGATGCCAGTGTTGGCAAGTTATCACAATGCCTGCTCTGCTTGGTAAGATACCATGTGTGTACGTAGATCTTTATTAGTAATGGCAGCCCCTTGTATTCCATTAAGAAGGGCTTACATCCTACATGTATGCAAAAGAATATACACACAGTACTTATTCTAAACCATGCCAAATGCTCTTGTAGAATTCAAGTCAAGTTGTTTTCAGAAAAATTCTATGTAGGCATCCACATAATTTTCTGGATCTATAGGGGTATTTTTATTATTGTTTTATTAACAGTAGAGCTACAGTGTATTGAGCTTCACTATAAAAACTATAAATGCTACCAAATGCATTATCTCATGTCATCTCCACAACACCCTGGTGAAGTAGTTACTAGTGTTGGCGATGGTGAGAACAGCATCAGGTGTTAGACCGGTGGGTTCAGACCTTGGTACTTGAGTTCTGGTTAGGAAAAAATTCAGAGCCAAGACTCAAAGTATAAGAGAAAATTTATTTAGAAAGTCACAGTGGTAGAAGAAGTGAGTGATAAAAGAAATGGACTCAGGAAACAAATTTCAGAGGCAAAAAAAGGGGCCCTTGGAGCTTAGGAGTGAGCTGGGCCTTCGGAAGAGGAAGGGAAAAAAAAAAAGCTTGGGTATTGGGTGTGTTCCCAGGAGGCAGAGTATGTTGGGATTTTAAGGGTTGGGATTTTAAGAAAGGTCCCTGGGAAGGATCTCAATAGAACATTCATCGAATTTCCAGGTGTGTCCTCTCATGGTCTCCACTGATTGTGTCAGCCCCTGGGCAGAGGTCAATGCCGCTAGGGGTGAGATCAGCTATGGTGTTGCTTGTCTGGTTTTCCTGCTTTTCTGGGCCTGGAGCTGAAACACAACTCAGGCCTAGATGTACACTTCATTATTCTGGAGTCTTAATGCACACCCTTTACTAGGGAATCAAACCTCCAACTTGGGCATGTGCCTTTGACTGGAATTAAACCTGGGATCCTTCAGTCCACCGGCCAACACTCTGTCCACTGAGCCAAACTGGCTAGGGCAAAGTCTCTTTTCTTAATCAAATTTTAGTTAGGTCATCTGAGCCCTCAGGCCTGGACCTTAGCCGTCCATGTCCATTCTTGCTGAGTCCAATTTTAGCAAGAATCCTGCTAAATCAGTTTAGAGAGAATTTCCCCCACCTTTCATATCTGATTAAGGCCCTCATACCACACCCAGGATGTTCTTGCTTGCCTTTACCAAGAATCTTATTAGGACAGTTTAGCAAGAATCTCCTTACCCTTGATGTATCCTAATAATCATTTTTACCCACTGACCCTCTCATTGTGTATGCTGGTTATGAATCTTGAGTTATCTCTTTTATATTCAGAGTTGAGTACATCTCTCTCCTATATTATATCTCCCTCTACAATATTGCAATAGACTAAAGTCTTCCTTCACATTCTAAGAAGTGTCAGAATAATTTTCCTTTGACACCTGATACATAAGAATTACCTAGTAGGCATTATCTTATGGGTATAAAAAGGGAAACCCATAATTGAAATCCATAATCATAATATTAGAAAATTGAAATAACTTTAGAAATCATTTAGTTGTCATGATATTGGAGGAAATCCCTCCTCAAAAACAGTCTTGACAGAATACATATATATATATATATATATATATATATATATATATATATATATAATACTACTTTATTGGGAAGTTTGCTTAATTTGGGGGATAATTCTGAATGTTAGATATTTTTATTCTTATATGTAGCCATTCCTATTCCTATTCCTCCCATTTATTAATCTGAGTTCTGACCTCTACATTTAAAAGAATAAACCAATCACCTTCTATGCAATAGCCATTTGACTTGATAAAGATAGTTGTCATAGCCCATCCTAAGCATTTCTTTTAGAGGAAAAAGTCAAGTATCTATACTACACCTCAGGGGATGTGGCTTCTAGATCTTTCTTTGCCCTGGTCCCCCTCTGATGGTTTCATTTCAGCTACATAATATTCTCTTAAAAGTCACCCCTGACATGAATCACGGTGCTCAGTGTGTTCTGGTCAGTGCAGGAGGCCACTGCCTGCCTACGCCATCTTTTACTGCTTTCCATCTTTGGGCTGCCTGCCATTTGAAAACCCATCATTATTTTTCATAATTTTTTAAAAACTATTAATATTACTGAGCTAGATTTCTTTCATTTGCTATTTCTCGGGTTGATTTTAAACTTGAATTTAAGGTGTTACATTTGTTCCTGTAACATTTCATTTTATTTCCTGATTCTGTGGTGATATTTTTGAATTCCAAGTCAGGGACTACATACGTATACTAGTGACAGTAAACATTGAATAGTATCTACGAATTTGATAAATATGTTTACTTATTGATAAAATCATTGATAAAAATATCGAGCTAGGCACTGAGTCCTGCGCCTTTCAGCTAGTACCTCCCTTCAGATAGGCACTGTTTGGCTTGGAGGTAAGTTGTAAATCCTGGATCTGCCCTTGACTAACCTTATGGCTTTGACATTATTTAACCCATCCAAGCCTCAATTTCTCCTTCTGCAAAGTGAAGCTAATACCAGTTACTTATGGCTTCATGTGAAGCTAACATGAGAACCTAGCTGGGAAGTCCTTAGCCTAATGACATAAAATGTGTCATTTTTTCATATCAAAATAATAGGAAGATTCAAAATGTAGCAGTTATGATATAGAAAAAGGGTTTCACATATTGTTTGGAGTAGACAACATAAGATATGTTCTTTATTTTGTTTCTCATAAACAGGAAAAACACTTGTTAGCTTAACTGTGGATGGGGAATCCCTATACTGGGTCTCCACAGCCCAAGACAGCAGCGAGATTTACCAAGTCAAGAAAAGGCGTGGGGCCATCCCCTCTCGGGTGAAGGCCCCCAGGAGCGAGCGCGTATGCGCTTACAGTTCAGTGCTGCAGCCTCTTCCAGGTAATCAAGGCACAGGCTTAGTCAACTTGTTTTCCTAGCTTAAGGCCAGGAAAGTCTCCTAATGACTCCTTCTCTGGGCTGTTTCTCCAACTCTTCTGTCATGCTCTGAGTGTTGCTCCAAACTGCCAGGGTTTGGTGTGTGCTGGGATTGCTGTTTGCCTGGGATCGCAAATGCGTACATTCCCGGCTTGGGCTGCAGGAGGCAACCAGAGGCATGGAAACCCTGATCCTGTCGTTCTTGCTGCCTGTTTCTCTTTCTCTTCTTAGACCCGAAAGTTCCTTTCTTTCTGCCTTTTTTCTTATCTGACAGTATTTTAGACTCTCAATGGTTACACAAAGCATTGCATAGAATTCCAAGGTCAAGTGCCTATTTATACTAGTATTATAATAGTATTCTGTACATCAACAATTTAACAGACATACATGTGTCCTACCACTTTTATTCAGTTCTTGTTTTTTTAAAGATGTATCACTTAGGAAGCTTTTAGTGTTGTGCCCCTAACTCAATTTCCCCCGGAAACCCTGTGGATTTTATTGTGCAATTTTGTATAAAGCAGTGACTTTTAGGAATGCATGTATCACATTACGGGCAGAACTGACTATAGATGTTTACTACTGTGAGTCACAATAAAAAAAATATTTGAAATCTAAAAACCAACCAACCAACCAACCAACCAAAAATGAAAACAGTATTTTACAGACTAATGGGTGATTTTCTCAAGTTCTCTCTGCCATTAAGATGTCTATGTTATTCTAAATTAAGTATAATTCCCACTAGAGAGGGATAGAAATGAATGAAACAGACTAAAATAATCTTTGCTTAAATGTATTCATTTATAAAATATGTAAGTTGCAAAATGTTTTTTAAAATGAAGATTTTTATAATAAATAAATTAAATGCCATTTTGGTTAAAAATTAATTTTTCACTTTGAGAAATTTAAGATATTTTAAAATTCCATGAAAATATGATTAATATAATGCTCTGACTACTTCAAAATAAAACAAGTAGTTCTTTCTTTTTTTTTAATTTTATTAAGGTATATGTGTACATATCTTACCATTGCCCCCTCCCACTCTCATATGCTACTCTCTATAAAGGATATACTTTAGCTCCATCTGCTGGGAATGTTAAGCAGTTACCCGTTATCTTGCTCCCTACTTCATCCATCTTTAAGAAAAAAACTTGTCTTTCTGTCCTGAGTAATATTTCCAGCACTTCAATACATCATGCCTTATAAGTTAAGTAAAAAATAAAAATTATATTACTCTCAATGTTCATATGTGTATATGTTTAATCTTTTTTTCTTATTATTTTAGATAAAGCATTTCTGTCTCTAGCTTCAGATATCGCAGAGCCAATTATACTTAACACCACTAACACCAGCCTCACAATCAGATTACCGTCTTCCAGGACAAACCTCACCTGGGATGGCATCACCAGCCCAACTCCAACATACCTGGTTTATTACAAAGAAGTTAATGATGGCAAAAATGGTTCTGAATCAAAATCTAGAATGCTGGTAAGATTGGAGCTGGTGGTCTTTGTCTTTTTACAAGATACTCTTTTTTTGGTATGACATTCTTAGTCATAGTATTTTCTATATCATTTTCTGGGATGTGCTATTATGCAACCTGTTATAGCTGATTCATCAAAACATATTGTGTCTAGTCTTCTTGTCTGGGAATAAGTTATGCTTCAACAAACTTTATTAACTGACCAGTTGGTAGATCGCCAACAGTAATAATTTCCTGAGTGCCCTTGAAAAATCTGGATTTTCTGTCCTTCCTGGTTATGTAATTATCCCTAGAAAGTAATGCATATGTGATTTTATGGCCCACCTAGCAGACTATGTTTGAGGGGTAAGAAATGCATTTGACAGAGAGAACAGCGCCATATACTTCTGTCCTCCACAGCATATATCTAATATAAAAATTGTATATTTTTTGTGATTTCCAGTATTTTGTGAAATGTCCCATTATGTAGGGGCTATGCTTTGATTTATCACTGTATTACTAGTACCCAGGATAGTACTTGACATTATATAGACATTCACTAGATATTTCTCGAGTGAATAAATGAATTGGCATAATTCTTGGCAACATGGGCACTGATGTTTTAGTTGTCCTTGTGATGAAATCATGTATGTGTATCCTATATTTTGCTTTGTGCTAATTATTTAACCAAGTCAAAAAGTGAAATTGACCATCTCCTACTTGAGGTCAACATAGTGTACTTTGCCTGAAAATACAGCAGATTCTTATTACTTCTTTTATTTTGTCTGTTTTTATCTTTTTTACACATTTCTAAAGAGAGCTGGTTCAGAGGCAGCTTGGATCATTGGCTGACTAAGACTGGGCTGTAGCACCAGACATTGCTGTGAGAGTCAATGTATCTTGTCTTCACATAGATTAACATGCACCAAAGACATGGTTCTCAGCCTCGTGCACACTGGAGCTTTTGGAATCTCTGGGTCCAGGTTTCCCCTCAGGCCAGTTCAGTCAGGATCTCTGAGGTGGGACCCAGAAGTCAGCATTTTCTTGAAATTTCCGACATGATTCCAACCTACAACTAAAGCTGAGAACCATTGACCTAAGGAAGGTCTTTTTTTACTTGAACTTTATTTCTAAGAATGACTAGATAAGGTAGCTTAATCTTTTCTATTGTATACATGCATGTATCACATCTTTCCAATACCGTTTTGCTGAGTTTCCAACGCAATGCCAATGAAATAGTGTCCTCCCCTGGGAATCTACCTTCTTATATGAGATGTATATGCCACGAAATTGACTGAAGGCTGTCAGTCATTTAGCATTTATTCTTGTAGCTATTCAACAACTCAGGCCTGGCCAGATTAGAACAGTGAAAACTGTCCTTCATGATCCCATACTTAAAAAAAAAAGTTGAGTCTTTTAATATGTTATAACTTTGATTAAATAATTTCTCCCCGTTTGTATAATACAAAAATAAAAATCACATATTAATATTTGTAAATTAATTGCAGGAATTTCAGAGCAGTATAGCCCTTATTGAAGGCTTACAACCATTTTCAACATATAAGATACAGATCGCTGTAAGGAATTATTATTCTGATCCTTTGGAACAGTTACCTCTGGGAAAAGAGATTTTGGGGAAAACTAAAAGTGGAGGTGAGTTATGGGCTTGGTGTGGGATGCCAGAGTGAGACTTTATAATATATGTGATGTGTATGTCTATATTTGTTTGTTTTTTACCCTGAATATAAAGTCATCTTTATTATGTGAGCTTTTTAAAGTTTAATAAGAAAAGTATACTGGTTGAAAAATACTTGGATGACATGATTTTTGCTCTAATACTAGAAGATGATAAATAATATTCCATCGAAATGAAAAGCGACTAGAAGCTTAAAGAAACATCAGCATCAATACTGTTTGACCAAGAAACACATTCTTTGCTCTCACCACACAGTGTCACCCTCTTCCCGTATCTTCATAGGTCTGCACACATGGTGGGACGGGAAGACCAAGCCTTTTCTCCATTTAAAGTAACATAACATATTGCCTTAAAGATAATGGATCTAGAATCTAAAAATGTGTCCTTAGTGGTGGCAATTGTTATGGGGTGATGCCATTGCTTTCACATGTCTTTGATGAATTCACAAAAATCACCCCAGTTTGGTTATTCATCATCATTGACCAAATCCTGGGGCCAGAGTCAGAGAATGATTTAGTCATTAGGCAAAAATAAGCCAGAGGCCTTCAGGCAGCGGTTAACCTACCATTATATAAGAGGCTGGCTTCCCTGAGGCACATCTGTCACTCCTTCTGCTCACATGATATGACTGACATCAACCAAGACCCCATCCCTTCCTTCCATCTCCCAGTGCTACTGTTGCAACATCCCTTGTCACGCGTTGCTCTGCATTTCAGTACCAGAGGCTGTTTGGCTCATCAACACAACGGTGCAGTCAGACAGCAGCCTTGTCATATCCTGGAGAGAATCTCCCAAGCCAAATGGACCTAAGGAGGCAGTCCGCTATCAGCTGGCAATCTCACATCTGGCCCCAGTTCCAGAGACTCCTCGTAGACAAAGTGACTATCCACATGGAAGGCTTGCTCTTCTTGTGACTGGACTGTCCGGGGGAAGACAATATGTGCTAAAGGTACAGCGAAGCTATTGGGCACTTTTACTGCCATTCTCAAGCACAAGGTTTTGAAAAGGTTAAGCAATTTTATTTTTTCTTTACTTATTTACAAAAAGGTCCTTGCCTGCCACGCCGAGGAAATGTGGTGTTCCGAGAGCCGCCCTGTCGCCGTGGAGATGTTTGACACCCCAGAGAAGCCTCATGCCTTGGTTCCAGGCAACAGCAGTCTGCAATTGGATTGGGAGGCTCCCTCTAACGTGAACCTCCTCAGGTTTTGGTTTGAACTCCAGAAGGTAGATCACACCGTGCACTTGGATGCGAATTCTTCTTTTATGCTGTAGAATAGCTTGGAATAATCTCAGTCTAGAGCATCCTCTTGTATAAATCAACAACATATTTGACCACATTCTCTTGTATAAATTAACAATATATTTGATCACATTCATTGATTCAGGATTGCCATCTAGAAGCTGGGGATTAGCTAGACTAATTTCTGATGGGAAGAATTCCCAGTGAGATTAGTTTGCTCTTAAAAGACTCCCTGTAAAGGAGTATAAATTATGGCTTATGGGTTTCATAATATTTTACTTCATTTAGATGTTATCAGCAAGGTTCTCTGGTTTAAAGTTCATAGCAGCTGGGACCGGTTTGGCTCAGTGGATAGAGCGTCGGCTTGCGCACTGAAAGGTCCCGGGTTCGATTCCGGTCAGGAGCATGTACCTTGGTTGCGGGCACATCCCCAGTAGGGGGTGTGCAAGAGGCAGCTGATCGATGATTCTCTCTCATCGATGTTTCTAACTCTCTATCCCTCTCTCTTTCTCTCTGTGAAAAATCAATAAAATATATTTAAAAAAAATAAAAATAAAGCCCATAGCAATTTGGTATATATATAAAAAAAGAAAGACACATATAAGCCAAAAAAATAAAACCTGTTTAGAAAGGTTTTTTCAACCATTTACGCAACAGGAGAGAAGTAAGATACAAAACCATTTGATCTTTGCATATAAACTATAAGTGTTCCTCATCCAAAAATCTTCATGCTTTGACCAATATAAAAATATTCACTGAATTATAAAATACCAATTAATCTAATTACTTTACCGCTAGGGAAAAGTTTAGATTGATTTTATATTGCTACAGTTAGAATGGGTTATTACATTTTTCTAATTACTACATTTCATTTTCATCATTATTTGTGCATATGTCCACATTTGTAAAGATTGGCTAAGAATGTTTTGTTCAGTGGTAACTTAAAAACAAATCAGTATAGTCATGGCCTCATTTTTCTTTAAAAATGAAGTTGCTCTCAGGATGTTTTTCACAATTTACTACATAAGATTATTTTATGACCTTGTACTTTTATATAAAAGCTATGAAATATGTGACACAATGGTGAATGTTGACTTGATAAAACCAAAGGCCATACTTTAATGGGACTTCTTCCACTGAACATTTTTATGATGATGTGTTGCCTATTTAAAAAATGGTCACCTTAGAAAAATGCAATTAAATTGAAAAAATTAGAGGATCACCTTTTTTTATTTTTTATTTTTATTTACATCTATTTAAGTAAGCTTAATGCAGTTCAGTTTAGAGTCAAGAGGAGGATATAAAGCTCATTTCCCAGATCAAAGAGATGAAATGGGAAGGACCTTGGAGATGATGATCTCCAGCCTCTCATTTTACTGGTGAGAAGTCAGAGACCCAGACAGGCAGTGGAGGACCCCGGGTGACTCACTCCTCAGCAGACTCCTGGGGTGCTGTCCACAGACGGACCAGGAGTCAAGTCACCTAACTCCTTAACATTGGGAGAGGACTGCGGCTAGGGACAGCTTGGTTCAGTCCTCACAACTTTCATGCAACACTTTTTGTTTCCAAACTCCTTGTATTCTTACTCTTGCTCAATCCAGGTTTCAGAAAGATCATTAAATCATGGAGCTGGAATTGTCTGATACAGTAATTTCTACATGTGTGACCCTCTATAGATACTAATTGATGAGCACGGCAGAAGGCTATATTCTGAGAGAGTTAATGAGTGATATCTAGTCAGAAAATTCTATCTCTTTTGAACCTACCTTATAGTAATAGGACAGCTGAGGAGGAATTGATAGCTCTATTCTGAAACTTTGGGGCAGGTGATAAGGGTAGACACATATCTTTTTAATGAATTTTTTTTTTTAAGAAGAAATGAAGGAGACAAAGATAAACTTGTAGTCTCTCTGTTTTTTATCAAAAGTTCCTTATATAGAAAATGAAAGAATTTGAGCACAAAGCTAAATTTCTACCTCAGGCTTACATTTCATGCATTTTAAAAAATCATAACAGTGTACAGAAGAAGAACATATTTCATTTAAGATTGGAGAGGAAGAAGTAATTTTGCTTTGGCAACTTTTTATATTTTATCCCCCCCCCCCCCCCCCACCACGGAAGCCCATTAAAACTGTGTTTTCCTCAGCTATCTAGGAAAATCCCTACCAGAACCAAACATTTTTGAAGATCCAATCCCTGAGACATTCCAGTCTGCATCATCCCCTGCCCCCTTCACCACATAATTTGAAATCCCTCTGTGGTTGCCTCCACCCCTGCACTTGCAGGCCCCTGCAAAGGAAGGGTCTGACGGTTGTGATTTACTGGGGTAACATGGGGCATCTCAGCACGTTTGTGGTCTGTCCAAAGCAGTCATTGCTGTGGGAAGGCTGATACCCTACATTTTTCCAGTAACCCCCTTGGCTAAACATCTTCCTGGTATTTCAAGGAGCTGTGTTAACTTCTGGATGGTGTGGCATGTTGGTCCATCTAAACTGTTCACTTAAGCCGAAACCCGTTTGGCATCGACTTGCGGACTGAAAGGTCCCAGGTTCGATTCCGGTCAAAGGCGTGTACCTTGGTTGCGGGCACATTCCCAGTGGGGGTGTGCAAGAGGCAGCTGGTCAATGATTCTCTCTCATCAATGTTTCTAACTCTCTATTCCTCTCTGTAAAAAATTAATAAAGTATATTTTTTAAAAAATAAACTGTTCACTTAAGGTAATTACTATAGCAGATCATTAAGGAGGCAGGACCACAAAGGGCTAGAATTTTTGAGCCAGTTTTTAAGCAATCTCTCATCTCTCATCTCTCTCTCTCTCTCTCTCTCTCTCTCTCTCTCTCTCTCTCTCTCTCTCTCTCTCTCTCTCGTTGCTCCCATAGGTTCAGAGTCAATGTTATGGATCCAATGTATGTGTTTCATTAGGTTATGTGTCTTGATGGGATTGATACGCTTATACGTTTATCAGGCAATGTCCCTGACATGAGCATTTCTATTTTTTCTCAATCCTTTCATTCCCCATCCCCCCTTTCTTTATGGAGCAAGGTGGTCTGCTTCTTGAAAGGCCTATCGACAGTAGTTCCTAACAGAATAGAGAACTAATATAAAGTGTCCATCCAATGAAATGGCATGGCCTTGGAGCGCTAAGTGAAAAAGGAGATGTAAAGCAGGGTTATTTATGGAAGCTGACCTTCGTAGGAAACTACTGGGGGAAATATGCAAAGAACCCTTGACAAAATGCCACGTACTATGTCTCTTCCTATTTGTACATTGAAAAAAAAAATCACCATTTCCAAATAAGTGTCATTAAGGGTCCAGATACATGGATTTTTTAAAAAGTAATGTCACAGAGAAAGAAGTTTAAGATTAGTAAAATCAGAGACCCAGTATCTAAAGAAAGTAAGATTTCCTATATTTTATTTCTAACCTTGCTACTGATGGTGGGCAAAAATTTTCTTCTCTTGAGGATCTAGTCTTCCTTTGTGTAATAATAAGCAATGCTAGTTAGATGTCTGGAAAAAGCTTTGGGAAGAAAAACTAGATGTCTTAATCTATAACTCAATGTGGACTTCTTCTTCATAGCATCAAACATGTAAAAATATCCTTATTTTGAAATGAACAAATCTTTGGAATTAGAAGTATCATTGTTTTGATCCATCACTGTCCCTCAGCAGTGAATTGGCATTCTTAGCCATCCTGATTCAATGCAGGCACAAACGATTAGAGGAAGTCAAGCTCTAAATTTTCTTCAAGATGCATAGTCAGAAGTGTATGGCCCGCCTTAGACTTATCCTACGAGCTGTCCTTCATATCAGTTATAGCTTATCATGAAAAAGAAAATGGCTGTTTATGGTAGGCATGATGTTTGGGATCAAACATAAAGAAGCTCTTATCTTTTAATAGAAAATAAAGTTTATTTAAAGTTTCATTGATTACCTTGGTTTGTAAATTTCTGTGTTTAAGAAGGTTTTCTTAAAGAAACAAAAAATGTTAATTGAGTCTTCTTTTTCTAGTGGAAATACAGTGAGTTTTACCATGTGAAAGCTTCATGCAGCCAAGGTCCTGCTTATGTGTGTAACATCACAGGTCTGCAGCCATATACTTCTTATCATGTCCGAGTAGTGGTGGTTTACAGGACAGGAGAAAACAGCACCTCACTTTCAGAAAGTTTTAAGACCAAAGGTGAGTATTAACATACAGCACTGAGAAAACCCTATAAGTTTCCCAATTATTTTCTCATCACCAATCCTAGAGGTTGTAATTTTGTTTTAAAAGAGTAAATTACTATTTCTAAAACTTGAGTTAAGAAATTAAAGAGTTAGGAGTCCTTATAGGCAGTAATGAGATAATACTCACCTGGTCTTGCAAGATCCTGAACAGGGCAAAATTATTTCACCTTTCAGTATTTGGATTTCCTATCTAGCTGTATCTTGCAGCAAGAACTAAATTAAAACAATGCTACTGATGTCCAATCCAATATTGACTTACTGACTACTATAATCACATGTTAAAGATTTTTTTTAAATCTAAAAAGTATATTAAATTTATTAGAGTTCTAAAAGATATACCATAACTCCAAGTTGATATTATAAGAATCAAGGGAGAATGTTCTACAATATTTTCCTTTTGTATTACTTATTTCAGACAAGCTAGGATATGTTACTCCTATCATGAATCCATCACAATAAAAACATCAGATACTCATTAAAAATTTATGCACTTGTATGAAAACTAGAGGCCCGATGCATGAAATTCATGCAAGAGTAGTCCTTCCTTCCCCCAGCTGCCAGCACCAGCCTCCCTCTGGTACCCGAGGCCCAGGCTTCCCTCACAGCTCTGACTTCGTCTAGAAGGATGGAAGGACGTCCAGAAGGATGTCTGGTCTAATTAGTACAGTATGCTTTTTATTATTATAGATATTTCTGAGTATTTCTTTCCTTTTAATAAATACAGTCTATAAAATATGTTGTGCAGGATATTTTATATTTCTAACTTATCAATCAGTATTTTCTTTGTTTCCAAAGCTGGAGTCCCAAGTAAACCAGGCATTCCAAAATTATTAGAAGGGAGTAAAAACTCAGTACTATGGGAAAAGGCTGATGATAATGGAAGCAGACTTATATACTATATACTTGAGATAAGGTATGTCTATTGGGAAAAGTGCTTTGTAAACTACAAAGAGCTAAGCAGGTTAATTGTAAAGTGTTATTAGATCAAAAGTAACAATATTTCTCAATACCGTATTTTTCGGACCATAAGACGCTCCGGACCATAAGACGCACCAGTTTTTAGAGAAGGGAAATGAAGAAAAAAAGATTCTGAAACAAATAGTGTCCTAAAATATTTTATGTGCATTAAAACCCAACATCACAGTCATAAACACATGTAATCAACCCTGTAAAGTAAACAGCATTTAGAACCATTTTAGAGCCGGGCAAGCACACAGAGACCACACAGAGCCGGGCAAGTAAAAAAACTTTTTTTTTAAAGTATATGTGTAGGCTATATTTGGACCATAAGACACAGGGACTTTTTCCTCCCACTTCTGGGGGAAAAAAAGTGTGTCTTATGGTCCGAAAAATACGGTATGTGTTTTATAAATAAATATGAAGAATCTTTAAAGACCTTAAATGTCTCTATCTTTTTTGCTCAGTTCCCAGCAGCTAGCCTTGGCACTCCAATTATAAGGCAGATCTCAAAAAAAATCTGTAAGTGCTTGTCAAAACTTTATGGAAATAATTCTATAATTGGCACATATAATTTATATTTACTTAATATCTATTCTTTTCAAGCAGCCGAGCTGATGTTTAATGTTAGATGGTGGTATGCATGTACATTTCAGATGTTAATTTGTTTTAGCAAGATGAGTAATATATAGGGAAAATTGTGCATGAGCTAGGTATTTTTTGGGACGTAAAATCAGGAACAGATCAGACAGGACTCTCTCCCCACTGTGAAGATTACGGTTTGCAGAGTGTTCCTGGGGACTGAAAATGTGCCTTTGATGTAAACTGATCAGCTGATGAGCATACGCAACCTCAGTTCCAGCCAGGATGAGGAGCTCTGTGAATCATAACTGGCTCAGATGAACAGATTTCATGCCAGCACGAAGAGAGAATTTCAGATTCCACAGACACGCCCCTCACGGGACTATGAAGCCATCTTTTAAGAAGCTCCAAGGACAAGTCACTTCCATAATTATAGTCCTGGCTACTTGAGCTTTAGATCTATTTTTGCTTCATCATGCTCTGGCATTCCCATAACCTTAAAAAAAATTTTCCTGCTCATGCTAGAGGAGTGCATTAACCATATTTCTAACGAAAACCTTCTTGAAATTTCTGTTACATTGTTCACACAGAGCAAAGTACATTCTGACCTGCAGAGCTGCCTTGGTGGCCTGAGACTGTGATTATGTCCACCAGTCAGGCATCACCTTGGCCTTGGAGGACCCCTTTAACAGGTTTCCCTACGCAACACTTTAAATGCATAGTTCCAAACTTCGCATCTTCTCATCCCAAGTTTCTATTCTCTGGACAGGGACTGTGGAGTGAAAGAATGAATTGCTTTACCTTTAGTATCTCAAAGTAACTTCTTCAGTCAGGATACTCTCGCGTACCTTCTGTACTTGCTGAAAGTACAGTGGTAGTGATAGTGCCAAGTGTGTGAACTTGGGAGCTGAACAGACTGTGTTAATTCCCTAGAGGACTACCACAACAAAATACCACCTACTGGATGGCTTCAGACCACAGACATTATTCTTTTATAGTTCTGGGTCTAAAGTCTGAAATCCAGGTGTCAAGTCCAGCTGGTGTGGCTCAGTGGTTGAGCATGGACCTATGAACCACGAGGTCACAATTCAATTTCTGGTCAAGGGACATGCCCAGGTTGAAGGCTTGATCCCTAGTTGGGGGTCAGAGGGGCATACAGGAGGCAACCAATCAATGATTCTATCTCATCAATGATGTTTCTATCTCTCTTTCCCTCTCCCTTCCTCTCTGGGGAAAATAAAATAAAAAATATATATATTTGTTGTTGTTGATGGTTTGTTAATCCCCACCTGAGGATATTTTTCCATTGAGTTTTAGTGAGTATGGAAGAGAGAGGGAAAGACAGCAACATCGAATGGTTGCCTCCTACAGGAGCCCTGACCAGGGAGGAGCCCACAACCAAGGTACGTGCCCTTGACGGAATCTAATCCAAGAGCCTTTGGTCTGCAGGATGGCCCTCTATCCATTGAACCAAACTGGCTAGAGCAATAAAAATATATTAAAAAATAAAATAAAATAAAATAAAATAAAATAAAGTAAAATAAAATAAGGGTGTCAGCAGGACCACTCTTCCTCTGAAGGTTCTAAGAAGGAATCTTTTCCTGCCTCTTGTTAGCTAATCTGGTGATTGCTGCCAATCCCTGGCATTCCTTGGCTTGTAGATGCATCACTCCAGTCTCTGGCTCTGTTGTCACACGGCATTCTCACTCTGTTTGTGTCTGTGCCTAAATCTCTGTCTTCTTAAGAGGGCATCAATCATTATGCTTGATCCTATCCTAATCCAATATGATCTCTTTAACTTGATTACATCTGAAAATACCCTGTTTCCAAATAAGGTCATAGTCACAGGGTCTGGATGAGCCTGAATTTTGGTAGGATACTGTTTAAGCCAGTACACAGACCATATTTAACTCCTTGCTTTACTCCATTTTAAACTTCAATGTTCTCATCTGAAAACAAACAAACAAACAAACAAAACACATGGGATAATAATATCTATCTCTGTAGGCTGTTGTGAAGGCTCAGTGAAATGAAATGACATGAAAAACACCAGTATTGTGTGTTGTAAATAAAAGATGTTTAGTCAATGTCAGAATTCCTCCTTCTCTTTCTCAATAGCCAATCTCTGTGAAGAGCCATTTTATAAATGTTTCAGTATCTTGTTCTTTTGGGTCAGAATTGTTTGGGTTGACCAATGAAATTGCCAATGCCTACCATGAAAGTTCACAACATGTACAAAAATACCATGTCATCAAGCTTTCCTCAGGAAGGCCCCGAGGACCTTCAGCTCCTTGTCACCCACTCAGCTGCTCTGGTCCTCCTGATCCACTTGCCCACGCCCTGTCCCTCACAGGCTGCTGTCACTGTTTCTCAGTTAGTTGAAGAACTGGCTTGCATTACCTGTCCCCATGCTTATTGTGGGTTGGTACCAAGTCCTAAAACTGCTGTGGTCTGAACAGTTTCAGACTTCTTACTGTCAGAGAAGACATCACTGCAAGGCCTTCAGCCTATGATTCCATTCTTCCAGCTACATCTGTTAAACCCAGCTATTGTGCTCTTTCTTTGTTTCATGTGAAGAATAATGTGAATAGACTTTGAGGTGAGTGTAGGCCAATACAAATGGCAACAACAAAACTTGTAATTTCAGACATAATAACTTTGGTAGCTGAGCTAGTATACCTTCCTGATTAATTGTATTTTTCGTGGGTTGTTTCTATCTGGATATGCTATTTGGAGACTATAGATATAGAAGCTGAGAAATAAAAATAAAAATTTCCAACAAATATCATGGAACAATTGTCTTATGTGTTTGGAATTCTGAAGAAATCTTATGCATTCTGATAGTAGGAAAAGTTGCTTCAGCTTTCTCTTGGCCATTGATTATTCATTCTTTTCCTGATGGGCTGAGTTGGTTGGTTCCATTCATTGCTGGGATGACTTTATAAGACTCTGCTGTGTTCTGTGGCCAAACCAAGTGAAAGGAATGAGACCACGGGTAAAATGTGCAAGAGGAGATGCTCTGGAGTTCTGTCACTAAAATGATATATGAGTGTCTAGAAATAACACATATGTTGTCTCATATATTTTCTATATTCATGGTTTTGCTCTTTCTTTGGCAGAAAGGGTACTTCAAATGATTCACTGAACCAGAACTTAATGTGGAAGATGGCATTTAATGGATCCTGCAGTAGCATTTGCACGTGGAAGTCCAAAGACCTGAAAGGAACATTCCAGTTCAGAGTAGTAGCTGCAAATACTCTGGGATTTGGTGAATATAGTGGAATCAGTGAGAATATTTTATTATCTGGAGGTATATTACCATATCTACCTTCATACTAAAGTATTACAAAAAGGTTCAGAGATAAAGTGTGCATTCTTAACATGAGCAATAAATTGGGTGACTGTAAAACTTATCTAAACTACCAAACTATTCATTTTATCTGATGTACTCTTCTAAAAACACCAATCCCATCATCATTTTCTCCTCAGTAATAACCAGTTAATTCTTAATCTCCTCTTATCAAAACCATGCTCCTCTATAGACTTCTAAGGATGTCCAGAGCCTGTCTTTATCCAGCCTTATTATCCTATTCCTGGTACTCTCACTATACAAGGGGCCTAAAATTATACTTAGGCCTTAGTACTTCCCCAAAATATTTCCATCTTCCACTGTGTTCTATTTCATATTTCTAATCACATCGGCTAGAAATCTCAGAACCATGTTAGATTTTTCCCCGCCTCTAGTCAGTCATCTCTATAGCATATTTTTCTTCTTTCCTTTTTTAAAATAATACTTTAAAAATCACTCAGTTCATGGGTTGTGTGGAATCAGGCTGTGGCCAGATTTAGCCCACAGGTCATAGTTTGCCAAGCTCTGTCTACATGTTTATCTCCTCTTCTCAACTGAGACCACCTAAGAGAAGGTGCCATGTGTTCATGTTTATATTCCTCAGTTTAACATCCATGGCATTAAATGTGTATGAAGATGTTACAGAGTTATAGTATTCCCAACTATATAAAATATGATGAAGACTGGGACTTCTCCCAAAATTGTTAAAAGGATTATCCATGTTTTCTCCATCACTTTAAAGTAAAAACCTGGGTGGGTATACCCCAATGATATACTGGTAAACTGGCTCTTTGGAAAAACACAACATAAAAAACATTGATTTTTGATTATCCAGGATGTAAATACTCTTACCATAGATAATGCCAAGCTACATAGTTTAACTGGCTCCTAAAATATCATTGGAGCTAGTCCTGGTATATCAGGTAGATACTATAGATCAGTGTTTCCCAAAGTGTGGTACACCACCCCCAGGAGTACGGGAAGAGTTTGGTGGGGGTACGCATTGCACTGGAGTTTGGTGGGGATATGCACTGCACCGTGCTTAGCTGCACATAAGTCTACATTCTCATGAGTGTGAGGGGTACTCAGCTTTATGAAAATTATAGAAGGGGTACACATGTCAAAAATTTGGGAAACACTGCCCTAGATGATCTATTCTATGAATTAATTTCTTTTTCTCATTTATTTCACTAGATGGTTTTTGGATACCAGAAACAAGCTTTATACTTACTGCTGTAATTGGAATATTTCTGGTTGTTATAATCCTATTGACCTTTGGTAAGTAAAAAAAAAAAATTAATAGGTAATAAATTACTTATTTAGTTACAATAATTGATTTATTTCTTAGTTTATTTAAATCTCTCACCTGAAATAAATTCATAAAATTTACAATGTTATCTTTGGCAGTAAGTCCTTAACCATTATCTTTTGTGAATTGTTTTCTGGGTCTAAGAGTAACTATTTTATGAACAATATAACTATATTTACACTTCATGGTATATTATAGATAAAACTATTTGCAAGAACATTGACTTTAACTTTCTTTAAAATAGTATTTGTCTCTGACTGATTATGTAGCAAGTGTTTTTTGTGGCGTAAAGTTTGAAATAAATGAGAAATTATTTTGGGTGTATAAAAAAAGGTAGGATTAATGCAAGACCAGTGGCGATCCTTGCTTGGGATAGTCTGGGCCTCCCGGCAGACAGCCTGGTTTGGAAGGAGTCGGGCCCCTTTTGCAGAAGGCCCATTTCTGGCCTGTCAGATCCACTCTCTCTTTCAGATGTCTGACTTCCTTATTTCAAATCCCTGCTCATTTATAAATGACTAGGAAAACAGAGTTAGATTAGGTAGATAGAAAACTGGCTATTTCCATCTATTCCTTTTATACTAAAGTGCTAGTCCTAAAAGGCCTTTAAAAAATAACTTGTTTAATATGAGAAAATACAACGACAATTCCAAAAGGCTTGGTCAAATATTGGGCCCTTAGGCTTATTATAGTGATCACACATTCTGATTTATTCCTATTGTTTCACCATAAACATCAATAGCACTTTAAGTCCCTAAAATATTTTGGTTTGCATTATAAGATATATGATCACCTTAACATCATTAATATAATGTGTCTCAGACATGCTAAAACATTATAAGAAAAACATGATATTTACCAGAAAAAAAGCATTCAAATACATATTCGAGAAATTGTGGCTTTTCTTTTTTTGCATAAACAAGGAAAAGTTAGAAGAGAACATTTAAGGAAAATGTACAAACATATAGTTGAAATCTCTCAGGATAAAAAAAGCCAATATTTCACTCGTGTTCTAAATCTTTATTTTTTCCCAAATCGATTGGAATCATGAGCTATTGGAGAGCACACTGAAATTTGAATTGAGATTTCTTCTCACAGATTCCACACAGATAATATATGGAACTCCTTTGGCTAACTTAGAAAGCTAAAAATTTCAGCTGACCCTGCCAGGATATTAACCTGTGGTTCCAGGGAGTCTAAGTATTGCACAGCTGATGTTTGTGTCGCTAAGCCAGCCCCTCCAGAGTTACGCATATGACTGCAGTATATTTGGCAGTTGGCATATAGGCTTGACTGCTTGTCTGCTTTCCTACTGGGAAGGAGGGGTTCATGGAGAATCTTCCATCTGACCTTTGCCTGCCTACTTGTACATCACCATTGTTCAAACTCATAACTCCAGTGGATGAACACGAGATAATTTCAGACAACCCATTATGCTTTTAAGACATCCTAAGAATATCTGACTTTATCAGGACTTAAAGGTCTTTATTCTATTTGGAACTCAAACAGATTTTTGAGTACAGCTAAGCTAATCTGGTTATTTAGGAGATGTGCATGTGGTTTTACTGGTAGGGGTGTGGAAGTGCATGGGGAAAGACTGAGCTCTTAAAATAATGAGAAGTAGGAATTGTTTTAAAATTTGCATGGTGCTGAGGGCTCTCATCAGTCATGCTTATAAATATAAAATTGAAATAAGGGTTTAAAAATAAGCATTGACAGCTTTTGCTCTGGGGAGCAGTCATAGCTAACGTGTAACATCAGCCATATGCTGGGAGCAGAGGGAAAGATAAAGTAGTAAACTACAATTGCTGACCTCCGGAGGGTGCCATTTAATGAGGGAGGTAAGACTTATTTGTGTGAAAAGATAGCGATATACGTGTTAAACAACAACAAAAGGCAATGAATGCTACATGAAATGCACAAGACAGTGACACAGAAGTGCTTAGAGACACATTAGTCTTATAAGTTCAGAGATGAGAGATCAGTAGAGGTTGCAGAAGTCTCGTAAGGTGTCACTGAAAATGGGGGGCACTAACATGGCTTTTAAAAAGGAAGAGGGGTAGTGAGAGCACTTCAGGTTTGAAAAACTGCATTAGCAAAAGTATTTAAGATCTACCCCTGTGTGGTCCCTTAGATGGAATTTCACTTGAATAAAATTCTGACCTGTTAAACACAGGAGCTACTATAAAATAAAGTTCAGATTTTCATGATTATCTCACAAAGCATCCTTGCTGTTTTCAGCTTCTGTGCCAATATTCTAGGGTAGATGGGTGATCTTATTGACATCATTGTATTTTAATCTAGAAAACTATAGTTTATTTATAGTAATTTATATATATGATTATAAAATAATATTTGCTCATTGTATGAAGAAGATAATACAAATCATCCATGATTTCATGACTAGGGAGGACCACTGCTAACATTTGGTGGGGTTCATTCCAATAATTTTTCTCTGTATTTGAATATATATATATATATATATATATATATATATATATGAACAACAATGGATATGTATTCTGATACTCTGCATTTTCAAAAAATATACTATTATAGCCATTATATTGAAAGCACTCCTCAGGTTTACTGAGGAGTATAACCTGAACATATTTGGACTCAGAAATGAATTTGTTTCACTAATAATTATTATGCAAGTGTGTTTTGGTTTGATTTTGCTTTAAGAGTGATTTTGATAAATTAATTCCGATATTAAGATACTTCAACTTGTTTATAACAGCAATAAGAAATATATCAAATATTTAAATGTTACTTTGATATTCGATGAAAAATGAGGTAGTATAAGCTATGCATTTTTCTATGGCCTGCTACCGAGATTTAATTAGGTTTTTTTTTTAATTATTATTAGGGGCATACTTTTCAGTTAAATTCTGTTATTTTACCAATGGTGTTCTTATGGATAAACACTTAATGTACTGTTTACATACCTAAAGGAAAAGGAAACAATACTTTGTTTTGTGAATTATGTCTTTTTTCTTTATAGTCTGGCACAGAAGATTGAAGAATCAGAAAACTCCTAAGGAAGGGCTGACCGTTCTCATAAGCGAAGACAAGGAGTTGGCTGAGCTGCGAGGTCTGGCAGCTGCGGTGGGGCTGGCTAATGGCTGCTGTGCGATACGGTGAGTGTCTGGGGCATCATGATGGGACATCCAGATGAAGGGCAGGCAGGAGGACATGGGCTAACATCTACTATTCTGTTTCAGAAGTAGCATGGTGGTTGCCTACACAAGCTCTTTAAGATAGATGAGTATTGAACTTCTGTCAACATAACTTAAAAAAAAATGTAAATGTTTTTGTAAGACATTATACTATGGTCCATACAAAAGGGAATTATATAGTCATAAGCATTTACATTGAAATTTGTAAATTAAGACAAAAACATGAAGGGTTTGGAATAGACACAGAAGTGATCTAAATTAGAGGTGACTTTTTCTTGAAAAGTACTCAGTACACCTAACACTCAAGATTCTCTTTTAAAAACTCAAAGCATTTTAAATGCAGATGCATTTCTCTGCTCATAATATTCCAGGTGAGAAACTTGGCTTCTTAAAAGTTAACCTGATGAAAATGGAGTTGATTTTTGTGCTCATGGTAAATTTTGTTTTATATAAGAGGTTTTTGTGTGAAGTAGTTAAAGTAAATGCTTTTTAGCTCATAAATCCAGCTGTATTTATTACTAATTTGCAATCACTTTTTTATACAAACTGGTAACGTAAAGGAATTAATTGATGACTGTAACAAAACAAGCTACAGCAAAAAACCTTGAGGCAATGCACACACAGGCATGTTTCTATAAAAATGAAGGTGCCTATTAGCAAAGTGACATGGTCTGTCTGGGTTTTAAGGGAAGGAATATTCTGGATGGTGAAATGGGGAAGGAATTGAAACACAAAATTCCACATCACTTCATCACATAGAATGCACCTCAGGGTTGCGAAGCCATGAGCTTTCTTTCTCATACTCTTTCAAACACTAACACCAACACCAACACCAACTTGTAAACCATCTGTATTTTGGGAGATCAAGAATATTGTTATTTTCTAGTACTTTTCCGACCCAAGAGGAGATTGAAAGTCTTCCTGTCTTCCCTCGGGAAAATCTGACTCTGTGCCTCCTGCTGGGAAGCGGAGCCTTTGGAGAAGTGTATGAAGGGACAGCAGTGGACATCTTAGGAGCTGGGAGCGGAGAAACCAAGGTGGCAGTGAAGGTAATGTGGTTTTAGCTCCTTGACATGTTATGTCAGCATACTTACATAGATTTGCATGGGTGCAACTGTAATGAAAGATGAGTGATCTTAACTGAAAAGAGAACTAGAAGGTAGGAGGCTATTTATGGCTATAGAAATCACTTTTTTTTCCTTCCCATTCCCTACATAAGCTCTGAAATTAATGCTAATTTCTTTTTTTAAAATATATTTTATTGATTTTTTTACAGAGAGGAAGGGAGAGAGATAGAAAGCTAGAAACGGTGAGAGAGAAACATTGACCAGCTGCCTCTTGCACACGCCCTCCCTCCCGCCCCCCGCAACAGGGATGTGCCTGCAACCAACCAATGTACATGCCCTTGACCGGAATCAAACTTGTGACCTTTCAGTATGCAGACCGACGCTCTACCACTAGCCAAACCAGTTTCAGCAATTAATACTAATTTCTGTGTTTATTAATTAGTTAAGACCCAGCAGTTTTCCCCTTCAAATATACTATAAGAGGAGTGAGGTTGTTAAGTGCAGTCTCAAGGCAGGTAATAGGGCAGATTGTAAACATTTTAGACTTGTGGCCATATTGAGTCAGTTGCAACTATGCCACTCTATCATTGAGTATGTAAACCAATGTGCGTGATTATGTTTCAGTTAGACTTGATTTATGAAAATTGAAGTTTACTAGTAAATTTCACATAATTTTTATGTGTAATGAAATTATATTGTTTTTTACTTTCTTCAACCAGTTAAAAATTTATCAGGTCAGTTATACTTCAATAAAGCTAGAAAAAAAATGTCAACTATTTTCAGATAGCAAGCTGTGCAAAAATAGGTGAAAGGGTGGAATTGGTCCACAGGCTATATTTTGCTGATCTGTAATCGAGCAATACCCTAATCACAGCTTTTTAGGAATCTATTGCTTTGAAGGTGGGCAATACAATCAGAAAATTTGTCCAAATTTTCTCAATTGATTTAAATAAGTGTTTATTTTTCTTATGTAACAGGTGACCGCTGGCTTTAGTGCAGTGCCAGTAGATCTGAAATTCTCTTCACTTTGTACATGTGTGTTAACTCATGGTCCCAAGATGGTTGCCAAGGAGTCAGGCAACACATCTTCATTCAGGACAGAACATTCACTGACCAGAACTGATCCATATTTGCAAAAGAGGCTGGAGAGTTACAGGCCATGGTTTTCATGATTATCTCAGACCAATTGCCTGGGACTGGTCACCTTGCCTCTGAGAAACATATTAGGGTATTATTAGCAAGGAAGCCTGGGAACTAGACATTGAATAGAAAACTGTGAAAATTTAGAAATTAGCTTAAGCTCCAAATTTGTTCTCTTTTTAAATTTTTTACATTTTGGAGAGACTTCGTGTAAATATTACTAGATCTGTCATCTATCACTTAAATACTTTCAAGAACAGGAGCTATCTTTTAAATAGGCTTACATAGTACATGCACATGCACCATCCATTATTTATTTTGCAATTTCAGGGTGGATATTATAAAACAAAACCAAGATTATCTCCATTAATGCACTGAGCCCACAGAAATGTCTGCTATACTGATTCCTGGCTTGTTTTTATATTGCACAGACTTTGAAGAAGGGCTCCACAGACCAAGAAAAGATTGAATTCCTGAAGGAGGCGTATCTGATGAGGTATCAGGGCAGCTCTAAAATAATTTTCCCTTGGTATGGGCAGGAAGCTTTTACATCTGATTGGTAGATTTCTAACATTCAAAATCACCTGACATAATAGATCATGCCCCAATTGAGCGTGGCTGAAGTCTAAATGGGAATATGCCTGTAATGACAAATATTTTATACAATAGAATCCAGCCAGGGCACAAGCAGTCCTCCAGCAAAAGGTTTTCCTTTTACCTTCAATAAAATGTGTGTTTTGCAAGTGACTTCCGAAAGCATGCTAATGGTCTTCTAAGTATGTGGGGATGGTTGAAGTAGACTGAGTAAGAGAGAGTTCTCTTAAGTACAGTGTTACCAATGAAAATATCTCTTGTCTTGGTAAATTTGACTTCAGTGATAGAGTTAGTTGTTGAGCATGAAAACTGATGAAAGACATCTTAACGGGAAGACCTGGGGCAGTGGGTCTAGTTATTCGATTGGAATTTATTTGCTTTGACATCTTGAGGAAACAGTTGTAACCAAATTTGCCTGTTTGAATTGTTCCTCTACAAAAGAAAGAATAATATTTCATATTTGTGATGACAAAAAAATATGTTTTCGAATAACTTTTGAAGAAGGAAATTCGTTCAAATGACTTTCTTTTCCAAAACACAAAGTACTGAATATAAACATGGTTTCTTCTGAAACACAGGCTGCTCTATCCATATGCGCTGGCCACTAGGGGTTGCCATATTACCTCTTTTCTATCAGATATTTCACTTAAATAGAAAAGAACACAGCCCATCACTTGGAAAAAGGAGGCCTTCAATTGTAAGAGTTAAAAAAAAAAAAAAAAAAGCGGGGGTTTTGATGGAAACTATAGATAATCAATTGCTCTATTCCAGAAGAACCTCAGCTAGGACTTCTGTCGCTGTCATGTCACCCGCCTGTCTCTTTCCACTTTTAGTAAGTTTAATCATCCCAACATTCTGAAGCAGCTTGGAGTTTGTTTGCTGAATGAACCCCAATACATTATCCTGGAATTGATGGAAGGAGGTGATCTCCTCACCTATTTGCGTAAAGCCCGGATGACAACGGTAGGAAATGGGGTCCCCAGTGTGGATTTTATAATGCAAATGCCCTAGTAATTTTCTTTAAATTCAATAGGCTGCAGTTTCCGTCTATGGGAGAACCGTGGAAGACTTCCTTGGAAAGAATTACTGCATTTTCTTCATGTTGGATTAGGACAATTAGCACCCTGGACTAATTTTTGGGATTTTCTGGTTATTTGAGCCTGTTTTCAGTATTTAACTGGAAAATAGCTCCCTCAATGCCAGAATCATGTTCCCTGGAGAACAGAGGTTGTGAAGAGTTGGAAAAAGCATGTCTTTCTCTGTATTTAATCTGTATGTCTGTCTTTCCCAAATTGATATTTCCAGTCTTCATGTCTTGACTATTAGAATTATGCCTTAGTATGTTCAGTATCTTCAAACTTGGTGTTCTGGTTCTGTGTGTGTGTGTGTGTGTGTGTGTGTGTGTGTGTGTGTGTGTGTGTTCCCCTCAGAGGAGAGCCTCCAGCTACAGTGGGGAGATCTAAGAGCTAGTTAGCCCTTAAAATAAACTTCTAAACATTCTCCTTACATTGAGTCCTGTCCTTCACCCCCGAATTCAGAGATACTTGCTACCTCCAATTCAAGAGTCTTTGTGGGGTTCTACAGTGAAAATCAGTTTAATTATTGCTTTCTCCTTCATCATCTTTCACCTCCCTGGGCTCTGCTAAATTTCCACTCCTCCATATGTTTTCCCTGTTCTAACCTGTCTTGTTGTGTCTATTTTCTTGATCTACTTGCCCTTGTGATATCATAAAAATTTCCTCAGGACTCTCATTTTAGTAAGGGGAGAGAGTGGAACTAAAATTAAAAGCATCAATTCCCCATCTTTAACAAGAAAGCTTATCTGACCAGCTGGCATGGCTCAGTGGTTGAACATTGACCTCTGAACCAGGAGGTCACAGTTTGATTCCCAATCAGAGCACATGCCCAGGTTGATCAGGGCACACGCCCGGGTCATGGGCTCCATCCCCAGTGTAGGTTGTGCAGGAGACAGCCGATCAATGATTCTCTCTCATCATTGATATTTCTCTCTCTCTCCCTCTTCCTTCCTCTTTGAAATTAATAAAATTTTTTAAAAGAAAGCTTATATATAGATTTTTGTAAGTTTTTTGTTTGTTTTGGTTTGTTTTTGTGTATGTTTTGTCATCTTTCGAGGAGAGAAGAGAGGATGAAAGTAGGCTAAAAGAATGCATGGGACCATGTTTTCCAAATTATCCCACGCGTCCAGGATCCGAATGGCTGTAATGATCAGTTCTTAAGAGTGTTCAGTTCTTCCACTGCCTTTCCTGCCAACTGCACAGGATGGCCTCCATGCTTCATATAAGACAGGGTGCTGTTAGGTGCCCAGTGCCGGGATTAAGGTCAGGGCCCTCTGTGGCCCAGGCTCTAAGCCCCCATCATGCTGAGTTCACTTGGGCCAGCCATCTGTCCACAGAGAGTGCTCAGAGGCACATTCTGGAGGAACTACCACAAGCATCTTTTTCCCTATCCCTGTGCCGAGACCACTAGTCTAGTCCTTCGTTTTCAAGATCTCACTTTCTGCATCTATAAAATGGGATATTAAATTAAAAACTTTCTCCGGCTACTTTTAGCTTTGATATTCCAAGCTTGTATTACAATGGAAAAAAAGTAAAAGCAAATAAAAACATGCCATCAAAATAATAAAAACACATATTCAAAAACAAGTTAATTATCAAATCTCTGCTGGGCATTTATTGACTAACTGTGAAGTATGTGGTCTTGCTTTTAATTTATTTTATTATTTTTTGTTAATCCTCACCCAAGGATATTTTTCCATTGATTTTTAGAAAGAGTGTGAGGGAGAGGGAGACACACAGAGAAACATCAATGTGAGAGAGACACATTGATTGGTTGCCTCTTGCACATGCCCCAACCAGGGTTGGGAATTGAGCCTGCAACAGAGGTGCATGGCCTTGATCAGAATTGAACCCTACAGGCATTGGGTCACAACGGAATGAACTAATTAAAGCACAAGGAGGCTGGAGACATGGGAAGTTTGGGAAGAGTCCGATAAGGATGATCAAGGCCTGAACGAGGGTAATTGCAGGGAAATGGCAAGGGACAGAGTTTTTCCCTATGGTTCTAATAAAAACTTTAGCTGGCCTTTTTTCTTGTAGAAATCATTGTAGCCATACAGGCACAATTTATTTGGGCTGGCTCGCTTAGACGTGACCCTGAAAAAGAGTGTGTTTTGCGCATATGAGGAACAAGCCCATTGTCGTGACTGACACAATAGCGTGACCTTGGGTAAATAATTAAACTGGTGAGCACTGACTATACTGCCATTATTGCTGCTTATGAGAGCAGCTGCTGTTTATAAAGTGCTTTTTATATATCATCCAGATTACATACCGTATGTGAAAACCCACAAAGGCAGGCTTATTATTTCCACTTTACCTACGAGAAAGCTGCTGAGTGAACAAAGCAAACTGAGCAAGGCCACACGATGAGTAAGTAGCAGAATCAGGTAAGTCTTGGTCCGTCAGCATGAACACCCAGTTTCAAACAAAGGTCCCAGATTGCCTCTGCTTACGAAATGTAGTCTGTTTTTTATGTATATTTGGGAAGAAATCATACAAATAGAGTTCTTTTCCTCTTTGCTTAAATTCTTGCAGCCATAACTAAAACTTTCTTTAAAATACCATGTGTATGTGTGCACATGCATATGTATGAAGCCATTTATACATATATATGTATAGGTGTAGTTTGTGCAAATGGGAAAAGTGCCTAATCTTTTCCCTTTCTTACAGTTTCATGGTCCTTTACTTACATTGGTTGACCTTGTAGACCTGTGTGTGGATATTTCAAAAGGCTGTGTCTACCTGGAGCAGCTGCACTTCATTCACAGGTACAGTGATCCTGGAGACAGGTTCCTATGGATATTGGCACATTAGGCATCTGTAGTTTGGGTAAAATATACAAAACAAACATTTTCAGTCCTTCAAAATAGCAATAATTCTTAAAAAAAAAAATAGTCTCTCTTCTCTACAGACCTGCTAGTATAACTTGTCTGATCTCTGGAACTATATTATTATTGTATTATTATTATTATTATTATTATTAATTAAATATAGCTTTTGCCATAGGGACCTGGCAGCTCGGAATTGCCTTGTCTCAGTGAAAGACTACAGTAGTCCATCACGGGTGGTGAAGATTGGGGACTTTGGACTCGCGAGGGACATCTACAAAAATGATTACTATAGAAAGAGGGGAGAAGGCCTGCTCCCTGTTCGGTGGATGGCTCCGGAAAGTTTGATGGATGGAATCTTCACGACGCAGTCTGATGTATGGTGAGCTTAATAGGACGCATAGAAATGTGGGCAGAACCATCCAATGTCAGAGCCAAAAAGGATCTTAAAAGGTCTTCTAATCTTTTTATTATTATTACTAGAGGCCTAGTGTGCAAAACTTATGCACTTGGGGGGGGTCCCTCAGCCTGGCTTGTGCCCTCTCACAGTCTGGGAGCTCTCGGGGGATGTCCAACCGCCTGCTTAGGCATGCTCCCCGTGGATCTTAGCACTGCTGAGGATCCAGGGTTCTGGCTGAGCAGCACTTTCCCTATGGGAGCATGCTGACCACCAGGGGGCAGCTCCTATGTTGAGCATATGCCCCCTAGTGGTCAGTCTGTGTCATGGTGACCAGTTGTTCTGCTGTTCAGTCAATTTGCATATTACTATTTATTTTATAAGACTAAAGGCCCAGTGCACAAATTCGTGCACAGGTGGGGTCCGGCTGGCCCAGTCCCAATTGGGACAGATCAGGGCAGGGCCTATTGGAAGGAGAATACAGAGGGAGGTTGACCCGCTGGCCTGCCCTGATGGGGGCCCAATCAGGGCTGGGCCAGCTGGTGGGAGGGGCTGAGGGCAATTGGATGGTGAGTCTCACCCCAGATTGGGGTGGGGTGGTTGATTGGGGGTCAGTGGCCAGAGGAGGGGTCCTGGGAAGTTGGCTGGTCAGCCCCACCCCTGATTGGTGTGGCGGGGCCCATTGGGGACAGAGCTGGCTTGAGGGAGGGGCCACGGGCCAATCGGGGTGGTGGGGGCTGATTGGAGGTGGGGCCAGCCAAGGGAAAAGGTTGTGGGTAGTGGGCCAGCCAGCCCCACTCCTGAAGGGGGTGGAAAGACCAATTTGGGCCTGTGGCCTAGAGGAGGGGTCATGGGTGGAAGGATAGGTTTTGGGAGGTTGGCCACTGGCCCCCCCCCCCCCCATTGGGGTGGGGGTGGGGCAATCAGGGGTGGAGCCAGCCAGGGGGGGAGGCTTTGGGCTGATCAGGGTGCTGGGGCCCATTGAGGGTGGGGCTGGCTGGGGGAGGGGCCGAGGGAGGTTGGCTGGTGGCCTCACCCCCCTATCAGGCCGGTTCGCTGGCTGCAGTGGGCATTGTTCTGGTCATTATGGCGTTCCAGTTGCTGGCTTTTTATATATATATATAGATTGTTGTTGTTGTCAGTATTACAGATGTCGTCCATTTGCTCCCCTTTTTCCATCCTTGACGCTGCCCCATCCCAGCCCTTCACTACTCTATTGCCTGTGTCCATGTGCTATGCAAGTTCTTCGGTTAATCTCTTCCTGTCCTCTAACCCCTCTCCCCTCTGAGATTTGTCAGTTTGTTCCAGTCTGTTCCATGTCTCAGGACCTATTTTGTTCATCAGATTCCACATATAAGTGAGATCATGTGATATTTGACTTTCTCTGACTGGCTTATTTCACTTAGCATAATATTCTCCAGGTTCATCCATGCTGTTGCAAGGGTAAGAGATCCTTCTTTCTTACTGCTCATAATACTCCACTGTGTATTGTTTTTAATATGAGAAAACAGAGACCAGAGAGGTTGCAGTTTGCCTGAAACTAAAGTGAAAGCTGGTGTCTAGCGGGGACTATTTTTGGGTCTCAGTAGCTTACATACCTCGCTCCAATAGGTTTTGATCCTTCATCTTACTAGTGTACATGAAATAGCTACATTTACTTCAGGTACTTTGTTACTCCCCAAAGTGTAGAGGCTTTGACTAATAGGAATTGGGACCTATGAATTAATATCTAAGTATGCGTCTAAATGCCTACTATTTGGGGATGTTCGGTCATTCATTTATAAGTAGACTTTAAATCACAGATCTCAAAAATATTAGGACATTGGGGAGATTTAGAAATATATTTATTATTTGAATAGAACTCATTTTCGCTTGTTGACCCCAAACTTTCTATGAGAGCTGCTCAAAATCTAAGGATTTGTTCAATAACTTTTAAGCTGAACCAGCCCTAGACACAGTTGGGGATGAGATAAAAACTAGGATCAGTGCTGCCAGTTTTTATTCACACCTTCCTTCTCCATGTTTACTAACACTCAAACTTAGAAAAACAAACAAACAAATGCTTTCTTGCTCACCTGGAAGCATATCTTGCATAATGGAGGTCTGCAGTTCTCCAATGGTTCAGCCAGAAAGGAGGAGCAAAGTGTATGTGTGTGTGTGTGTGTGTGTGTTCCCACTGAGCATTCCTGTCACCTCTGAAGTGCTTATTCTATTTTTCTATTTTATTTTTAAAGATATTTTTATTGATTTCAGAGAGGAAGAGAGAATGAGAGAGCTAGAAACATCAATGATAAGAATCATTGATTGGCTGCCTCCTGTATGCCTCACACTGAGGATCAAGCCTGCCACCCTGGGCATGTGTCCTGACTGGGATTTGAACCAGAACCTCCTGGCTCATGGGTTGATGTTTAACCACTGAGTCATGTTGTTTGGGCACTAGTTCTACTTATTCTTGGGATCAACTTGCTTTTAATTCTCCCACTTGCCTTTTATGGACCCAATCATTCCAATCACAAAATATAGCCCGTTGCCCCAGGAGTATTATGTTGGAGAAATGACTGTAAACATGATGTTTGTAATAAGTAGAATTAAAGCAAACTCTCTGATATCCTCAGGTCTTTTGGAATTCTGATTTGGGAGATTTTAACTCTTGGTCATCAGCCTTATCCAGCTCATTCTAACCTCGATGTTTTAAACTATGTGCAAACAGGAGGGAGACTGGAGCCACCGAGAGACTGCCCTGATGATCTGTAAGTTGTGATTATGTTAACATAAGTACCCACAAACAAAAACACGAGCACACGCACTCTAATGCCTCAGTGATATGGTGTTTTAAAATGAAAACTGGTCCTCATATATTTGTATATCCTACATAAGCTAGAAATGGATTTATATTAAATTTTCTAAATACATGATTTTTAAAAATTTATATATACACATTATATTTCACTTCAGAAACAAAATTTGGAAGAGCAGAATATATTTATACTCCTGGTTAAGTGAATTATAAGAAATAAAAGCTCTCTGGGCATGTATAATGTGGGTGTGTATATGTGTGTGTACCATTATATTTTGTAAACTCTGATTTAGCTAATATCTTAATCTACAAATTAAAATATTCTATTAAGTAGGAATACATTTTGTAAAAGTTAGATTGCATTTGTTAACATAGCTGATCTTGGGATAGAGTACTGCTCAAAATTATAGAGGTTGTTATCTGTTTATGAGCTAAACATGTAATGACTAAGTATTAGTAATCAATTGCTCTGTCAAATTGATCCTGGTCACTATTAAATTTTAATAAACTTGTGATTCTCAAAGAGTAGGTGATTTTAATCTAATTATCAAAAAACAAGACAACTTATTTTACTAAGTACTAATCCATCTTCTTGTGAACATCCTCAGCAGAAATATTGTCTTGAGACTTTTCCCAAGAGGTGTTTTACCCAAGAAGTTTCTGAAAGAACATATAAGCAACACGTATAAATTTCTCTGTTATGTGCATGACACCATGCTAAGGATTGTATGATATACAGAGGTGTTTAAAACAGGGGCATGAGTTTTCAACATCTCAGATTGCATTTTGAAAGAAAAGACGCACATGTGGAGCAGCTGGATAACAAGCCAACACGTAATAAAGTGCTAAACTCTGTGGTACAGTCAAGTGCAAGAGGAATTAGCAGTATGCGGATACACACCACGATTGTACTGCCTTGACTCTGTTGTGTTATTTAGAGGATGATTCATAGCGGAGCCAAAAGATGATTAAGTACTGGGCACCTTGGGTGGATGTTTTACTGGTGAATGTGTTTGTATTATTTAAACCTTCCAGCTAGAAGATTTGAATCACTGATTGTTTCTTTTACAACCTCTGGGATATTGGCAGGGAGATTAGGTATACACAGACCTGAACAAGTTTGGTGTCAGTGATTAAAAATGTGCTTAGGTATTTGGGGGAGATGGGGAGAAATTCTGTAAGCTAGGAGTAAGAAATTATACGCAATTTGAAAACCTTTGATCTAGAGTTTGAGAAAAAAAATACCCCAGCATAGCTAAGCATGAAACACATTTTTGTTAAATAATTAGCAACCTAATCATTATTTTTGCATCATATTTTTATATATATTATATTGTTATATATATATAATATATATATAATTAGGTTGCTAATTATTTAACAAAAATGTGTATATTAATTTATAATTAGATAAAAATCACCTACTCTTTGATGATCACAAGGTTATTAAAATTTAATAGTAGCTAGGATAAATGCCTGCACCTCAGGCATCAGTTATATATATATATATATATATATATATATATATATATATATTTCAGAAAATGTCTCCAGAATTTCAGTCACATGAAATTTTCACTGTGCTATTAGAATTTTATCTGACATAGGCACTTTAGGAATCATTGGTATGGTATGAGTCACTGTTATACATTTTGATTGTTGTGTTCATTTATATAGTTTGGGGAGGATAGAGGTGGATAACAAATTATCTTTTGTGGAACAAAAAATGATTGAACTTTATTCTAATCCAAAGGTATCAAAAAATGCAACTGGAAAAAGGAGGGAGAATGCATGCTAGGAAAGTGCTAGAAAAAGATAATAGTCTACATAATTTTATCTTGATTATTCAGTATCCAACAATAGAGTTTCCATGAAACCAAAATTTGCATTGGTGGTTTTGAAGTTCCTTTGAACATCAGTAATGAAAAGGCAAACAATGCCCTCAGCCCTCCCTCCAAGTGCTATACACCTCTCTGAGCCAGGGAGGGTTAACTCATCGCCCACAGGAAAACTAGCTGTGCTAGGAAATTGGGCTCTGAGCACTGCCATTCAATCTGGCCCTGGCCTTAAGTTGTCATGATAAAGATTAACTACTCTCCTTAGAGTACAGAGGGAACTGATTTTTATTTGAAGCCGCTCTCTGAGATCACAGGCCGAGCTTAGAGGGTTGAAAGTCTGCACTGAGCCATCCCGCAACTTCTATTCACCACCTAAATTCCCAGCACCTGGATGCTCTCTGGGTCAGGTGAGCCCATAGGGAGCTGTGCTGAACTCAACTATTAATGGAATGCAGAGGTTCAGAGCATCTTCCTCTTCTCCCCATAGTCCGGGATGTGTGGGGGAAAGCCTAGTCCTAGGTATTCCCTTCAGCTTTCAGTTCACACAACAACCATGCCATTCTCAAGAGGAAACGGGTTCAAAGGGCAACTTCAAGAGAGAGCTCTTTGGGGTTCTCCGACAGATTTATTACGGTGGCACCTGGAATTCGCGGGGTGTCTCTCAAATGGAGGTGGCAACAATGGGAGAAGATGAGGTGCACCGTCGTATTTTTACCCCTGAAAACTATGTGCACCTAGATGCTAATTGAGTCCCTCTAGGATTGTCATAATGAGTAAGGGAGTTCTTAAAATCAGTATTTCTTGTGCTTTGTTTAAATACCTATAGAAACTCATTTCCTTCAAACGGAAAGATGCCATGGAGATTTTACCTGTTGAATTTGAATTGCTTTCTGAATCTAAGGCCTTTCTTTACTCATAGACACTAAAAATGAACGGTTAATGAGTCTCATGGTATTTTGAAAAAGAATTGAGGCTAAGAGGAGTCAAGGGTTGGCATTGTGAATGAAGGAATTTGAGCCTGAACACTTAGCTGAATGAGATATTTCAAATATGATGAGTTTGTATCTGTGTAGAGATGGAATATCCAGCCCAGGTAAATTTTAACCACAGTAAAGTACCTGTATATATATTGACTAATATGCTTGAGTATTTGTAAGTATAAGCTAATACCAGTCTCTAGTGCATGATATTGAATTATGGCAAGTGCCTATTTATAAGGAAACTAGAGGCCCGATACAGGCACTGAAGTGAGTGCCCTCAGCCTGGCCTGCCCCCTCTCACAGTCTGGGAGCCCTCAGGGTTGGGAGGTGACCTGGTGATCAGGGGAAGGCATTGCCCCCATCACACCTCTGCTGCTGCCATTGCTGGCAGTGCAAGCCTAGGCCCAGCCCTGGTTACCTGTGCCTTGGGCTGGCTCTGAGCAGCTGGGCAGCCACCATCCAAGGCCCTGGGCAGCTGGAGGGCTATGATACTGGGCACTGTGGAGGCAGGTTTGTGGAGTGCCTGACACACCTAGGGGTGGGCCTGGCAATGCCGTGCTGCCACCCAGGTGGGGCTAAGGGGAGTGGGAGCCACCAACTTGTGGCTGTGGGTGCAACCATCTTTGAGGGTGTGGCAGTCAATTAGCATATCACTTTCTATTGGCTGTGGGTGCCACCATCTTTGTGAGTGTGTGATGGTCAATTAGCATATTTCCTTTTTATTAAATATACTAGAGGCCTGGTACATGAAAATTCATGCACTGGAGGGGGGTGTCCTTCAACCCAGCTTGCCCCCTCTCATAGTCTGGGAGCCTTCAGGGGTGGGAGGCAACCCGGTGATCAGGGAAAGGTGATGCACCATCACACCTCTGCTGCTGCCACTGCCACCAGCACAAGCCTTGGCTGGCCCTGGTTACCTGAGCCTCAGGCCAGACCTGGGCAGCTGGGCAGCTGCCATCTGAGGCTTGCCTGCATCTTGGGCTGATCCTGGGCAGCTGAGGGGCTGAGGGCACTGGGAGACTCCGAAGGCAGGCATGCAGAGCAGCCGTGTGCCTGCCGCCTAGGTGGGGCTGAGGGGACTGGGTGCCACCATCTTGTGCTTGTGGATGCTGCCATCTTTGAGGGTGGGGCAGTCAATTAGCATATGCCCTTCTTATTGGCTGTGGGTGCCACCATGTTTGCAATGGTATGAGGGTCAATTAGCATATTCCCTCTTTATTAGGATACCCTTACACCAAAAGAATACTTGTTATTAATTTACCTGAAAGATGTAAAAACATGTATTTTCAGGGTTAAATTCTTAAAACCTTCATTTTATTCCACTCTGAGCTTAATGCTATTTAAGGGCCCACGTTGTACCCTTTTCATTTAAATGACTTGCTTTATAGAGTTTCTCTTAGCTTAATCTAGGACAACTTTGTTTTCATTTTTCACCTGGATATGGGAGAGAAAGTTTTATATATTATCTAAAATATGCCAAATGTTTTCACCATCATAAAATTAAGAATAATGACCATATTCCATGTAAATTAAGTCTTTGTAGATGAAAAATAGTAATATCTGCTTAAATAAATTCTATAGATTAAACAAGAGGCTGAACTTTTGGAGGGTGATGTGAAATGGTGAGGTGTAGTCTAGCCAAGTGACAATTGTAAAGATGGCTTCTCTCTCCTTTTCCTCCTCCCTCTCCCCTTCCTTCTTCCTTCTTGCATTTTTTTTTGTCCTTTCTGTCCTAAATAATCGCCTTTAAGTGTCTTAAAATCCTTTGTAGAATGAGGCAAGTCATAAATAAATAAAATAAGTAAAAACTTCATAATTGAAGTATGACAGGTCTTAAGAAGGCCTATTCTTTGCCAATATCTTTGATTCATAACTATATTTTTTTTCTCAGGAAATGCTTCCTGTGGAGAATTATACTTTACTGTCCCCCTTAACCTCCTAAAATAACTCTTAGACTAGTCATCAAGATTCTACTTTAATGATTACTTTAAATATTTAACAACATTTTATTTCAAATCTAACCATTAGGATCTTTTTATCACCCCTGTTTCTAAATGCCACGGGTTATAAAGAAATATATAAAAGATTAGGTTCTCAGCCATGATTCTAATTTTTAAAAACATAGAGCCAAATTTGGCACTCTATATCTAGAATGTAAATTCCTTGTCATAAATGTGAAAAGACATCAGATCAATACTAGTAAATAGACCAATATCAGGTCTCTCCATAGTACTTCACATTGAGTACCTACTCTAGCCTGAGGTGCTTGTCAAAAAATGAAAGAGATGGAAACAGAATTTGCATATCACATTATAATGGAAACTATAATTCCTAAAATAGATACCAGCTATTTAAAATACCATACCCATAATGACTTCCGGATCATTGTTAACTATGATTGAATATCTACTTACAGTAGCTCCATTGCCTTTGCCTTAGTCCAAACCACCAGTATCTCTCAGCTAGTCTTCTGAAATAAATTTCTGACTTCCCAATTGGCCCTCTACAACCCATTTTTCACATGTAGCCAGTGAGAGTAATCCTTTAAAAATATGAAAATCATGCCTGTTTAAAAACTTTCAACAGCTTACCATTGTAGTGTCATAAATCCAGCTCCTGGCCTGGTCTCCGAGACCTGCGTGATCTTGCCTTCCTCCTCTGACCTCATCTCCTGTGCTCTCCTCCTCAATGACGGCTCTTCAGCCACACTGGCTTCCTTTCAGGTTCTACAACCTGCCAAGCTCCTTCCAAATTTAGAAGTTTACACATGCTTTTTCCTCTCCTGGTGTGTTCACCGACTCCCATCCCCACCCTATCCCCATGACTAGCATCTTATTTTCCCACCAAGTTCTTTGGCTTAAATGTCACCTCTGCAGAGGGACCTTTTGTGAGCAACTCACCAAAAGTGTTCCATCTTTATTAGATTTCACATTGTTTTCTTGAGCACTTTTTTTTTAGAACTTGCAATTTGTAATTTTATAATTATCTGTTGATATAGTAATCCTAATATTTTAAAATACTTCCCAATTTATGTTTCTTTATAAGTTTCTCTCTCTTTGCCCCCAATCTGCCTTATAGCTCCAAAAAGAAAAAGAGAGAGAGAGAGGAAGAGAGAGAGAGAGCGAGAGAGAGAGAGAGCAGGTACTTGACCTTTTTAGTAAGTCGGTAGACTTGAAAACCAAGCCTGAAGGAGAGAGGGTTATCTAAAATCCACTCGCTCCTTGTTAATATACTAATGCCAGTTTTGGTAACTAGGACCTATAATTCTATATAAAGATGATCTATTTTTTTTAAAAGCAGGACATTGATCTAATAAAAAAGGGGAAATGAGGAGAAATACCACTCTCTCCAAGCCCCAGAGAAGTGTAGGAAGAAGAGGCCTGACAGCAGAGGGAGGAGGGTGAGGATGTTGGCTAGCTAGGTCCTGCACCCTCCTCTGTAGGGTTCAGGCAGATCAGTGTGTGCAACATCAAGGGCATGGAGCAGCTGCCCGCTCCTCCCGGTGTGGGAGGATGGCACGGAGATCACTGAGCAGGGGACCCCCACAGTGACATGGAGACCCAGCATCCTGAGGGCGGCAGAATGGCATGTCCACACGGAGGATGTCTGGGGGAACTTCTAAGCCTCCTTTGTTTCCCACCTGGTGGGAACGTTTTGTTGAAAGCTAGAGATTAGGCCAAGGAGTCCCCTGTGGGTGTGCAGCAGAGACAGGAATGCATCCCCTGGACCTTGTCGGCAGATGTAGCACACAATGTAGTCCCAGGACAAATAGGTTATGGTTAGAAAGAGGAAAGGGGAAACCAGTTCGTTGGGGAAGGGTCCAAAGACAAAGTAAAGAGATCATAGACAGCAGATAGCCACTGGTGCCTGCAGGATGGGCCAGGCCACTCACTCGATGTAATTCCGGATCATGCTACTCTGAGACTTGTGATGATCCAAGGGGCAGTGGGGCCCAAAGGATGCTTCACTGCAACCCTGTAAATCACACAGGACTTTCACCCAACATACAGCCTGACACCATCTCGGAGAGGAGGGAAGGAGTAGAAATAGCCTAAACATAAGAAAGATTGACCTATTATTCAGGAAAGACTGAGCCAAGATTATTTAAAGATATTGAATTGGACTAGATTTTAAACTGCATTCATAACTGATGCTAATTTTCTTCTGCCAGGGAGGGGCTCTGAAAAAGACCCAATTAATTACAAACAGCATAAAAGAGCTACATTTTTTCCTGCTCATATAAATTGTAATGTGAGAAATTTTATCACTTTACATTTAGTATATGTATTTCTATGAAGACAGGCACCACAAAGCTGGTATAACAAGTGTTCTATGGATAAATGCATGAATAAATGAATGAATGAATGAAGTGAGTGAATGAATATTGGTTAGGCATGTTGTACAGTCATTTCTCAGACAACTGTTAAGGGAAAGGTAATATTTAATCAACCAGCTATTTATGTCTGGGAAAACTGAATGTTAATAAACCTGACAGTGTAATGGAGAGTAAAGCCATTAGAATCTAATCTGGTTTCTACCCCTAGTTTTCCCACTAAATATATGTGTGGCTTGGAGTAATCTTAGATTTTGTTTTAGATATTAAGGTATGAATGTAGAGTCTTTTTAGTATTCAATAAATTTTATAGCTCTAGGTTTCCTTATGTGTTAAGTGAGCATTTTCCATCTATTATCTATCTATCTATCTATCTATCTATCTATCTATCTATGTGGAATAATAACTGTTAAAATAATGCCAGCTTTTCAACAACAACAAAAAGTGGTAACTAATAAAGAGAGTAACATTGTAGACTACTATTAAATAAGAAACCAAAAACTTTGTTCTGGTTCATTTATATTAATTATGGAAAACTGGCAGTAACTCAAACTCTCTTTCTTCTACTGGGCTATGTTATCAGTAAGGGTTGCCTAAAGACTTCTAATCACCATTAACTTCCATGTCTTTACCTACATATCCAGGTGGAATTTAATGGCCCAGTGCTGGGCCCAGGAACCTGACCAAAGACCTACTTTCCATAAAATTCAAGACCAGCTTCAGTTATTCAGAAAAATGTCCTTAAACAGTATCTCTCAGTGCAGAGAAGAAGCGGACTCCAGTGGAGTCATAAATGAGGGTTTTGTAGGTAAGTTTGATTCTTTGTCAAATTTTTCTGTGTTTTCTCCCTTGTGGACCGAACAAGTTACAATGGTCATGCTGCTGGGGTGGGGCTGCACTCTGCTTTACCCTAGACCCTGTGCTCCCAGACTTCCCCCAGACAGGGCTGTGGTCAGGAAGCTGCCTGCCCACTCTCCCCACCTTGTTATCCAGTTGTGACTTACTCAACAAGATACGCCAGTGTTAGTTACATCCAAGTTATTCAGATGCCAACTTTCGGCAGACTGCATTAAAATTGTAAATAGCGTTCAAAAACACAGAGAAGCAGACATAAATATGCAGAATTAAGATGCAGGAAGAGTTTAACCCAGAATATAACCAAACTTGGGTAATTTAGACAGAAACAAGCAATTGTGTGCCACGGAATTGTTATTTGCAATGCGTGCAATTCCTGAAGATAAGGAATCGTAAGAAAAGTAGAAATCACTAAAAATGTTGACAGTTGAGAGGTGACTAAACAAAAATGGCCAAGAAGAGAGAAGAAATGGAATAAAAAGTCAGGGTTTGCTTCTTTGTAAAGCCATAGAACTTTCCTTTCAAGGTGAAGCTAAACTTAATTAATTACCTGCAACAAAAAGAGAATGTGTTCAATAATAGTTTGCTGCTTTGCATATTTAGCAAAGCAGTGTGATGTCTGTCTTCATTGTTACTGTCAGATACATAGGAGAAGATAAGAAAGCCCAGGAAGGGCTTTTTTTGGGAAAAAATAAATCAAGGGCATTAGGGTTAAAGGGAGCAATCATACCATGCCTATCCCTTGGTCCTACTGACCTAATGGGGTGGGGAGGGGATGGAGAGAGAAGCAACGTATCTGGGCATCTAGTAAAAATATCCCAGTGACTTCATCCCAACATTTGTGTAAACATCACCTCATCAGTCCCAGAAGTAAGAAAGGCAACAAATCTAAATGCCCCTGTGCCGTGCTAAACATAGCCAGTCAGCAGGCATATGTCTCGTCTGCGAATGCCCAGTTTTACTTGGAAGTCTTTATTTTAATATTTCCCTCTTAAAGGGAGGGTTGCTGAGTACATGCTGTGTCTATTCAGGATCTGTGCTTTAAGGGTTGACCTTCCGGCTTTCTATTCAATGGTTTTTAAACAGAAAAAAATAGAAATCTACCCACCCTCCCTCCCCCTGCATGTCTCCTTATGCAATCAGATGTACTGATTGCTGAAAGCTTGCCAGGGTCAAGTTACTAAATATTGCTCTAAGCATCAGGATCAACGACATAGTTAGCTAATGGTTTTTCTTTGACATATGGCGCCAGAATTTGTATAAAGCATTTATTTGCCTTATATAAAAGTTTTTGACAAATAACTCAACGATAGGCAAAAAATAAAAATAAAATAAAAAATAAATAAAATCACATTTTATTAGAAAGTTTCCTGATATGCTACTTAATGGGATAAAAGCATGGCAGTGAGTTGCTGGACTTATATTGCAGATTTATGTTTCTGTGAAATTCTAAACTTTTCTTTAGCCTAATTTCTTTAAGCCATTTAGGAACAGCCCAATTTGTCTGTTGGCATTCTTATAGATATAGCAAATTAATTTGATATGTTTCTCAGTGGCAATTAGTGCATATTGATAATAATCATAACATTTAGATCCTCCCATAGATATTCAGCACTTAAGCACTAACCAAACCTGGCATCTGATAGTTATCTCTGTGGGGAAGATATTTTACAACACTGTTCAACCATGCATGTGGTTTGAAATAAGCTGAGATGGTGTTTGGATGATAAAGAAGACATGAGAGGATGCCAAAGAGCTTGTGAGCCTGCAGCTTGGCCATCCTGCTCATCATCAGTGGGAAGGGTCTGAAAAAAAAAAAAAAAAAGCACATAATAATAGAGAACAGAGAATAGGAGGAGTAGTCCTATGCTCTTACAATAAAATAAGCTTTGTGTCGGGTGTAGAACTTGGTAAAGAGGAAGATCCATTCAAGTCCAATGGGAAAAAATAGATACAATGATGCTTCCCTTAGTCCTTGGACGTTTTCTTACATTTCAGTTTAAATTCATTGCAAATAAACCCAACCTGGATGTACATCAGGGCTAAGTGCGGAGGTTGCAGCCAGCAGGTCTCACCTGTGCATTTGCACGCCTAAAGGATGGGGAGGAGAAAGGGAAGGACCGTCATCAGCTACTGAAATAGTCCCGATTTTTCAAATATACTGTATGAAATAGCAATACTATTTCTGATCATAATTTTTTTTAATCCAGGTACTAATGTACCATGATTGGAAAGTATTGGTAAAAAACAGTTCCCACAATATGCCTGTGTGTATTTATCTTTTTGATTACCTAGAATATTGTGAAGTGTTTCAGAAGCTCTGCTATTAGGTTTCAACAAGAGTTCTTATACTTTGTTATGTAAGAAGGTCAGCCTTTAAGTAGAGAAAGAGAGAATAATAAGAGCAAAATTGTGAAGAAGCTCAGTTATCCACTTGGTATTCATTTTTCTGCTGCCACCCTGACATCAGACACACAGTCGGAGTCTGTGCTTCTCAAGGATTCCTGTAGGGCCCACTGCCCACCCACATGGGCCCTCCTCACACAACACAGCAACTTCACCTATCCCTGGGGGAGGGTGACTAAGAGAACTCAGACTTGAGCCAGACAGTCTGGGCTCCAATTCCAACTGTGTGACTTTGGGAAAATGATTGAACCCATCTGTGCCTCAATTTCTGCATCTCCTAAATGGGGATAATACTTGTATTTAGCTAATAGAAACATGTTGCTCTAAGCAAATAGCTTAGAATAGTACGTGATACATAGTTAACAATTTTTTATGGTTAATAACATGTATCATGTCGTTTTCCTCCTACCTCCATCCTGCCATCATAACTTGCCAGGCCAGTGTCCATTTCCTATCAGCCTTTTGAGAGCAGGAAGGAGCATGCTAGTTTTAAATTTGCCAATCACTGTTAGTGATTTCATATGCCATTTGTCCCAGGGGGATGGTGGAGGAGGGCCAGCCCCATTTGCTGTCTTGCTGTTCTTCCGGCCTTGGTTCTTACTGTTTTTCTTCTCTCTGGTTCTTACTGTTCTCTCTACGCCTTGAATCTTCTTCCTAAAATAGCCACATTGGCAAATTCTCTCACTTAATTCAGGACTCTACTAGAATTTTGCCTCATGAAAGAGGACTTTGCAGACTGCCAAACCTCAGAGGGAAAGCAGGGGAGAGTGGGTGGGTGGGACGAGATCAACCTATTAACTTGTATGCATATATGTGTAACCCATGGACACAGACAATAGCTGGAGTAGCAGGATGGAAGGGTAAGCGCTTTAGACAAAAGGGGCCATGATTTCTTAATTTCTATCACAAAGACCATGACCTGCTCCACTTGTTCTGGCAGAGTTAATCGGCTGCGGGCTCTCCCACATGCTATGAGTTCCTTCATGATAGCACACATCGCCCCCTAGGGTAGAGCTACTTCCCTGCTAGCCTGCAGAAGTCTCAAGGACAGGGATAGCATGTCTTATTTATCTTTGTGTTCCATTAGTGATCCTCCTATAAATGTTTGCTGAACCAATGTATAAGGTTTGGTGTTATAGTTCTCCTACTGCCTGTATACAAATAGAGGAAATCAAATAGATGCTGGAATAACTGTTATATCTATTATTTTCACAGATGAAGATGGCAGCATGATTTGTGTGAGTTTGGATGACAGTGGGCCCATTGCTTTAGTGGAAACCAAGAACCAAGAGGGGTTAAACTATATGGTACTTGCTACAGAATGCAGCCAAGGTGAAGATCATTCTGAGGGTCCTCCAGGCTCCAAGGAATCTGAATCTTGTGGTTTGAGGAAAGAAGAGAAGGAACCACATGCAGACAAAGGTATCTGCCAAGAAAAACAAGTGGCTTACTGCCCTCCTGGCAAGCCTGAGGGCCTGAACTATGCCTGTCTCGCTCACAGTGGACATGGAGATGGGTCTGATTAATAACTCGGTTTGGGAAATGCAGGGTTGAGATAAACACTCCCGTTAAGTAGTTACTGAAAGGAAACCCTAGCAGAATGACAGATGTTGAGGTGGTCTATGACTCTGAATTAACACTGGAAAGTTCCTGGATTCTAATCTCGGTTCTGAGAACCACTTGGGTTCAGTCTTGACAATCCCCACACAACTGTTTAACTTCAACAGGATTCTGAGGTGAACCACTGAGCATTTGGGAAGCAAAGGAAGACTCACGAGTCTGGAGGGAAAGCTGCTCTCCCTTACCCTTGAGGTCACTTAGACCATTGCCCACCCTTCAGTCTGGACTATAACAGGAACATCTTGGTCAGAGGTTAGAGACAAAATAGGTGTGTTCAAAGATCTGAAGGAGGCGTGAGAAGCATGCTCAGGGACCCAGCTGAATTACAGATAATCCCAAAAGGGACTGAGGAAATGCCTAAATATATAACTCTACATGTTCCAAAGGAACCAGCATCGATGGCATAAGAAATCATTTGGGATGCTATTGCTATAATAACGTATTGTCTTTCATGACTATTGTGAAACATTTTGGAGGTTTTGAAATAATGAAAATAGGACCATGAAGATGTCTAAATCCTAAAGCTTAGCATTGGGTTGTATAAAAATCGCTCTGTGACTTGTGTGCTGTCATGGAAATTAGCTTATAAAGACTGTTTTTATTTGCCATATGTATTTTATATATATGGTACTTAAGATTATGTTTAGCACAAAATTGTCATTAAAATTAAATATAAATGATTATACAATGCACATGCAAGCCCTGTGATTTTTTTTTAGCAACTACATGAAATAATAAATACCTAAATGAGAACTATTTAAAATATTCAGTGAAACACTCTGATTTCAAGCCTATTTTATTATTATTATTATTATTATTATTATCATCATCATCATCATCATTATTACAGCTACCTATTATACTGAAGTCTCAACTGCTCTAAAAGCAATCTAATGAGAGCTTTCTGGGTCTTACAGGATGTTCGCTAGGTACAGAGAAGAACATTTGCTAAAACCTACAGTGGAAGAGGATCACATATCCCCTTTCACCTTGGCTAATTCAGTTCCTTTTAAACTGGCCTTAACAGGTGATTGGCTGATGAAGAGGAACACAGGAAGTCCATGTGTTCCCTGTGCTCTGTGGTGAACAGCCTCCACATAATGGTCCAGGACTTGGGGTCACATCTGTTGTTCCTCTGAACAAGGCAGAATGTTTTCTCTGATCTCCTGACCCTCTACTGGGCATTAGTCATTGTTTGTAATGATACTGCTTCCTGAGTTAGGGGATTCCACCACCTTCGTCCCCTGCTGGGAGTTACGTTGCATTTGCTCCTCCAGGATCTCGTGAGCAGAAGGCAGGCATGTGACCTGGCGCCCACCACTCAGGCACACTCCCAGGCTCCTAATTGAGAGCTAAGGATGCAAAGAAGCGGGCATCGCAGTGAGTCCTTCCTGGGGATGGTGGCAACTGCTGTTGGTCTGGCACAACTGCAGTGTCCAGGGCCAGGAGGGTTGGCAGAGCAGGTCCAGAGCCTGGTGCCTCTGGCAGCTGGGGTCACCAGACTGACCGGCTCTGCAGTTTGCTTTTAGTCATTGCTCCAGGCTCCATTACCCCCAGTCTGGGATTCTATCAGTAAATCCCCATATCCTTTTAATAAATGCCAAACAAGCCAGGGTCAGTTTTCATTGCTTACAACCAGGACCTTTGCTCTGCCAGTGCCATGGTCTTTTATTTTGAAAACTACAAAGGGATCAGAAATGTATAGAAGAATTGGATTTTCAGTGTAATACATATGCATCACAATTTGGATAGTAAAGAAATGTATAAAATATCTGAGGAGAACATCTCATAAAATATGTTCCAGCTAATATCTAAGTATAAATCAGTATTCATTTTTATAATTCATAATAAATAATATTGGTAGAAATATTTAATACAAAATAAAATAGGCAATGGCTAAAGTCTCTCACAGGTAAAATCTATTATGGATAATAGTAACTGATAAAATACAAATGGCTGGTATTATTAAGAACTATGTAAGTTAAATTTGAATGAGAAATACATTTTAACAAGTACCACTGACAACACTCAGGGGGAGGGAGGGGAGTTGGGGCAGCCCCCAGCCCCAGCCCTGCAGCCGCGATGCTGGGCTGCTAGGGCCGGAGTGGAGACAAACCCACAGCATGGGGCTGGGGCTGGGGGCTGGAGTGGAGACACAAACCCGCAGAGGGGCCAGATTCGATTCTGATCAAGGGCATGTACCTAGGTTGCAGGCTTCTCCCTGGTTGGAGCTCAGGTCAGGGCTCATGCAAGATGCAACCAATCAAAATGTCCCTCTCACACTGATGTTTCTCTTTGGTGACTGTGGCGGTTGGCAGTGGCAGCAGCAGTGGGATGATGAAGGTGGTGCCTTTCCCTATCAGCCCGATTGCCTCCCGCAGAGGGAGTCCAGACTGTGGCATAGGTCCCCTCCCCATGGGGCAGAAGGGGTAGGCTGGGCTGAGGGACCCACTCAACCCCAGTGCATGAATTTCATGCACTGGGCCTCTAGTCAATTATAATTTTTATTTTATTTTATTTTATTTTTTTTAGTGAGTGTGAATATAGAATTTTCTTTTCCTAAGTGAAATCTATTTTTATTTGAAGTATTCTAAAGACTGTTCCAAATTATAAGGTTCATTGAATATTTTAGTGGTTATAAATACATGTAGAGACTAAAGTATGTACTCTGAAAATAAATAAAATTTCTAATTGATAACTAGACCATTAGAATCATGCAAATATTGATTAGGAATCAGAAAATTTTAATTCTTTAATTTTGTTTGCAAAGTTTAGTTGAACTTTAACGTAAATTTCTTTTATGTTGTGATATTTATGTATTAATTCACTTATGCTATTTTGATGGGCAGTAATGACAGTGGAGGATAGTTTGAGCAAAATCACTTGGGCCATTTGAGACATAGCAGGATAAGAGCTTATTAGGAGATCCTAAGAACAAAACAAAAAATCAGGAAATTTGCTGCCACTGATTTTCTAGGGGAAATAAGTGAATTCCAGTAAGTCAGAGGGAGTTCAGACATCTTTTTCGGTGAGCTTAATTTCATAAGAATACACTGGAAACTTGTAGAAATACTGCATTTCGAAGCATACATGACACTACATTGTGGAGAACTTTAGATTTTTTCTTAAGTTAAACTTTTTTAAAAGTGAAAAATTCCAAATAAAGGTAATGTTCAAGATCTATTTCTCTAAGCAATATGCTTCTCTACACATTCATTCTTCAGTAAAACAGTTTATTCCTTCCCCCCTGCAAGATAATTTGTGGTCTTCTTGAAGAGAGCTCTGATTAGCAGAATCACGTCCACTGGCTCCACCAGGGGCCCCTCTGCTGGACATGAACTTTCTGCCGGAGCGGAGGGCAAGGCTGGAAACAACTGTTCCTGAAGGCTGCCTTGCCTTTTTAGGTGATGAGGGTCTCTCTCCATTTAGGGTAACGTGATTGACAGCTCCACACCGGTTCCAATTAGCACCCCATAATTTATTAGCTTCTGCTTTCAGATTATGCGTTAACTTCACAAATATTTCAACCACGGAAACAGCAGCTATCAAGTGTCTCTTTCCTGATCCAGCAGTCTCTGGGGCTGGAGTGAAATACAAGGAAAGAGCGGTACAGTTGGTCTGTCAAGTGAGAATAATCATTTGTGTCTGTGCCTGTCTGAGGGCACAGTTCTCTGATTTCTCTTTAGGCGTGTGTGTGTGTGTGTGTGTGTGTGTGTGTGTGTGTTCCATTTCATTTATTCATGGGAGACGAGAGAGAGCTGGTGTTGAGCAGATGTGAAATTTACATTTGCTTAGCTCTGCTGCTTGTGTAAATATAAAAACTTCCGTTAAGTACAAACAGCAACTGTAATAAACATACTGCCTTTACAACATTATTACTTTTCTCCAGATTTTAGGAATATGTAATAGTGAAGAAGAAGAATCCTAGAAATATTGCAAGGAAGAATGGAATATATATATAGCAAAGACTTTGACAAAAACAACCAAACTATGAATTATTTCTGTGCAAATTGTCGACAGACTTAAAACAGGGTTATGAAAGAATCGTGGTTTCCAGTTTCTTTTATTTTAAAAGTCTTCTCAAACATTTTTCCATCTAAAAATGCATTTTATGGCAATGGCATTTATAAGGAAAGCAGTTTGTCTAAGTTATCTTTCTTATGTCCTCAATCTCCAAAGTAACCAGTCACTAAGTGTTTTATAAGAAAAAGTTCCCGGTTTATGTTGCCAGAACAGGTGTAGATGACTACACACAGAGGCAGGTTTGTGACTCTCAGTGAACTGGAGGTTAAGGTACCTTAACAGTTGTTTTCCTCCGATGCAAAAGGGCAGGGAAAATGCAGTTCTTACCCAGAAAGAGTGGACAGACATGCTTCCAGGCAGGGAGACCGAGCCCCAACACCCATCTCCCCAGCCCTCTCTCCCATCTGGGCCCAGATGATTCTTGAGCCATTGCTAGAATTTGCCATCCATTGGAATAGAACTTCAAAGGGGAAATGAGACAGGATGGCAATTCCTTTTCAACTAAAGGCGCAGAACAGATAGAGTTCCCTGGAGTTGGGGGACTGAGTACTCAGCCAGAGGGCAATCGACAAAGGGATTACTCCGTGGTGGAGAGCTGTCTCTCCCCTTTTCATCACCTCTCCCTCACGGGGAGGCCACGCACAAAGGAAAAACTGGATGAAGCGGGCCCAGAAAATCCCACTGGGGGTGATCAGAGGGGAATCCAATCTTTCTTTCAGGCCCCAACCAGGTGTAGTATAGGGGGAAACATCATGTTTTCTCATGTCATCCTTTCCTCACATCTCACTTTCTTAAATATCCTTCTTTCCCACTACTAGGGCCTTCTTTAATTTGCATGGCTTCACGAATATTAGCAAGATGGGCATGGGAATTGGTATTTCACATGACTTGACGGGCCTAAGAATGTCAGTGAGGGTTATGAATTCCCCAAAGTTCTCTCTGATGCTCTTATGACACTGGATCATTGTAGCTTAAGGGCATCTTGCATTTCTACTTAGGGAGGTACAGCACGGATAAAATGCTCTGCTCTGCGTGCCCAGTGTGCCTGGTCACTGGAGCCCGCTCAGCCGGCTGGAGGTCTGCTCAGGACTGCCCCAAAGGCCAGTTCCAGTGAGTGAGTCTCCCCACCAGCAACCTGATACTCAGGTCAGACGCAGCTCAGGAGAGAGGCCTCAGTCATCGGAATCTTGTGGCTGGGGAAGTGCTCCCTGTGGGATCTGATCAGAGATCTTGTGAGTGCTCCTGCGGGTGCAGCAGCATGCAAAAAGCCTCGTTCAGGGAGGACTACTTGGAGAAGTGTGTAGCAGAGAACGCACTGCTCTGCTTTCCGCTTCCACTGCGTGCCCAGGGACAACTTCTAAAAAGCAAGCTGGAAGTCAGTGCATTTTATTCATGCTTGCATACTGCAGTGATCCATGCCAATGGAACATGGATTAAAAAACCCGCAGAGAAGTCCAAAGTTAATTTTAGCGATTACATCAACGTCCGAACTTCAGGCTAACTCTTCCACAACTTGGTTAGGTTGGGTGTGAAGAGCTTCAGCGCAGCGAAGGCTAATTAAATACCAAAGTGAATGAAGAGCAGCAGTGAAACATTCTTCTCGGAGGAGAATGAAAAGCTGTGTCTGACTGACTGGTTAAGGTAGTGACATCTGATGAAGGGTCTGGAC